TAGAGCATCCACACTAGTGGATAATATGAGGTTAATGTAAGAAGAAATAACTTGGGTGGAGTTATTTATAGATGTGGGGTAGGGTTAATACTTGAGTTATTTCTCCTGCAAATGATAAAATATTTCTCTTCCCAAGAAAATTGAAATATCAAAAACAATAAGCTGCTGTGCGCGAAAGCAAGCCACACGGGCGCGTCAGGCGCGCCTGACCTTGTTTTCTTTTTTTTTTTTTTTTTTTAAAAAAAAATCAATTTTGTTTTGTTTTGTTTTTTTTTCTCCCCTTCCTACATTCTCTTTCCTAATCACTCTTACATTATCCCCCAATTCTCCCCAACCCTTGTGGATGCTCTTAGCTATAGCGATTATTGGTCTAAGAGCATCTACATCAGAGGAGAAATAGGGGAGAATTCACTACTTTTGAGGTCAAAATGCCATGGTGGCAGAGAGAGAAGGGGTGGGGAGCATCTGCAAATGTTGGGATATTACTCTGCCCAAGAAAAATAATTAATGATGAAAGATAAAGAACCAATAGAGAAATGACATGCTTATTTTATATATATATTTTTTTTATAAAATCAGTTTTGATTTTTTTTTCCCTCCCCTCCCACATTATTCTCTTTCCTACTCACTCTTACATTCTCCCCCTAATAACCCCAACTGATAAGGATGCTCTAAGAAAGAAGTGAGATCTTTTAACCTAACTGACTTTTAACTGCCAATGGTCAAATGCAAATATTGAATCATTCCATCTAGTAACACCGCAAATATCTCTACTAGTTTAATTTAAGGTCTCATATTCAAACTTTAAAAATACACTCATTTTAAAATTTACTAAAAAATTCTTTATCACCCTTTGAAGTTTTATCCAACACGAACATAATTAATTTTAATATGTTGAATAACAGTTTTTTCTTGATCCCTGCTCCAACAAAGAATGAAAATAAAATTTAGAGAACTGGAACAGGGAGTTGTATCTATTCCCGGTTCGAGATGGAGATACTCCGCCTAGCCTTGGCATAGATACTCCCCGTCCCGTCCCCTCATATTATTTGGTTTGAATCGGTCACCTATGGACAACCTAGGCTAACTTATCTTGTTGTGATTATTTGTCTACTAGAGTAACGAGGCGGGATTTACCCAATGCACGGATTAATAAGAATTATCTCCTATTGACTTTCTTGATTTGAATCAGTCTATAATTTCTTGTGATCTTTTATTGGTCGGACAGGTGTACCTAATGCATGCCTTTGGGTAGTGGCTGCGGGTTTTCCTAGTCAATAAAAAATAAGAACTCCCAAGAATAGACGGTTGCTTGTAAGCGAAACCTAGCTCTGGGTGGTTGGTTTTGGCATGTCACAGAAAACAGAAACCCAGAACTGGAATTATGGGGCAGAACATCATGTGGATACTAGGTTCCTGATTTAGCAGTCTAGGATTATGATGTGCAATAATTCAGATTTCAGACCCTGGCAGCTTCCTGTGTTGGAAGCATGTGAAACTTTGCATAAACCTAAGAGATTTCAGAGACTACCTGGGTGTCTTGGCTTGCAAAGAATGGAGTTTTGGGGAGTAAAGGCAGCTTATAAAGGCAATTTGTCTTTAAAGAAACCATTTTTGTGTGTTGGGTGGTTGTGGGTTTCCTGAAAATTCTTGTTTTAGCAGTGAAGTTTGGTTTGAAACTGGTAGACTTGTTGCAACCCCATTTGTTGAGTTTGGTGAGGAAGAAATACTAGAGATAATAAAAGAGAACTACTTTTTCATGAAGTCTTTTGTCACTTGTAATTAATCAAGAATTGGATGTTTTTTATCATCCTATAAGTACCCAGAGGAAGTAGTTCAAGTTTATGATCATAAATTGAGAATGGCAGAAGAAATGCAGAAACTTGAGAGGCTCAAAGCTGCCAGAGAAGTTCTGAGGTGCAGCTTGGAGAAGTCGAAAGAGTTAGCCTTTCGGGTCGATGAAAGCGGGGCGAGACTAGAGAGGATGAGCCAGAGATTGGCACTGCTAGAAACCACCATGAATGCCATATCAACAAAATGGAAGCTTTATAAGATCAAAGGTCCATTACACCAGGCTTTTGGTCTTTCTGCTTCTATTGTGGACATGTTTGAAGTGATCTGTGGTTTGGAAATCGCGATATCTGCTGATCTTTCTTCTTCGGGCTTGTTTGCTTACCTAAATAATGTCAAGTACACTGAAGATGCATTGAGGTTCCTCAATGGCAACTGCAAATTGGTGATTCCTTGGCTGGAAGACGCCCAGCAGATTCTCGAGAGCAATAAGTCCATTGCAGATCATTGGTACCTTAAAAATGTCAAGAAATGTCTGGTGGCACTTGAAGAATTGCAGGCCATGGAGGAAAGGTTTAAACTGAGAGGAGGAGCTCTGGGGTCTGCATTGGACAAACTGGAGAGCGAATTCGCGAGGCTCTTGCTGGATAACCGGTCTCATCCTCCTTTACCTTTACCTTTACCCCAGCCTGTTCTTGAGAAAGTTCAAGCCATTGTTGAAAGATTAGGTGCTAATGATCACCTCGAGAATTGCATTTCTGTTTACGTTGAGGTCCGGAGCTCGAACGTGAGAGAAACTCTTCAGGCACTGGATTTGGATTACCTGGAAATATCATTAACAGAGTTAGATAGTCTCCAGAGCCTAGAAGACTGCATAGACCAGTGGGGAAGGCACCTGGAATTTGCAGTGAAATATGTGTTGGAGGTTGAGCACAGGCTTTGTTTCGAGGTTTTTCGAAAAGTTGGCTCAGATACCACCTGGATGGATTGCTTTGCCAAGATTGCTGTCCAGTCAGGAATTCAGAATTTCTTCAAATTTGGGAATTCAGTGGCTAGGAGCAAGAAGGAAGCCATCAAGCTGCTGAAACTCCTGGACATTTTTGCAGCTCTTAACAAGCTGAGATCAGATTTCAACACACTTTTCAAGGGGGAATCTTGTGCAGAAATCAAGAACCAGACAAGGGATCTGATCAAGAAAGTCGTGGATGGGGCGTGCGAGATTTTCTGGGAACTTTCCCTCCAAGTCGAGGTGCAAATCCCATCGAATCCACCACGAGATTGCGGGGTTCCCAGGCTGGTTACCTTTGTCACAGACTTCTGCAACCAACTACTAGAAAATGAGCACTGGCAGACTTTGCTCCAAGTTGCTGAGATTCACCAGGGGTGGAATCACAAGCTCTTCGACGAGAATCTCCTCTCGGGCGAGATTCACAACATCGTGATCTCCCTCGAGAGGAATCTGGAGACGTGGGCAGGCGAATACAAGGACACCCCGAGCTCCTGCCTCTTCATGATCAACACCAATTGGTACCTCTGCAAGGCCACAAGAGGAACAAAGCTTGCTGACATAATGGGACAAGAATGGCTAAGAGGGCATGAGGAGTACTTGGAGTACTATGAAGCAGTTTACCTCAAGGAGAGCTGGGGAAGGCTCCCGGCCCTCTTGTGCAACGAGGAAATGGCGTTCGATCCCCAAGCAGCCACCCGGGCACTCACAGAATTCACAGCAGCCTTTGACAGCATGTGCCAAAGACAGTCCAATGTTGTACTGTGTGACAAGGGGTTGAGGTGGAGAACATGTGACCTTGTTCTTCGGGCTGTTGTTCCTCCTTACAAGAGTTATCTGGAAAGCTATGTTTCCTCAATAGAACACAAGACAGGCTGCAGAATTGATGTGAAATACACTCCAGAAAGCCTGCAGATTATGGTGAGTTCTCTGTTTCAGCCAAAGTTTGGGAAGCTTGGAAACACAAAATGCACAGAACTTATCAACAAGGTCAACAATGTGATTGCTAATCCATTCTCCTCAACTCCTGCAGCTGCATGATCATGTTGATTATCGTAGAAACAATCGAGTTAAATCCCGCGATTAGGTTATGTACATGATTTAATATAATCTATGCTCCTGATCATGTTTCAGATGATGTATGTCTTCTGATACAGTGAATTGCAGTGTCTCAAACATGAGTATGTAAATCATAGCACTGCTTTAGGGCTATACATACTATTCAAGTGCATAAATGGCATTCACAATAGATATTCACATCTCAAGTTGTGAAGTTTTTTTTTTTTTGAGTGACGAGAGAAACTCACAGCCATTATGTGAGGGTGTTCACTGGAAAAATCTCACCTTGTGACCCTACCTAGCAAAGAACTACACAGACGTAAACCGGTCTAAGTTGTCTATAGCTGACCGACTCAAACCATGAAGACCAATCCATTAAACCTTTTTGGGGATTATTAATATCTAAACTATATAATATAACAACAAGCTTGGTTGGCGTGAATGGCCGTGCACTCTCATCCCTTAAGAGGGGTCGGGAATTGGAGCGTTATGTTGTGCAACTGTGTGCACCATGCATGGTGCACACGGTTGCAAAAACGACGTCGTTTTGTCGTCCGATTTTTAAAAAGAATAAAATCAGTTTCGTTCGGATGCTCGTTTTTAGTCAAAACGACGTCGTTTTTGCAACCGTGTGCACCACACAACATAATTTGCCAAGGGAATTCGAACTCCCTCTCATATGAAAAACCAATTCGAACTCCCTCTCATATGAAAAACCAATCTAGGCAGCACTTTGTCGCTTAATTGGATCAGGCCGCTGTGAATGAGGATTAGTCTGAATTATAATAAAATAAGACTTCCTAAAAATCATGGCTCGGCATGTGTCACACCCCCAACTCTTTTTTTACTTTGCTTGTTAACATTGGTCAAGTTGGTTTCAACTACCATATCCATGTGCAGTATATCATTGCACAAACTGACAAAAGCAGTAAAGACTTGGAAAGAATTCACTTGTGAAACAAGTCTTTCCCATATAGAATCATAAACTCATGAAATACTTCCTGTCTGATTTGTCTTCATCTCCCTTCACCAAAAAGTTCATCTTTAGAGCCAGGTAGTTTAACAGCCTAGATATAAGATATACAAGCAATAGAATCATAAAGAAAATAACATATATATAAAGACAGCTCTTTTGCTCCATTTATGATTTATCAAACTCAATTATACTCAAGAAAACTGAAACATTTTTGTCATGAATGCAAAAAACTTGTCAAAATGTCATTTGAACTCTCTCATGCATACATTCTGCTGCAACTGAGTATTCATCTGCTCTCTAGTAGAAATTACATTGATTGATTGACCTCTAAGCCCCATGAAACTTGCAATGCCATCAGGATCTCAAAATTGAAGGTCAATCCACATCAAACAACTGCAGAGTGGAATGGATTCGATCGGGGGATGGATCTAAACGCTGAAATGTCAAGAGAAGCCGACTTTTTCAGATCCCTCCTTGAACATTATCTTTTTCAGTTTCTTCACCTTCTCGAGCTCTGGTGCATGGAAATTCTTTTCCACTTCCCAAGCGAGTTGGGACATACAATTGAAAGAAGATTTTGCACCCTTCTCATCGGTTACTTCTCTAGGAAAAGGGATTCGAACTTCAAAAACATCCTTTTGGGGAGACCAAAAACGGACATCGAAACCTAATCTGTCAACCCAGAGCATCCTTGCATCTGGCACCTATGAGAGGATCACAAAAACAAACTTAGATCAAATAGTGTCAACTTCTTTCAAAGTCTGAGATGCAAATATGCAAAGATAAATTTAATGAAAATGTGAATGTATCACATAATTATGCTATGGAACAATCTGAAGCTAAGAACATAGAAGTATTTTGCCAATAAAAATATAATGGTTATTTACGAACCCGGAAATCCAAATCCACATAGACGTTACAAAAACGTATAACATCTTCCTTATTGTGAAGATTTATCTCGCCAATCATTCTTTCAGCCAAATCTCGGAGAGGATCAGGGTTAGCCAGCTTATAATCTGAAGAAGTGACCCATACACCGTCCTAAAAGTAGTCATATAAGAAAATGTCAAAAATTGAATTTAAACATTCTTGCCACATGAATTAATAAAACAATGGACAAACAGTGATGCATAATGTCTCACAAACCTCCCCAAAATCTTCAATTTGGAGCACCTGTTCAACCGAAACGACATATAAGCTGTGTTCATCTACTTCATCTCCATACCGCCTTTTCCATACTGAACAGAGCTTCTGTATGAGAAAGACTTGAGATTCAATCACATTTTTTAACATCAGGGTCAAAACTACAAAACCAAAAGACCTCACTTGTCACCATTGTTATACCTTCAAAAGTTTTGAGTCTTGGGGCTTCTCAAGGCTGCCTTGCACTGTGCATTGCGGAGTCCGCAAACCACATTGCTCTAGCTGTTAAGAATCAATTCCATTATAACTATCACATTTATAATAACATTATGTTATACTTATACATTGAAACTTGATAATCAGCTAATATTGTGAAGGTCAAATCAGCTAAAACAATCAGACCAGTCAGCTATCAACTAATTGTCAAACACCCAAAATCCAAACACGCCAAAGATTTAAACTTTATAACAGAAATTGTGCATTGAATCGAGCACACACCTGGACATGTAAGCTGGACTTGTTATCAACGGAAAATTTGGCAACGGAGTCACTCAAGCACAGAACGGGAGTGCCTTCGGGATCAACAACAAAGCGAACGCCAATGCCTAAAGGCCAACCGTCCTGCGTCAATGTGGAGAGAGTGCCCAGGGAGCCCAACTCCATAATCGTTCTGGAAACTTCGGCAGGGAAGGGTCTGCCATCGTTAGCTAATTCAGATTGGGGCGGCTCCGAGACCACGGAGACAGAGCATTTCGGAGGTCGATTCGAGAATCTGGGGCATGGGTTCCTCTTCTTTGACCAGGAAAGTTGGTTTCTTTTGGGGGATTTGGGGACGAGGAGTGAAGTTTTGTGGAAATGGGGAGCGGGGAGAAGTGGAGACGGTAGGTGAGGTGTGAAAGTTCGAGTTTGAGGAAGCATCTCCAAATTGAGCCTGAGATTCAGTGGAGATACTGAGGATCGGTTGAAGAAAGGAGTCGATGGCAGCCCTTTGGAAGCGCAGTGAGTTGAGGAGATGATGATAACATTGTCCTAAGCTACACAACCCCACCCGGTGCTTTTTCATTACATGGATATTCATCACTCTTACTAAAAACCTTGTAAATTCTTGGGATAAAATGCTATATAAGTTTGATTTTAAACAATACAATTTTATGTTTGATCTCAAATTCTTTTTTAGGTATTGCATTGGTGTTCACATCCCGCAATTCTCTGTCTGAAAACAACAGCTATGTTACATTAATATTAAAATCAAGTAAAATTAAACTAAATCAGTCAAGTCTTATTCGAGACAACTACTCAAAGTGTAACTAGCCAGCTATGTTACACTAATTTTTATATATGGTAAAATTAAGCTAAACCAGTTGAGTCTTAGTTGACTATGTTACATAAACATGGGTTCAAAATCTTTTGACCTCATCTAATCGAGGATAGTTCTTTCAAAAACGGTGTTATATATACACATGAATTCTAATTCTTTCGGCCCTATTCAAAACAATGTTACATAAATGTTGGTTAAGAATCTTCTATACTCCCTTCGTCCCATTTTGTTTGTCTAGTTTAGTTAACAAGGTTTTACTGAATTATTTTTAATTCAATTGTTCATAATATTAAGTTTAGTATTAGACTATTAGTATATAAAATTTATATATTCGGAAACTAAATTAAAAGTACTATTAAATTTATATGAATAAAGAGTTGGTTTGATCAATGAACAAAACAGGATAGACGGAATATATAAAATTACAGAAGTAGATGAAACATGATTCTCGTATCAAAAGATCACGAATTCAATTTTTGACAATACTCTTTCAGTTATACCTATCACACAAGGTATACTTAGTGAACCCCACTTATTTTATGTGTTTTGTAAACTATTGCCAAGGAGTGAAATTTATCACATATATATCCTCATATAGTGACTGCGAATTTACCTCATCATTAAAAAAAAAAATAAAAAAAATACATGAGACAATATACATAAAAGGGAATTTCATTAACAAACAAGAATACAAAAGACAGTATACATAAAAGGGGAGCTTTCTTTGCCACCTACACAGTATCATATATGCAACTGTGAGTGAGACTGCAATACTCTCAGTTAAGTTGCCAATATGATTCATCATTTCAGTGTATTACATTGGGAGTGAAAGCATGCAATGGAGAGGTGATAGCTCTGTTTGATGTCAAGGCAATCTTGGTGGTTCCTTGTGGCAATCAACAGCACTTGATTCAAACATAATCCTTCACCATCAAGATCTCACCACATAGCTTCTTAGGTACTTGTTCCAATGCTTCACCCTCTTGCCATGCTTGCCCCACGATTACTCCTGGGCCCACGTGACGAACATATATAACAACCTGATCGTTGAATGGCCATGGATGTTTTGCTGCGATGTAAGAAGCCCTTAATTAGACACATGCAAAGTACAAAATAATCTTGGTAACACGGAATGCATCTATGGTCTTTAATTTGGACAGGCTGATGAAAATCTAGGAACATACCCTGAGAAACTAAGAACAACCAGAAAAAGTAGTTTATGATTATTAGTTTTAAGCAGAGAGACGAGAGCATGATGACACTCAATGATCACATGAAACCCTGACTGCGTGATTTTTGCCAATACAAAATCAAGAACACTCAAAGTATTTGTTGTTAGATTTTAACTTCCAAATGAACTCCAAGCAGCATAGGTCAAATCAGTGCACCAATGAGGTACATGGATGAGAAATACTATGCAACTACCATCTTAACATATATTACCAATGAAAATACTACAAAGCATGGTCAAGTGGTCTGCATGCTTAAGGAAGCAAGGCGTTAGGCTGCAGAAGTGTTTATGTGTTTACAGATTTTTTTTTTTTAAATAGCAATAGCATATATGCAACAAATAGGGTAAAACCAAGAATTTAATTTCTTGTTTAGCCCTGGTCTCTATTGAGTACCATAAAAATATTACTCACCTGGCTTAGGGAAGCCTTCTGGTAAATCAGGCAGATCAAACAGTCCATTTCCAAATTCGTATGCCAAATCACAAGGATGCTCTGTTGACATCACTTCATTCGATTCCTTTACCGTAAAATATAGTGGATAAGATTTTGAAATTCCAGCCAGAATTGATCCACCTGATATGTAGTTCGTTGTCAGAAGCATGGCCAATTGGATGAAGAAACATATATCAGCAACAAAGTTGTAAATGACACACGAGATAAAAATTATAAGGGATATTTATGTTTCTAAGGCTATCCCCATTAGAGGGATTTTCACAGTTTTTGATAAAACTTTTGACACCATGGAATAGAGAGAAGATAAAATGTGTCCTGCAAATATGAGGATTTTACAGAAATATGGGGTCCACTTTGCTAGCTTCTCTCATTCTCTCTCTTGTGTGTTGCATAATTGTGGGGTCCACTTTGTTTTTCTTTTTTTAAAATCAGCTTTTATTGTTTTTTTTTTCTTTCGTTTTTCTCTTCTATCACATCTTCTCTTTCCTAATCACACCTACAAAAACTCCTCAAAAACCACACCAAAATCTCCACTATTGAGGATGCCCTAAGGATGCGTACACACTGCCTCAAGTACCCAAAAAAAAAAAAAAAAGTTGAAATTTGAAGCAATAAGTGAGATGGAGTCATGGAGACCTTCGACTATACATGAACATTAAAACTATAAGCCATCCAGAAAACCCACATATTTCAAACATCAGTAAAATGAACTTTCAACATATTAAACAAAAAGTTCATATGCTGTTAAATATCATAATATCAGATGTTATGAGTGAACATACCAATGATTCGTCCATATGTCTTCCCATCCCCACAGTGGAAGACAGCCTAGCCAAAGCATTAACAGAAATCATCATGTGTTTGTGAAAATGCACGGTCACTAAAGAAAAGTAAAATAATTTATAATAGAAAATAAATGGAAAATGTGGAAAATAAGTCCAAAGGCAACATATCACGGTGAAAACCTTGTTGAAGTAATTTATCCAGGAAATGAGTAGAGGCCCTGTATCACAATTTCAATGTATCAAAATATCTTCCATAAACCAGAGTACTTGAAATAAAAAGCTTTTAGCTAAGGATCTAGGAAATTAACAAATTCTCGTGCTAGCTAGATTCCATGATTGCTAACTAAATGAAAGAGCAAAACCAGGGGAACATATAGAAGAAAGTCAGCAAACCTCCACTTGTTCGGCATTTCCAAAATTCAAGTGAAGTCGTGTCATTCCCATCAGAAAGCAGGCTAGATGCACTTTTCTTTGCCAACTTGGGGTCATCATACCTCATCCCAGCTATCTGCCAAGCTCTCGATATAAGCCTGTGAGAATTTCCACATATAAGAAGCTGAGCTGCTGTAAAAAGCATAAGCTCTTGTGATGTTCCATTGAAACTACGCCTCTAGCTAATAGATTCTTGGAACAATTTTAGAACTTTCCCCACGCATAACTTGAAATCTCTAAATACTAGATGAATACACATGCACATCATTTGTTTCCAGGAGTAAAAAGTCACGAAGAGATGCAAAGAAAGCACGGGCTAAACATCTACATGGTAATATTTTCTCCAAGAAACCATCAACAAGATCGGATACGGAGTATTAAGCAAAAAACACATGGGAAAGAACAATGCACCACTGCATTCATCTTGTTTAATGACCAGTAACTTACACAAGAAGAATGTCAAAGAGATTACTAATTCAATCCAATAATGAAAATGAAACACTTTGCAACCAGAAATGAAATGAAATTTCATAATGAAACATGCTGAAGCAATTTAAGGAATCACAAACCTTGGGTTTAGCAAGGAGAGCAACCTATGCCGCCTTTGTTCTGGTATATCTCCAATTTTTTTCCTGACCACATAGGCAAAAAAGAAACGGCATTAATAATGAAACAACGATACTATATAAGCTCAACAATCACTTATCAGTTATCAGCAATGTTTTTCCATCCCAACAACATATACACCGTAACTACATACGCAAATATAGATTTACCAGAGATACGAAGCGGGATTGTAGGCAGAAGGGTCGAGAGGAACGAGCTCTTTGGGAGGGTCAAGGAATGTCACTACGTCCTGCTCATCCAAGTACGATATTGTCCCATTCGCCAATACTTCATAGGGTTTATCATCCCAGTCCGGTGAAAATGGGCTGCCAGAGTACGACGACGACGACGCATTTGCACCCTTCCTTGCCGCACGGTATATCGATGATGAACCGCGATAATGAGCTAACCCTAAGCCGTATAAATTCGGGATTGGCTGCTGATTTGGGAAATTGATTTGACGGGAACGAAGCGGGAAGTAGGTGAATGGGCGGTGAGCCGGAAACCCAACAACTCCTTTGCCGCCGCTGCAGCTGCACGTTGATGACGGCGTCGCGGCTCTCATTTCAGTTACAGGCGGCGCTTCCTAAATGGAACAACTGATAATTCCGGGAAAACACAGATGGCAACCTTATGGAAAGTTACAAATAGAAAACAATATTCTTATTTGAAATGAAAAAATTATTTTCAAATAAAAAAATTGAACTAATATAAATTATCTAACTTTATTAGATAATTTTGTTTTTCTTTTTCTAATAAAAAAAAAAACAGGTGAATAATTTATAGTCTTATAGTTTATTGTGATTCAAATATTAATTGATATGTGAACGTATAAGTACATTTTGAAATAATAGGTATAAAATGAATGTGGGTTGAATTTGGAGTTGGGGTAGGTATGGAATGAATGTGTGTTGATTAGTATATTAAGTGGTGTGACAAATTAACTGGTATATTAGATTATGATCAATGTGGATGTGGGACATGCAAAGTATTATGCATAGCAAATACTATGTGGGTGATATTTATACTTAGTGCAATTACTATCATTTATAGTAAAATGAAATATTTTAATATTTTATTAATGATGAGTCTTTTTGTGCACAAGTGAGGTTTATAAGTTAGGTCGGGAACTTTACTAGTGTATTAAGAGAGCTTCAAGCCATTTCCACATTCAATCTAAGATGCGTGTTGACTTTTATAGAGTTCATCCCATGACACATGTTGATAATCCGACGATGAGCAACACATTGTGTCTAGAGCTATAAGACATTAGGCTGATCTTACCCCTGCAAGTGTACCCATTTGCAATCTTATTTAGCATGCCACATAGAATTATTTTTTATTTTTATTTTATTTTTGTTATATGATGTGTAATGCAAACTTGCATCTGTTGCAAGTTTGCAAAGTACAAAGAAGGCTGCCGAATGGCAGCCTTCTTTGTACTTTAGTATTGCAAGGCAGTATGGCTGTCTGCAAATCTGTACTTTTCTTTAGTTTTTATTTTTTTATTATTTTATTTATATATATATAATATAAAATAAAAGTGAGACTCATTTTTGAGAGAGAGAGGTTTGTAGGGATGTAGTATGAATAGGAGATGATTTACAAATACGATGATGTGGATGTGGGACCCATTTTTTAGAGTGAGAGAGATTTGCAGGGATAATGTTAGCCTGTCATTATGTCACCCACATCACATATTCGACCAAGGCTAATGAGACAGTGCGATATGATGCAATCTGACATTGGACAAAATCATTATTAAAAGAGATCGAATGAGGTCGTTAGATGCTTAAAATGATTGGTTAGGACTTTGCCACAATTGATTAAGATCATAAAATATGTGTCTCATTGTACCCCATCAACAATTAATCATATACTGAAGATGTACAATAATGATTATTCTTGGTACCTATTAATTCAAGTAAAAACCACAAAATGTGATGCTCTCCTTATAGTATAGACAATGTAATAACTAAACCACCATAACCTAGTTTTTATTAGGTTATTTATTTTTCATTTTGCTTAATTTATATAAAAACTTGCCGTCGCTAGAATATATCAATATGCCATTCTTAAAACAAATTAAATTTGAAATTTGAGTTAATTTCATTTTTTGTTATAGATTTGTAGGTGAGAATCAATTTTTAGTCATTTTTTATTATAGCATTCTCATATGGTCATATTATTATTGTGGCATAGTCATTTGTAGTTATCAATAAACAAAATAATTGAAATATCGTTAAATACACAATCATTTCAATCTTTTTTAATACAAAATAGGTTGAATCGGTATATTCTTATGTTTATATTTTTGAAAAAAAAATCATAATTAAATACTGAAATGTCATTGTATTTAACGATATTTAAATGAGTTTATTGATAAAAGATAAAAAATAATCATGCCACAATAATACCAGGACCAAAAGTAAATGTTCAGAAAGTGAATATTCAAATAAAAATGACTTAAAATGAATTGCCACTTATAAATCCATGACAAAAAGCAAAATTAACTCTTTAAAATTCTATAATTATCAAATCAATCACTCGATTTATTTGTGCTATAATTTTCTCTATTTTTCATTCTCGATGGACTACAGGCAAATTATGTTGTGCATCATGGTGCACGCGGATGCAAAAACGACTTTGTTTTGAATAAAAACGCGCATCCCACTTTCCCGACAACAACATTATGTCGTGCATAATTTGAACTATATATTCAGAATCAATCAATGAACTAAAAATCCAGAATCAATGGACTAAAAATTCAGAATCGATGAACTAAAAATACAGAATAAATGAACTAAAAATACAGAATGAATGAACTAAAAATTCAAAATGAATGAACTAAATATCAATAATGAATGAACTAAATATCCAGCATGAATAAAAAAAAATCAATTTCAATTTCTGTCTAAATATCCAGAATCAATGAACTAAAAATCCAAAATGAATGAACAACCAAGGACGGAGGCAAGTGCATACTTAGGGGGGCCTTGACCCCACTCCCCCATCCCAAAATTTTTTAATATTATATATGTATTAAATTTTTTTTAAAAATATTATATAAATTTTTAAAATTTTGTTGTTTTTTAAAAATATTTGGCCCCCCTCCACTTAATTAATCTTACAGGTAAAATTATAAATTTCTTCATCTTCTCAACTTTTTTCAGTTCTCTCCTATTTTGAATTATGTATTCCCTATATTGTTGACTCACATTCAAATTAGACCTCATTTAACCTACTTATTAGTTTCTCTCTCTAGAACCATGCACCTATGCGGCATATACGTTATAATAAGATAATTTGTCATTAACAAAATCTATGCATATTTCTCAAGTTAAATTTTGTGTTTTTTTTTTTAATTTTATTTTTGTATCTAACTACTTGTTTGGTTAATTTTTGTTTCATATTCTATTGTTTATCTTAAATAATTGTTTCATTTGATTCTAAATCATGGCTATCAAGGTGCATTTGTTTGGTTAATTATGTAAATTTGTGATTGTGTGATAAATTTTGTATTTAATTTAAAATGCATAATAATGTAACAATTGTGTAGTATATATATTTGAGAAAACAATTGCTATTATGTTATGTTGTGAAGATGGTTTTTCAAGAAATAATCAATAGTCTTTTAAAACATGCGTAAATGTTTTAATTCTTTCAACCGTACAAAGCAATGTGCATTGAAAAACATATTGCAAAATAATTTAATATAGATTCAATTATAAATGATTTATTCTAAACTTTATTGAATTTGTAATGTAATGATTATTTTGATATATGTTAACGTGATATCAATGTATTTGATTTAGTACTTCAATCATAGTTGGCCCCCGCACTATTCCGTCCTAACTCCGTCCCTGTGAACAACAACATAAAATAATGCTGTTGAGGGGAATCGAAACTGATTTTTTTTTAAAAAGTGAGACGCACATTTTTAGCCAAAACGATGTCGTTTTTGCATCTGTATGCACCATGTATGGTGCACACAGATGCACAACATAACGATTGGACTAATGGCCTATAGGCCGGTTTTTATAGTTACACCGACCCGATACTGTAGCCCGCATCCCAATTCTGGCCCAGACACAAAACCTTCTACTATTCTACTAAAACCAAATACTAGGGTTTTATCCTCTCCCTCTCTGAAAATTCACAGGGTTCTGGTCGTCGACAAACATGGTTCGTCCCTGAGTATCTTCATAGAATTATCTCTGAACCTTTGATTTTTTTCTTCTCAATCTTCTAATGCTGATACTGCTCCGTTTGTGGAATGTTTCTAACAGCCGCAGGGAGATTACATAGAGCTGCACAGGAAGAGACATGGCTACCGCCATGATCACTTCGAACGCAAACGCAAGAAGGAGGCTCGTGAAGTTCACAAGCGATCCCAGATTGCCCAAAAGGTAATGTTCTATTTCTGTCTCATCACTACTTCACTTGCAAAATTGGAATTTGTTTTCTTATTTTGAGTGCTTACTTTGTTGGTATTGATTGATAACAGGCTCTGGGTATCAAGGGTAAGATGATTGCTAAGAAGAACTACCGCGAGAAGGCCTTGATGAAGAAAACGTGAGCTAGATTTTATTGTTTTTAGCTTTAATTTAACTATCTTCAGGGTTAAGTCTTTGGCTAATCATTTTTTGCCGTAAAAGTTGCCATAGAATATCAGTGTAGTTACATTTATTATTGAAAACTGATTACTATTGCTATAGGATAGTTAAATCAAGGAGCTTTTGTGGTTTTCTACCTATAACATTGAAAAAAGAATTGGCTTTGGATTTTCATAATCCAGCTTATGAATCAAGAAGTCATCTTATATTATAGCATGCTGTCATGTCAACAGATTGGCAATGCATGAAGAGTCATCATCAAGGCGTAAGGTTGATGAGGATGTTCATGATGGAGCCCTTCCAGCCTATTTACTTGATCGTGAAAGTACAACAAGAGCAAAGGCAAGTTTGTTAGCCGGAGTTTACTCTTCCCTCCTTTTCATTGTTAGGAAGTGGTTGTCATAATTGTGATTTCCATTTGTTGTTCCTTGTAGGTTCTCAGCAATACTATAAAACAAAAGAGGAAGGAGAAAGCTGGGAAATGGGATGTCCCTCTACCTAAGGTAGTGCGAATTCAAATTACATCAAAATCTGACTGTTGTGTTGCCTGTTTTTTTGTGTTACTTTTCTAATCTCTGCACCCTGATTATCTTTAGCAGTTATCATCCTTCTATCTATGTACATATTTTTAATTGGTATATGACACAACATTGATCATGAGCTAAAGCCAATCGGCCATTGAGCTAAGAGTTTTCACTTACAAACTTCAAAATTGAATGACTTGCAAACCAGTTATGGTCCTTAGGTGCAATAGTGAAATGGGATTTAAAAAATCTAATTATGGGTTCAAGGGAGAATAGATTTTTGGATAATGCATTGTGCATATAATGTAAAATTTTTTGAGGTTAAACTGTTAAGGATGGTTATGCATTTATTGTTGCAAAATTGAGGTTAAAGATGATTTTGCACTTCATGAATTTAAATCATAGATGGTTTTCTTGAATATGCTGTATTTATTGTTAATTATATTCTCTTAAGATATGCAATTAGTTAAATGGGCACCTTCTACCTTCCAGGTAAGACCTGTGGCTGAAGATGAGATGTTTAGAGTGATCAGAACTGGCAAAAGAAAGAGTAAGTGCCTCACAATATACTAATATACATATCTCTACTTGCTTTGTTATTTAAGAATTTTGCCACTTGATCTTCCTTTCTTACTGTTTGTGGGAGGAGGATGGGGGATTATTTGGGGACTTCATTGATTGCATGTTAGTATTTTAAAATGTTCTTTAGGACCCTACCCCGAGTGGCCGAGTGCCCCCTGGATGGCCGGACCTCACAATATTTTCTTATAATTTGGTTTTGTTTCATATGCAGCCAAGCAGTGGAAGAGGATGGTCACAAAAGCCACTTTTGTAGGACCTGGTTTTACTAGGAAACCTCCAAAATATGAGCGCTTCATACGCCCCTCAGGTTTACGTTTTACTAAAGCTCATGTGACTCACCCTGAACTTAAGTGTACTTTCAATCTTGAAATCATCGGTGTTAAGAAAAATCCAAATGGTACAATGTATACGTCTCTTGGTGTCATAACCAAAGGAACCATCATTGAGGTAACTTCTACGAATATGAACACCTTTTCCATGTGAATAAACTACTGCAATTGCTAGACATCATTGATTGATCCCTGCCTGCGTATAATTTCAGGTGAATGTCAGTGAACTTGGTCTTGTAACCCCTGCCGGAAAAGTAGTCTGGGGTAAGATCATGCTTTGCTCTTGCTATTTATGCAGTTTATTAGTCTGTTCTGCTTTATGTATCATGTCTCACTTCTGATTCATCGGTAATGTGCAGGGAAGTATGCTCAAGTGACAAATAACCCCGAAAATGATGGCTGTATCAACGCAGTTCTCCTTGTGTAGAAGAAATAGTATTGAACAGAGCAGCCGGGTGTTCATTTTACAGCACGAAACCCCCATTTTTACTTCCTGCACTAATTATCAGTTTCTTCACTTTCTTGATTTGGTTTCAAGTCTTTTGGCCTCTGTGCCATCTGTTTTTGTTTGTAATTTCAGACTAAATAACATACAAGTACGAAATCAACACTCTGTTAAAGAGTTTTTATATACAGTTTCCTTGTAGATTCATGGTAAGTGAGAACAACAGAGAATTCATCTGCACTAAGTAGGAAAATGACTTCTGGAAAACGTTTTTTGAAAATGAGTTCGGTCGGTTGCATTCTGAAAAATTGTTTTGGTGTGTTTAGTTCATTTTCTAAAAAAATAAGTAAAATTGTATAAGCATTTTAAATATTTTATTTAGAATATAAAAATATTTATAATAATAATATTATTATTTATCATTTAAAAAAAAAAACAAAAACGACAGCTGTGGTTTACGTTGGAAATAGGCGGAAGATTGGCGAAAAATGACTTTCGTCAAAATGATAAAAATTTTTATAGTTAATAGAAAATATTTTCTGTTTGATAAAGAAGTCGGGCTACGTGAATAAAACATCCGCTACTATTTTGATGAATCATGCGCTCACAGTGTTTTTTCTTTGTTATACATTTTAGATTTGCTTACCGTCCTTTGATCTGAGTGTTTTTTCTTTGTTATATACATTTTAGATTTGCTTACCGCCCTTTCAATCTATCAGAACAGATCAGGCTATATCTATCAATCGATTTGAAAATATGAAGATTATAACTCAGAGACACCAAACAAATTCCCTAGGACTGCTATAACTCGAATAATATAGACCACGAAAAATATCAAGGATAGAACAAGTAGAACAAGGAGGCGAAGCTTCTAATGTTAGATGCATGATTTTCACGTTAAAATGTGATGCCACATCCTTAGTCATCGGACATAGCCCTTGCAATATTTTTAAAATTGTATTCTAAATAACATTTCTAATTATATATTGCACGCCGCATGCACACATAGTGCACACAAACAACAACAATGTATCTAGGAATTAGCAAACTCGCCAAAAACACGACATCGCCAACTCCTATCTCATCGGTGAACGCCCTCAATTAGCCTCATGAGGGAATCTGCCAACGCAAAGCTGCAACGGTTGTGGCAAACACAAGTGAGACTAACGCACAACTCGATAACTTCATCAAAGGAAACAAAGTATAGGACCTGAATTTTAGTGGCAGCAATCAGGGAACCCTCCACACGGCCACCAACCATCTCGCCATCAGAGCCTCGAAATGTGATATTTAGGCCCTGACGTGGTTCGACTCTACCAGTTCTTTTGATGATGAAGTGGCCTGTAAGGTGGGCAATGGGAAAGGCTCCCTGCAGTTTGTGGAAACAATGCATTATAGCAATTTAATGCATCATATAGTCTGCAGATCGGGCATCCAATGCTGTTTCTTTTTTGAAGCAACATTTAAAACGTTTCTGTTTATGAAAACTAGTAAAAAAGAATATAGAATTATGTGGTAATCAAGAAGTTTAAAATGATATACCTAAAATGAAGACTGAAATGGGGTGACATACCTCAAATGATTTTGTTAGTAGTCTGGTAGATATGGCTGGATTCAAGACGGATCCAGTTGCTGACAAGACAACTCCGAGATATTCTTGAGAAGGCCGGGGGATGTTCCTGAAGTGAGCCAGGATAGTTTGAACAACATCCTAGAAATGAGAAAGATAAGAATTACAGTTAAATTGAATGAATAAATGATCAGAGTAAAATGAGATATGATTCACAAAAAGAAATCTAATCACAAATGCAAATAATCTACTAGCTTTCACGTTTACGGAAGATAGAAAGTAAATTAGACAGTGAGCAACTGACCCTCTAAACTATAGCAAATTGAATGCACTATATAATATGATCAACTCTCAATAAAAGCCAAGACGAGGTAGAACTACTAAGCTACATATAGTAAGTCAAATGATCTGATGCTCCCTATGGTGACAAGTAAGACCATTTATGGAACGAAAGCTCTAGACGCCACCAAAGTGGACTAAACAAGAGGGCTTGGGATTGGACCCTCCCCCTTCAAACAAAAGCTTGGACGGCACCAATACCACGAGTAGACAACCAGGTGAACACAAAGTGGACCGAACAAGCTTGATACCACATTACAATCTAAGATTGGGCCAAAGTCACTCAATCGGGCTATAATGCACATGGGTCAACCCACACTAAAAGATTGAATCCAATCAATCAGCTAGTCTAACCCATAACCTTATAAACTCATATGTTCTCTCTTATATTTTCAATGTAGGACTCTTAACATGGGTCAACTACATCTTTCTTTAACTTAATATTTGGGAACCAAATTGGCATATTGCAAGAATGGACAGGAAATGAACCAAATTGCCAAGTATTAGGACAAAAGTTGCAGCAAGCTTGTAAGAATTATGAGCAATGGGAATCAACAGAAAGACACCTCTCCAGCATTAATTGAAAGGATGTCTTGAACGATGCGCGTTGGGCTTGGGGGCTCTGGTCCTGCAAAATAAGTATATAAATTCGTGCTGAAAACCCAAGTAGAAATTAATGTGTGTGTGTATTACATAATACATATATTACATACACACATAAGGAGGTGGAGCTTCTGCTCTTTCTACAATATAATTGTCTTCATATTTTCATAGTTAAACCTCAAAAGCAATTATAATTAACAAAAAGAATTGTGCTCAAGGAAATTTCTCCAGAAGCAGGACCTATTTCTTCCCTTCCAAATTACCCACAGCAAGCACAAAGCAAAACCTATTTTTTCCCTTCGTTTGGCTAGATTGAGAGGGCCCATAGAATGATTTTGTAAATATACAAGGAATTTATTCAAATAGACACATTTGCTGCTATTCCTATAACAGAATTTCCTCATCTTCCTTCTCTTTTGAAGATTTTTCAGATCCTAAGTTCTAACTTCTAAAGGCAAATTAAAGGAAATGAAGTATACAGAAGTGATTTAAGCCGACAGATTGAAAGAAAAACATATAGATAAGCAAAATGCCTCCAGTTGTTTGTCCTGAGGATCTCCTTCTTCTTCTTCTTCTGGGCAGTTCCATATCACCATCAATACGAGCTGGCACTGCAAGAATCATTTTGTAATAATCATCCGGTTTAGGGCACGATTCCATAAGGGGATGGAGCTTCTAGGAAGGAGGTGGAGCTTTTGGGGTTAAGATTTTAGGGGAAGAAAGCGAAGCCTCTGGGGTGTTCTGAGTTTAGGGCAAGGAGGCGGAGCTTTGGGGTGTTTTGCTTTTAGGGTAGGGAGGCAGAGCTTCTAGGGTTTTGATTTAGGGTAAGGAGGTGGAGCTAAGGTTCTGAGTTTAGGAGAAAAGGCGGAGCTTCTTGGGTTCTGGAGAAACACACTCCTAGATCAGACTCTCTTCTTCAAGATGAGTTTGATGGAACCAACGGCACCCTAAACGAAGATCTGGAGAAGGAGATTTGACCGAAAAACAGCCTAGATTGTGCTTTTAGTGTTGGATTCTCCTTAAGGAGGTGGAGCTTTTAGAGCTAGACTGTCCTTAAGGAGGCGGGGCTTCTGAGGTTCTAATTTTACGGCAAGGCTCCTTAAGGAGGGGGAGCTTATAGGGCTGCATTGCACGGTTTTCACGCTGAAATGTAAAGTTACATTCTTATCCTTCCGTTACAACCCCCACCCCCATCCCCACCTCCAATTTTGTCTTTTGTAACCTGGTTGCATTTTAGCTTAATATAACCAAATAATTCAGCAAAAAAAAAAAAGAAGAGGCTTTGCAATGCTACTAAATCCAGACAACCATATTAGAAATAGTTTTGGTAATGGAAAAAAGGGAAATTTATTAAATGGTACCAGAGCAAGAAGGGAAACCTATTAAAAGATAATCGACTGCCCATTTCTACTACTTGCACAAGGGAAAAGAAGTCAAATTCAAAGATGGATCTCTCTAAAGGTATATCATTCATTGCCAATCCTAAAATGCTAAGTACATTAACACATTAGCAATGCAAATTAAAGCAAAAAAGAAGACAACCTAACCAAAGAAATTATCAAACTTTCCGACAAGTAAAAGATCCTGAGCTAAATATACATTACACAAACTACTGGAAAAAAGCTACCGGAAGGAAATTTATTACTCCATTTATTAGCGGTAAATATACATTATCAGTAGACAGAACAAAATGGGAAATTTACTAAACCATAATCTTTTGGCCTCTACTACAAATCACAGGGCAAAAGGAAATGAATTTGAAGGTCAATCCTTCTAAAGGTATCATTCATAGAATCATAGCCAATCCTTAGAATTCCAAACGCACTAAGCCACTAATACATTAAATAGAAAAGAAGCAATACATTTTTTTACCAGAAAAGAAAACTACCCAATCCAACCAATTATCAAATTTAAGAAATTTTGTTATAGGTAAATATACATTACCATAAATACCAGAAAAAAAAAAAGGAGGAGAAATTTAATAAATGATGCCTCTACTACTAATCACAGGGCAAAAGGAAATGAATTCAAAAGATCAGCCCTTCTAAAGGTATCTTATTCATTGCCAATCCTTAGAATGCCGAGTACATTAACAAAAATTATTTATTTATTAAAAAGCAATACAAATTCGAGGGATTTCGTCGTTTTGAGCAAAAACAAATACTACCTATTGGTAAATAACACTACAATAAATACCAGGAAAAAAAAAGGAGAAATTTATTAAATGGTAATCTGCTTGCCTCTACTACTAATCACAGGGCAAAAGGAAATGAATTCAAAAGATCAGTTCTTCTAAAGGTATCTCATTCATTGCCAATCCTTAGAATGCTGAATACATTAACAAAAAAAAAGAAAAAAAAAAAGAAAAAAAAGTAGTAGAAGAAGAAGAAATGCAAATTCGAGCAAAAACAAATACTACCTAGTCGAACAAATTATCAAATTTCAGAACAAATATAAGATTGAAAACTAAAACATACATTACACAGCCGAAAAAGGCCACCAGATATCCAAAAAAGCAGCATTGCAGTGCTCCGACAATAGGATGAAGGTTACACTGCAAGAACAACGACATCATCATATTGCAGATAAAAACAATACAAAGAAGAAATGCAATGTAACCGCTTCTTGTTTGTTTTGTCGTGTAAAAAAAAAAAAAAAAAACTTACCTTTCTTCCATTCGAATTAAATTTCAGCACTTTGCAGAAAGATATTTCAAACACAACAGTCTTTCTGGGGAAAAAATTGCAGAAAATGATAAAATTTCCCAATTTTCTTCTTGCCATTGTCTGGTGGAGTGGTAGATTGTGGAAGGCAAGGGTTCGATATTGAAGCATGATCAGTTGAATTGACTAATTTGCCCTCGTATCGCTATGTTTTCCCGGGGGTAGTTTGATAATTTCGGTGGGCAACTGCCTCGGGTATGAAACCCGACATGGGCGGAGTGTTTTTGAACAAAGGTGAGATCTTTTGCAGCTACGCCACGTTTCTGAGAGCTCGAACAGGAAAAAAAAAATGGCGTCGAACGCAGCGGTGCCGTTCTGGAGAGCAGCGGGGATGACTTATATCACGTACTCGAACCTGTGCGCAAACATGGTGAGGAACTGCCTCAAGGATCCTTACAAGTCTGAAGCTTTGAGCAGAGAGAAGGTCCACTTCTCCATCTCCAAGTGGATCGATGGAAAAGCGGAGAAGCCTGGTAAGCATTCGTTCTACGCTTGTCTTGTATCGATTCACAACATCGGTTTCAGTTTTGAATCTTAGGCGTTTAATCAAGAAATTATCTGATGCGATTTGATTGTTTGATTTGGTTTCTCTTATTTAGTTCTGATGGTTGTTATTCAATTATTGCACAGCATTTCTGTTTCATCAGTCCTGCTATCATATTAAATAAGTTTAATTGATAACCTATTAATTCTTCTCCCAAAAGTTTGAATCCTCAACCGAGCATTTGGGTCTTGGAGGATGTAAATCACGGTTACGAGCAGATAGGGCCAAATGGCAGTACGCACAAGGATCTGTCCACTTTGGGCATAATATCCAGGGGGCAATAACTATTAATTCTAATATGTTAAAATGCATGCCCACAAAAGGCGAAATCCATTGCCCCGGGCCCACACTCCGACCTGACAATGTGCGTCCAAAAAAACTGTGGAGGGTAAATCACGGTAACTCAGTGGTCCACTCACAATGTGCTGGGTGCCACCGAGATGGTGAAACATTGCGGTTGCCCGGGGTTGATCCTGCATCCCGCCCACAGTGTGCCACCTAGGAACCAATTGAGCTACCCACGGGTTAATTTGTTCAAATGCTGAAAATATGATTAGATGTTTTGCTATCTTTGTTGGCTGTTGGGGTTTGGCTCATTGCTACTAAATGGATGTGGTTATAAGCTGCTCATTGCATTATAGTACAGACTAGAGTAGTCAACTGCAGAATTTAAAACATTAAGAACTCCATTACTGTCCTTTTATTGATCTTTTTCTTGCAATGTATAATTCACTTTGATAATCGTGTTATGATTTGTATTGTCTGAAAGTTGTTAACATTGAACTGTTTGTATTGAGATCTGCGTTATATTGTGCATGATAGACTGATATTGTGCCTGCTTTAATCAAGTGGAGCTGCTTAGTTTTGTTATCATGTCTTCTTTCCGAACTTTGAGTCTAGATAAATAGATTACATGGATATATACCATTTTTCTAGTACGATTTATCTTTCTTGTGTGATTTATAGACTATTACACAAGAGTAAGGTTTATCTGTTGACCACCATCGAGTACTGATTACGAGTTTCCGTTGGTTTGCTTCAATAGCTATCCGCTCGGACACTCCTGAAGCATGATATTGATCTTGGGTGCTCTGGGCTCGAGTGTTCGCCTTTGAATTCCGCTGGCATTCTTATAACATGCTCCGCTCCCTCGCACACGAGAGGCTGGAAATAATGTAGGTGATGAAGTTGTTGGCGAGGGCCGGGGATCTTGATTTTGTTGACAAATAATTGGATCATAATAGTTTTACTGGCAATTGTGTCCATAGAACATTGTGTTTGATTCATTGGAGTTATTGTTTTCTCCATCTGTGATTGAAGCACAAATGAAAGTGCCATAACATACCCTTTTGGTGTTGGCCTGGGGATCTCCTTTTTGTTGACAAACAATTGGATTTAGTGGCAATTATGTCCATGTAATAATGTTTTTGATTCATTAGTGTTATTGTTTTCTCCATCATAGTGTTTGGAAAGCAGAAAAATAACTTTTGGAAAATGTTTTCGGGAAAATGAGTCACTCTAGAAAATATTTCCCTTTCCAGTTTGGTTGCATTTCAGAAAATTCTTTTGGTGCGTTTAGTTCATTTTTCGGAAAATGAGTAGAATTATTTTTAATTATTTATTTTAATTTATTATTATTATTATTATTAAAAGATTAAAAGATAAAACCAAATTTAATGGGTAGGTTGCACCCCGGTTGCACGGAAACAGGAAATGAATATTAAATTTATTTATAAGTATGTATTTACAACTATTTTTAAAAAATATTCATAAATATTAATTATTTATTAGGTTTTAAAGAATTTTTTAATCCTTTAAACATTTTATGAAGTTTTTGTTACTTTATAGGATAAAATCTAAAAATGACCAAATTTAAAGAATTTTCGTGCAACATAGCTTAATTGAGTGGAGTCAATTTACCTCTCAAATTTTGATACCTATAATTTAGAGGTTGATTACATTAGATTATGATAAATGTAATTTAGAGGTTGATTACATTACATTACATTATGATTATATTTATAGAGGTTGATTACACTAAATTACGATACTTATGATTTAAAAGTTGATTACATTATATTAAAATATTGAAGTGTTCAACGCTCTCTTTGGTTCTCCTTCGGGCTTCAGCGTTTCGTCGAGAATATGAAATGAGTGTATATGTTTTGTCGCATTGTCTTGAATAGCAACGGGCAACAATACAACAATATTACATATACGAATATACAATGTATATTACCAATTTACCACCTACCACTTACCATCCAACCGATCACCATAATTATTTACGTTATCATACTATTATTTATCTATCATCCTTTTCATCGCCATAATCTCATCCCATCTACAACCTACCACTTTTGTCGATTATTTATTTATGTATCTTTCAATAATAATACAATATTACAATGTGCATTAGACCACCTACCGTTAACAGATCGTTATGACTATTTACTCTATCCAACTATTATTTGTCTATCATCCTTATCATCACCCTAATTTCACCCCATCTACCAACCACATGTCCCTGTTACTCGACATATTGTCACTTATTGCCCATATTTATAAATTTGTATACGTAAATAAGATTAAAAACATTATTATTATTATTTTTTGTTCTTGTATACTTGTAAATACAAAAATAAAAAAAAAAATTCACTTATAATTATTATCTACAAATTCTTATCTCTCTCTCACACATATATAAACAAACAAACAAACAAATACAAAGATCGTATTTTAACATGCATATTCACCCATTTACACACTACATACTCGCCAAAAGTATCACTTACCTATATGCTCACCCTACATCGTCTGATCGTCATTGCTTACGCACTATTATAATTTATACGGAGTATTTATTATCATATTTAATACTTGCTATTTAGTTTATGTTTTTTCAAATATTTCTATTTGAGGGATATATATATATATATATATATATATATATATATATATATATATATATAACACAATTAAAAAATTCAAATTTTAGTTCAAAATTTTAAACTTATCAAATCAATAACTTATTAAATTACTCAAAATTTTAAACTCCATTTTTATTCAAAATTTAGTTAAAATAATATGAATAATTTTGTTCGACTAAATATTTAAAATATTTTTAAAAATGTTAGATTTGAGCAATATATATATATATATATATATATAATTTATACTCTTTAGTTTTTAATTCAAATATTATAGATAAATATATTTATAAATTATTATTACTCATTACAAATGAACGAATTCACCTAATCTATTATCGCCTATCAGATAATGACGATGAAAATCATCGTCATTAAAAAGATAAAATAAAAAAAAGAAGCAGCCACGGTATGTCCGACGTATCTATCTGGCGTTGACAGCGGTTCAGCTGCAAAAAGACTCAATCTTTATACTTCATTTCTCTCTCTCTCTCTCTCTCTCTCTCTCTCTCTCTCTCTCTAGTCTCTATAATCCGCCAACAAAAAGCAACAAAAACTAGTTCTCTTCGGGTTTTTTTTTTCTTCCTTCCTTCTTCAACAATTCGTTTTCTCAATTCTCATCCATGGCAACGCCTCTTCTCTCGCCGTCTTTCAGCTCGCAAGCGTAGATCTAACTGCGTGCTGATCAGATATTTATGCTGAGCTTTTTTTTGGAGGATTAGCTGTTGAGCGACCAGAGTCAACAAGGTGATTATGGCAACGCTGAAGTCGTCTAGGTCAAGAAATTACGGCGCCGGGACGCCAGCAAAAGGGGGCAACAGAGACACCGGTCCGAAGCTCGAGGAGAAACTCAACGTCTTTAAAGCCGATAGCTTCGACGCCGATGGTTATGTACAGTCCAAGTGTCATTCTTTGAATGAAAAGGTCTATTCTTTTGCCCTGTCTCTTTACTTCTGTTCTAAGTTTTGGTGAATTGTCTATTTCCCATGTCGGAATTTACTGCTTGTCATTTTCCTTTTCCTTTTTATTTTTATTTTTATTTTTTATTTTTTATTTTTTTAAATTTTATTGTGAAAGTTTGTACTTTGTATGAATTTTGCTAAAATTTAGCTGCATTTTGAATGTTGAAATTGGTTGACTTTTGAATGAGTAGAAAGTTTGTTGTGTGTATTCTTCTGTAACGCTTGCAGTTAACTTTTCGTTTGTGAAGAGTAAAAGATGTGCCTGCCGTTTTTTTCTAAGTCATTTCCTGTTCAAACCATCACTGATTCAAAATTTTAATTTTTATGTGCTATGATTTTGTTCACATATGATGGGAACTGTCTGGACAGACAGACTAAGCATATTGGTAATAGTTATGACATTTTATCCTTTTGGAAAAATTAGATTAATTAGGCAAAGAATATCTAATCTAGGTAATACACATAACAGTTTCATTAGTTAAAGCGTTTCTTTCTTTTCACTCCATGTTTTGTGAGGTAATGTTATCATGTGAATTGATACATAAAAGGAGAAACCTAGATTAGAAATACAACAATGTTGACAAGTATACATTTTGAACAGTTTTGAAAATAGAAGTTTCGATTATCTAGTTTAACTTGAAGATCTTATACAGGAGATATGATTAGCGGCACAAGACTTTGTCCCTTTTCAGCTTATTCAGTTGTGCATGTTGATGAATTGACTGATCGTTTAACCTTTAAGATCGTTTATCTGTATCTCTAGTGTATGCCTGGAAAACTTTATTGCCATTTATTATGAGTGTCTTGATGTGTTGCAAATAAAGCCAGCTTTTTGAGGCAGAGTATAAACTTTTGTATAGTTTCTAGCTCTTAATGCTATACTGCTATCATCTATCCAGCCTAGTTGGAACTTTTTTTTTTTGATAAGTATATAGTGGCAGGCTATGGAAATTCTTACTATTCATTATACACTAATATTGATGCTGGGATGTCTTTATATTTGCAGGAGATTAGGCAGTTATGCTCCTCTCTGTTGGATCTAAAAAAGGCTTCTGCTGAGGAGATGCGCAGAAGTGTCTATGCTAACTATACTGCTTTCATTCGGTAAGTTATGATTTTTAGCTATGTAGACTGGCCGTTTCTTTTAATCTTTTTTTTTTTTGAAAACTTTAATCTTCTCTATTGGCTGCAAATTACATAGTATAACACCTGCCTTTAAGAAGCAAAAATATTTAAAATATAACATGGCTCAGAATGAATCTTCAACAAAATCTTCATTTTGGGCAAAGAAACAGTTTGAACTGCATCATAAGACTGCAAAGCAATGGAGGAGTATATCTCTCTCTCTTGCTCTCTCGAAGCAGTAAAGTGCACTTGTTCAACATGCTTTTCTCCATAACTTCCTCTTGCCATTAGTGATTGTGATTTTGATTACACTTTCACGGAGGATATCTTTTTTTCGCTGTGCATTTTTTCAATTCTTATTATGTTAGGCACTCATTTCTTCCATTTCTTTGTTCATTTTGCATTTGCAGCACATCAAAAGAGATTTCAGATCTCGAGGGTGAGCTTTCATCAATGAAAAAGCTGCTATCTACTCAGGCTACTTTAATCCATAATTTAGCTGATGGAGTTCATGTTGATTCTTTATCTGAAATTGATCCTGATAATGTCACACATGACACTTCCAATGATGAAACAAGTGAACCTTCAGATCTAGAGAAATGGTCAACAGAGTTTCCTGATTACCTTGATGTTTTATTAGCTGAGAGGAGAGTGGATGAAGCCTTGTCAAGCCTTGATGAAGGGGAACAAATAGCTTCTGAAGCAAAGGAAAATGGAACACTAAGCCCCACAGTCCTCTCGTCAATACAAACTGCCATTACAGAACGTAGGCAAAAATTAGCGGATCAGCTCGCTGATATTGCCTGCCAAACTTCTACTCGTGGTGCAGAGCTTCGTGCTGCTATTTTAGCTCTCAAGAAGCTTGGTGATGGTCCTCGTGCGCATACTTTACTCCTCAATGCTCATTATCAGAAATACCAGTACAATATGCAGAATATGCGTCCATCAAGCACCACATATGGAGGAGCGTATACTGTGGCGCTCTCGCAATTGGTATTCTCTGCCATTTCCCAAGCGGCCAGTGATTCATTGGCTATTTTTGGTAAGGAGCCAGCTTATACATCTGAGCTTGTAATGTGGGCTAGTAAGCAGACCGAGGATTTTGCTCTCCTTGTTAAAAGGCACGCACTCTCATCATCTGCAGCTGCTGGGGGCCTCAGGGCTGCTGCAGAGTGTGTTCAAATAGCTTTTGGACATTGCGCATTGTTGGAAGCTCAAGGACTGGCACTTTGCCCAGTGCTGTTGAAGCTCTTTAGGCCTAGTGTTGAGCAAGCACTGGATGCCAATTTAAAACGAATTGAAGAGAGTACTGCTGCTTTGGCAGCAGCTGATGATTGGGAACTCACATATCCTCCAACCTCTATGCGCCAGTCTTCAGCATATCAGCATAAGCTTTCAAGTAGTGCTCATCGGTTTTATTTGATGGTTCAGGTAATAGTTTTTTCTTCTTGCTTTTTTGAGTACTACTGACTCTGTTACAATGCAGTATCTGTTCATAACTACTTTCTCAACCTACTGAAGCACAAAGAGTTAATACCACATCCATTAAGGCTCAAACTCACAACCTCCCATATGGGAGAGCAACTTGGTGCCACTAGACCACAAGGTCCTTGGCTTTCTTCTTGCTTAATGATAACAAAAATGAAAATGTTAGACCTAGTGTACAAGACTCCAATTCATGCAAGCTCTCGAGAATGAATATGCATGCTAACTTACCTCTTTTGAGTTTTGATGAACAAAAATGGGAAGTAAATATAGTTCTATAAGAGAAGGCCTAAGTTAGATTTCCGCTCTCATTACACTTCTCATCATAGCCGCTTCCATATTCATTGTTGTTACGTGAGGATCTCAAGTGAATTTCGTCTTCCCTCTGACATGTTACGTGTTAGCATGCAGCTATACTATTATTGCTTCTAAGGTCTATTTTTAGTCTTCTTGGTTCAAAATGACATCTTTTAATTGATTATGCAGGATTTCTTTGAGGATGTCGGACCTTTGCTAAGTATGCAATTGGGCGGAAAAGCATTGGATGGTTTATTTCAGGTCTTCAACTCTTATGTCAACACACTCATAAAAGCATTACCTTCTTTAGAAGAGGAAAACAACTTTGATGGTTCTGCAAATAAAATTGTCCGAATGGCTGAGACTGAAGCCCAGCAAATTGCTTTGCTCGCAAATGCATCCTTATTAGCAGATGACCTATTGCCCCGGGCATCCATGAAGCTTTCTCCCTTCAATTACAGGGATGAACCTCAACGAAGGACTGATAGACAAAGCCGTCATCCTGAGCAAAGGGAATGGAAAAGGCGTCTTGTGAGCACTGTTGACAGATTAAAAGATAGCTTTTGTCAACAGCATGTTCTTGACCTAATTTTTACCGAGGAAGGTGATAGCCTTCTTACTGCAGAAATGTATATAAACATGGACGGTAATGTGGAGGATATAGAATGGTTCCCTTCTCAAATATTCCAGGTAAATCTTTTCCCTGGTTCCTTCATTAACATTACTTTATTAAAGTATTACTTGTTTTAATAGATTACCAACTTAAGAATATCCTCATCCCATGAAATATTATCCAACTTAAGGATATCAACTTCCCGTTCTATCTCAAATGGTAGATTTTTCATCTGACTTTTATCTAATTGATTGTGGCGCCATCAGGGGCTCTATATAAAGCTAAACAGAATAGCTGCCATAGCTGCAGATATGTTTGTGGGACGGGAAAGGTTTGCAACGTTGTTACTGATGAGACTCACAGAAACCATTATCTTGTGGCTTTCCCAAGACCAGAGCTTTTGGGATGATATGGAGGAAGGACCACGACCTTTAGGCCATGCCGGTCTTCAGCAGGTTTACATTATTCATATTCACAGCTTTTTGTATGTTGCTATCAAAGGTAGAATGTGGGTAAAAATAAATAAATCGAGAAATTTATTCACTTTTTGTATTCATTATATTGCAGTTCTATTTGGATATGACATTTGTGAGATGCTTTGCTTCCCAAGGACGCTACTTATCTAGGAATTTGAACCGCATCGTCAATGAGATCACATCTAGGGCATTGTCTGCATTTGCTACAACGGGGATGGATCCTTATAGGTATGCTCATAATTTACTTGACCAAAACGCCCCGCATTCAGTTTATTTCCATAAGTTTCTCTTTTTCATCCTCACCCCAACCAATCGTCGAGTGTCTTGGTGTCAACCTAGGGTGTATTTTTTTTTTTTTTTCCCCGAGTACTACTGACTCTATTACAATTCTGTATCTGTTCATAACTACTTTCTCAACCTACTGAAGCACAAAGAGTCAATACTGCCTCTACTGAGGCTTAAACCCACAACCTCTTATATGAGAGAGCAACTTGGTGCCACTAGACCACAAGGTCATTGGCACCTAGGGTGTATGTTAACATGCGCAACTATGCAAGTATATATGGACAGAAATTAGTTGTTTTTGCTTGTTTTGGTAACCATTGGCTATTTTGACAGCATTCTTCCCGAGGACGACTGGTTCACTGAGATTTGCCAAGACGCGATGGAGAGGCTGAGCGGGAAGCCCAAAGCTACCAATGGGGAACGAGATTTGAACAGCCCAACAGCTTCTGTCTCGGCGCAATCAATATCCTCTGTGAGATCTCATGGGAGCAATTGATGTATACTCATCATTAGACCTTTGTAAAGTATAGATGAACATATTCATTGCATGCATATAGATTTTGCAATACTTTCCATAGTAAATGCTCCATGCACTGTTGCTCTCATCTTGCTTGACTAGGACAACTGTTGTGACCCCAGACACTGTAAATGGTAATGTGAAATCTACATAGAAACCAGTTGCCTCCTTTGTAGTGTTTGTCTGCAGTAGATTGATGTTGATTCACCATAGAAACCATGTTATTAAAAAGTAGAAACAAAATTAAGTTTTATTGGGAGGATAGGGGGTTGAAGAGGCTCGAGAGAAATCCCCGATCACTATTTGATGTTGTGCACTTAGAAAATCTCACGTGATGGGTGTTGAGCATATAATCATTAATCTGCAATCCAACCATCAGCTTAAATTTTTAGTTGAGATGGAGCACATGCTTTAATTTGGTATCAGAGCCAGAGTTGGGTTCGAATCTCTCAGCTTAAGCTTTTAGTTGAGATGGAACACATGCTTCAATTATGGGTTCGTAACTTTTAAGAATTTCCTTTTCCTCATAAAAAGCATTTGCTAATGCAGAAAGCTTTTCCCAGATTGAAACATCAGAAGTTAAGATACCCTTGTTCTGATATAGGAAGGAGCAGAATAATATGAGAAGAGGTGATAATGCTGCAGATACATATCATTTATTTATTTCTAAATATTGACACACCCAATCAATACATTAAAACCCAAATTACACAAAAACATGTTACTGGGCTTAATATTATTTGATACTATGAAAAATTATTTACATATAAGCCCAATAACATAGATTTATGATGAACATTTTCACAGCACAGTACAGGCTTCATGAACTGGAGGTCTGGGTTCCCAAGTATTGGATCCTGCATCCTGCTCTGGAGAATCTGCATTTTCTGGATTTGGTGGACAATGGAGTTCAGGCACTGATTCTGGGGAGGAAACCACACCTTGGTTGCCTTCTTCATTGGGCTTTTGGGACTCCATAGGTGAGTCCTTTTCAACGAAAGCTTTTGCTAATGCAGAAAGCTTTTCCCAGATTGTCATGTCAGAGGCTAAGATGGCCGCCTTGTTCTCATTTATGAAGGAGACGAAGAAGATGATAAGGGCTAATAATATTGCTCCACCAGCAATAAGGAAGAGTTCTTCAAATCTGTCCAGTGACAGGCTCTCAGGATCATTCAAGCTTCCATCTTGCAGTGAACGATATGTTTCAACCCCAAACCATTTTTCCAGTATTCTTATCATAGCATCACTCTCTGTCACGCGTAATATTGCTCTCGAGACGTTAGGCACCAGAGGAGATCCATTGGGAAATGCCTGCAGCAAAAATAAGAAATCCCGAGTTTATAGAGAGACTGCACAATTATCATTTTATAGCCCTGTTTGATAAATGGTTGTTAACCGTTAACTGATTGAGTTAATTAGAGGGTATAACTAGTTGATAATATTAGTTGATTGTAAAAATGTGTTTAGTAAATTAGCTGTTAGCTAATAGCTGTTTGGTATACTTTCTTTTCTCAAAAAGCTAATTAAAAAAGCTGCTTTGAGCGGTTTTTTGAATTTTAACATTTTGGAGTTGATTTTTTAACCAAAATAAGCCAAAATTGACTGATAGGCTAATATTTATCAAACAGGGAACTCAGAGAACTTACAAATCCAAAACCACCGGTTTGGTAGGTCGGACCAACAGTAGTGTACTTTCGACCATACTTTCCAAGCAATAACCTAAGATAGGGTAGCTCATCCATAATAGCATCAACTCCACCATTTTCACTTCCTTTTCTAAGTGCTTCATCATAGGCTTCTACTGTGCTATAATACCTAATTCTTGTGCTCACAAACCCAATGTCAATTAACTTACCAGCAACAAAGGAACCTTCCTGGCACCCAACATACTTTTCATTCTTGATCAGATCATTAACATCAGTGACAATAGGCTGCAACTGATGTACGGTTAACATGGATGATAAACTAGCCGTGTAGCTAGATATCAGAACCAGTACCATCAACATCCATACTATAATCACAAATCTTGATAGGCTGCTTTTTACCCTCTCTTCTGCAACATATATTTTTAAATATCACATGCAAGAAATTAAAGGAAATCTGCAGACAGTATGTGCATAGTTTAATTTTTAACTTAATTAGTGCATGCAGTGCTTACTGTCTGGCGAAATAGGACATGAAATGGAGAACCAAAAGATCATCCCAAGTTGCCTTTGGATTGAACCTTGGAACTGTGGGTTTTCGCGGTGTTCAAAAACCCAAATCACAGTGACAATTAACAAAATGAACACTGCAATCATCATCCACAATTCTTTTTCCAGAGGCTTCATGAAAATCCATGCACCGTCTTGCTTGACTGGGACAACTAGGGTGACCAGAGACTCTGTAAATGGTAATGTGAAATCCACGTGCTCTGACTGGTTTGATAAAATGGTAATATCACCGACTACAGCATTGAGATTCTGTCAAAAAAGATCGAGAATGGCATTATAAGCATATATAGCAAGACCAAACAGAAAAGGCTGGTCTGATCTGATCTGATACAATCAAATTAAACATGCATGCAGGCAGGAATTGAAGTATATATTACCCCTTTAAAAACCTCTTCAACCAAGTCATTATAGTTTGAAGTGTTTCCATTTATATATTCAAATGGTATAGAAGGAGACATAGACTTCATTACTTGCTCAAAGACCTCTATACAAAAACCAGTTGGCGGCTCCTTCACAGTGTTTGTCTGGCTATCAACTGTGACTTTCACGAATTGCTCAAACCCTCTTTTGAGAGGAACTCCAACCCTCAACTTCTTTCCATCACTGGGAATCTCCCCACCTACTGCTACTATGGAAGTGGCTATGAAAGTTGTTCCAACCATTAATAGAACAAAGGTTAGAGTCTGCATTTGCAAAAGAGTGTGAGTTCCAGAAAGTTAAGACTAGCTACTATATATTAAGATTAGCAGCAAGTCTTTCAGAGTTACTTGGACCAATTTAAAGAGACTTTTATTCATTACATCTTGTAGAAGTATTTGAAAACTTGTGAATACCAGTTGTTGGTGCTATACATATTATTCAGAGTAATTACTTCTATTGACATTTCCTTTTCTTTTTTTTCATTTGAACTAATTAAATTCCCTCTAGAATATCTGAAATGTTGTAAAAATCATTGAAGTTTTGTGGAATGAGGGAAACTCAAGACCCTGTGCAACAAAGGAGTCGACCAAAAGGGTGTTGGCAATAATCGAACTCGTGATCATTAAGTACAAGAATTGCTCCACCCCTTTCGGGCACAACCACATATTTTTGGGCTTACTATTATTAGATACTATAAAACTCATGACTCAACTCTCTCCTTCTGCATCTGCTGAAAAGAGATTCCTTTATTTTGTAAATACCCCCAAACTGCAGTTTCTTGTCATTATTGGTTCTTTCAACAATTCTGGCACCTTGAGTTTCTATCTGGGAAGTCATACAATATTATCATACTAGTTAAAGACTCCATCAACTATATATGTGAACATCGCCCCTTAGTTCTCTTAGTTTGATGTTTCATATTGATTCAAGTAGCAAATGCCCCTTTTTTTTTTTTCTTTTTTTTTTTTTTAACTTTTGAGGTCCCAATTGGATCCAAATCTACTTGGGTTTGGTCATTAGGAGGCCTAGCTGGACATTGAAGATTGATGTTGAATTCTTGAAGAAAGGAAATTTCGTGCAACTAGCAGGCCGGGTAATTCACTCCATACCGAACATTGATAATTTTATTTGTTTCATGATCTACTTGGGTCATATCATTTAATTTACTTGAACCAATTTAAAGAGACTTTAATTCATTACTTCTTGTATTTTCAATGTGGGACTAACACATTCCAAAAAACAGACTATTCCCTTGTTTTTCTTTGAAATTTTTCCAATGACTTTTATACATATGACTCCCAAGTTTTGAGGAGTTTACTAGTGGTTGGAGGGAGAAAACATGACCCAAAAAAACTAAGTCAGTCATACACAGAAAATGACAAAAAGAAAAAAAAACAAAACAAAACAAAACTTGGGAGTCATAGATATAAAAGTCATGGGAAAATTCATAGGTATAGAAGCCATGGGAATCAAAGAAAAAAGTTTCCTAGTTCTTTTTCTTGGATCACAATATCCTTGGAGGATCCAACAGGATTTGGATGCAACTGGGACCTCAAAAAGTCAAAAGAGGGGGCATTTGCTACTTGAATCAATATGAAACATCAAACTCAGGGAACTAAAGGGTTATGTTCACATAGCTGATGGAGAACTGCAACCATCAACATATGATTTTGTTGATCATATCTTTAAGTCTTTAACTATTAGGATAATATTGTATGACTTCCCAGATAGAAACTCAAGGTGCCAGATAGTTGAAAGAACCAACAATGACAAGAAAAGGTTTGTGGGTACTTACAAAATAAAGGAATCTCTTTTCAGCAGATGCAGGAGGAGAGAGTTGAGTTATGATTTATATGCTGATCGAAAACCATACATGTATTGGATACTTTTTTTTTCTTCGATTGCTCTTTTCTTTATATTCCAAAGCTAAGTATGTCATCATCAAGCATATATGTATACAGATGATTCCATACACAATAACAGTTGGTGAAGCCATTGGATAAGAAATGGTACTTACAGTGCAGCACCTTAATACCTTTCTTGTTCTCTAGAGCAATGATCACTGACAGTGACAGATATTCCTTGTTAACCTCTCCCTTGTCTCTTTCTTCATCTAACCATAAAAGAATTTTCTTCAAAAGTACAGCTTCGAGCATCATCTTTCTGCAGCTACCGCTTTAGTTGTGGAGATGCTGTCCTGAACTGGACTTCCCAGTTCTGTCAGAGCAAATCCCTCATCCTGAATGAAAACGCCTTGCCCTGGAGAATTTGTAATGCTGGTTTCAGGACTTCGTGGATAAAGTTCAGATATTGCCTCCGGGGAGGAAACAAAATGTTCATTGCCTTCATTCGGCTTTTGGTACTCCCTAGACGAGTCCTTTTCTTCATGGAAAGCTTTCGCTAATGCAGAAAGCTTTTGCAAGATTGAAATGTCAGATTTTAATATACCCTTGTTCTGATTTATGAAGGAGCAGAAGAATATGAGAAGAGCTGATGATGCAGATACACCAGCAATGATGAAAAGACCTGTAAAACTGTCCAGGCCCAGGCTATCAGAAGCAACCAAGGTTCCATCTTTCTTTGTACAATCTGCTTCATTCCCAAACCATTTATCCGTTATTTGCATCATAGCATCACTCTCTGTCACACTTAATATTGCTCTTGAGACATCAGGAACCAAAGGAGATCCCCTCGCAAATGCCTGCAAAGATAAGAAAACCCAGATTAGTAATCTGATGGGATAAATATATCTGGTTTTCAAAGTTCTTGATTACACAACTTACAAATCCAAAGCCAGCAGACTTGTAGGTTGGACCAACTATAGTGTACTTCCCACAATACTTTGCAAGAAAGAGCCTAAGATAGGGTAGCTCATCCATAATCGCAGAAACTCCACCATTTCTACTTCCTTTCGAAAGTGCTTCATCATACTCTTCTAATGTGCTATAATTCCTAATTTTTGTGCTCCCAAACTTGTTCTGTAACATATCAGCAACAAATGAACCATACTGGTATCCAATATACTCTCCATTCATGATCAGATCTTTAACATCAGTGACAGTAGGCTGCAACTGTTGTACTGTTAACATAGATGTTAAGCTAGCTGTGTAGCTGGATGTTAGAACCAGCACTACAAACACCCACACTATGATCACAAATCTTGATAAATTGTTTAATATCCTCTCCCCTGAAACATCGCACATAGATTTTAAGAATCACTATAAAAACAATCTGACTCTAAGCAATATACTGCATAGTTTTAGCACTTACTATGTGCAAACACAAGAGTTGAGAAGGAGAACCATAAGATCATTCCAATTTGCTTGTGGCATGGACCTTGGAACTCTTTGTTTTCTCGGTGTTCAAGTACCCAAATAACAGTGCCAATGAAGACAAAGAACACTCCAGTCATCACCCAGAGTTCTCTTCTCAGAGGTTTCAGGAAAATCCATGCATTCTTCTTGTCATTTTGCTTGACTGGGACAACTACGCTGACCCCAGACTCTGTAAACGGAAATGTGAAATCCACATGTTCGGACCGGCTTGATAAAATGGTAACATCACCAACTACAGCATCAAGCTTCTGTCAAAAAGCCGAGAAATGCAAGAATGGCATTATGATTGTTGCAGGACCAAACAGATAAGCTGAAGCAAATTAAGGAAAGGATTGTTAGTAAGAAAAATTCAGTATTACCAAAATAGCATGGTATGAGAACTTTTGGGCTGGAGGGATTGTGAAAGGTACATATTCAAATGGTACATAATAAGGCATAGACTTCATTACTTGTTCAAAGATATCTATACAAAAACCAGTTGCCTTTACAGTATTTGTCTGGGGATCAATTGTGACTTTTAAGAATTGCTCAAACCCTTCTCTGGCAGGAAGTCTGACCCTTAACTTCTCTTCACCAGTGGGAATCTCCCAGCCTCTAGGAACAGCAATAGAGTCACCTGGCCATATGATGGACCCAAGATTGTCTTTGCTAGCAGAGTAGACAATTATATCATTTGGGTTTGGATTCTTGGAAATCCCATACTTATATGTCCAGAATCCAATCCCTTTCTCTCTGCCTATCACATTCACAATCTGAAATGCAGATGGTTGCAGTTCTCCATCAACTATGTGGAAATCGCCACTTAGTCCTTTTAGTTTGATGTTTCGTATTGATTCAAGTAGCAAAGGCCCGAATTCTGATGTCCCAATTGCATCCAAATCTGTTGAAATCTCCCTATTAATTGTTCTGTTGAATTTCGAACCAGAAGTGCCTACTTCCTCAAGTGCTGTTGCTAATGCTATGACACTATCATATGCCCATAGCCCCAAAACATTGAGCTCTACACCATTCATGTCTGGATTTTGTTGGCGAAACTTCTTTGATTTCCATCTCCTGGTGAAGTTCTTCAGCTCAACTGAACTTGGGACATAAGGCTTCACACCTATAACCCCCTGCAGAGAATCAAGAACAGAGGGATCCATGGAAACCAAAAGACTAGTGAAAGCATCCGTGATTATCCACACATATCCACTGCTCATCATTCCAGCTTCTTTTACCTTCTTAAAAAATTTAGAAGCAAAAGTAGGACGCAAATGTACTATGAACACTCGTGTCTGCTTTGTCTTTAACTTCAATAGCTCCACCATGATCTGATCATCATCAGCTGATGGTGAAAGAACACTTTGATCTGGCACTGAAACACTGATTTCCATCATGGCATCAGTCAAATGGGGAAGAATTTCACTGCCAAAATTGCTATTTTCATAGACAAATACAACTTCCCTCCAACCAAAGGCCTTAACAATAGCTGCAATTGCCTTAGCCTGTGCACAAGAGCAGTATGCTACTCTGATGAAGTATGGGTTTAGGTCTGGTGAAAGAGCAGCACTTGTGGCAGGAGCAATTACAGGAACTTTCACTTTCTCCCCCATTTTTGTTATGAAATCTGCCTGTGTCGACGCCTGAGGGCCTATGATAGCTTCGACCTCAACATTTTTCAGCAGGTCTATGGCTGCATCATAAATCAATCCTCAGACTCTTAGCACATAGCAGAACAGGATATTCGGAAAACATATGCAAACAAGAAATCATGAAACTGGGCAACCCAGATAAGTTGATCGACTATTAGCCTTGTTGGTTTGAGTTGGTCAACTTAGACGTGTTTTACCTCTTTTCAGCTATGGTCACAGAATGAGCTTACCAGTGCACACAACCTAGACTGGCTTAGCTCTTTGTGGTCTTTTACCTCTTTTTCAGCTAGGGTCACAAGATGAGCTTACCAGTGCACACAACTTAGACTGATTTATCTCTTTGTGATCTTTTACCTCTTTTTCAGCTAGGGTCACAAAACGAGTTTACCAGTACCAATAATTGACCATTACCATTAGGTAAGGTTTCAAGTAAAAAAAGCTGTAAATCTAGTATTGAAAGAAACATTATCTAGAGAAATTTAAAAACACTTTTTATTTCTTAATTCAAACTCATCTAAAACATTTATTATTAAACTAAAAGCAGACAACAATATTTAATTTGTTCTCACTGATTTGTTGATTTTCAGTTGAAAGCTGTATCAACTTATCCCAAACTTACTTGGTTGTTGTCACCCAAGAAATCATGAAACTTTTGATTTCTGAAACATCATATCACAAAGCTTACCCGCAGATGCCGCATCAACAGCATCTGGTTTGGAGTGTTTGAAGTGAGGCACAATCCGGGTGGTGTGGTTACGATTAGCGTAGAAATCGAGCACAGCTAGTGACATGCATGCTTGTCTCATCTTCCCAGATATGGGCTCCGAATCAAGAATCACACCAACATCAACCTTTACAGCACTTGAATTCTCGCCGCCTACCTGTGCTATGGAAATGGTGGCGAAAGTTATTTCAAGCATTAATAGAACAAAGGGTAGTCTTGGAGTCTCCATTTGTAGAAAGCTATGAACTTGGTAACTTATTCTTTGTGAGTTCCAGAAAGTTAAAGACCACAAGATATTAAGATTACCAGCGAGACTTTTTTTCATTACTGGTAGTCTGGTATGAAGCATATGACTTATAGCTCAACGCTAATTGACTTGATAACAATGAATAGTTGCATAAGGAATTAAAACTTAAGAACTTGCTGAGTATGTTTATACATTGTAATTTACTGTTCACTAAGCAATTTGCGAATTAGAACAGTCATCTCTTAACTAGACAGTCTGTTTCTATGTAGGACTGTTCAAAATAATTTTCGAATCCTCTGTCTATCATCATATGTAACGCATTATCTTCAGATTTAAATTAATATATTATCGTTTTGCAAAAATAAATAAATAAAATAAAAGAATGCCATAATGAAGAGTTGTTGGTATATATTATTCAAAGGAATTAATTCTATTGGCATTTCCATTTTGTATTCTTTGACTTTTCATTCCGTTTAAAATTCAAAGAAAAGTGATCATTATTTATTAATGAAATGTAAAATGAAGTCAACAAAAAATACTCCTTTTTTATAATAAAAAAATATTTATTTTGACAGAAAATGTCACATAAAAATTTAACTCAAAAGATATTTTATAGATCTCTCTTATGCTCAGTTTTCTTCTTCTCCTCTTTCAGATTAGTGTTAAATGAGCATGTCAGTCTCTCACTAGCCAGCTAGCTATTAGACTAGCAATTGTTTTATGAACCATAATCCACATTGCATTGTGAATTCTCGTTCAAAGCAATAGTGCTTTTAATTAACATATTATGTACATTTAAAATTATGTGTTTATTACAATTAATGTATTATGTATATACAGTTAATATATTATATAATAAATTGTGTGTGTTATATGTACAATACAATTAACATATTATATATTATGTTATATGTATAATAATTATATCATAGACTAATATGCATGAAGCAACCCCACACCATAACCACTATTTGCTCATTCCATTTAAAAAAATACCACTTATTATTTCTAAATATTGGCACCATGGCACACCCAATCAAATTACACAAAAACATAATAATAATGATGAAAATTATATTTTTCCGCATGGCTACCTCCTACATCTTTACTTCTTTAGTTATGGAACTGTTAACTATGATGATTCTTGAACTGGCCGGGTAAGAACACCTTGCCCTGGAGAATGGTGGAGATGATTTTCAGCCATTGCCAATTCCGGGCGGGCCGGGGAGGATTTGGGGCTCCTCCTCCTTCTTCTCTTCTTTAAAGAAAACTTTTGCTAATGCAGAAAGCTTTTGCCAGATTGACATGTCAGGTGTTAAGATGCCCTTGTTCTCATCTATGAAGGAGATGAAGAAGATGATAAGAGCAGATAATATCAATACAGCAGCAATAATGAACAGCTCTTTGAATCTGTTCAGTGGCAGGCTCTCAGGATCGTTCAAGCTTACATCTTGCAGTTGTGAACGATATGTTTCATCCCCAAACCATTTTTCCACTGTTTTCATCATATCATCACTCTCTGTCACATGTAATATTGCTCTTGACACATCAGGCACCAAAAGAGACCCCTTTTGAAATGCCTGCAAAAACAAGAAAACCCCCTAAAAACAGAGAACTTACAAATCTAAATCCTGTGGTATGGTAGGTCGCGCCAATAAAAACAAGAAATCTCCTTGTTTCTCAGCTAAAAGTTTAAGCAGAAAGTGAGACTGCATAAAGAACTTAAAGCATCTCCAATAGTTGAATTTTTTGAAGAGTTTTTTCAAAGCCATGTAGGTAAGAGAGGGAAAAAAAAAAAAAAAAAAAAAAAGAGGAGAAAAGCAAAAAAAAATTATGTTATTTATGCGCCCAGTGCACGCGACCAATGCACGCGTCAGTTGGGAGCAACAGGTGCACTTGACGGGCACATGCCACATGCAAAGTTTTTTTTTGGTACCAATCCCCACAAAAAACCAATATAATTTTATTCTCTTTCCTCTCACCTCTCTCCTCCACATAAGTTTAATGGTATGAGAAAAACTACCAAAAATGCTCTATAGGGGATGTTCTTACAAATTCAAAATCCGTGGTATGGTATGTAATGCAGGCAAACGAAAACAAGAAAACCGTCAGTTTCTCAGCTAAAAGTTTAAGCTTATAACGAGACTGCATAGAGAATTGAACTTACCAATCCAAAACCCGCGGTATGGTAGGTTGGACCAACAAAAATAAGAAAACTCCTAATTTCTCAACTAAAAGTTTAAGCTGATAGCGAGACTGCATAGATAACTTACAAATCCAAAACCTGCGGTATGGTAGGTCGGGCCAACAGTGGTGTACTTCCGACGGTACTTTCGAAGCAAGAGCCTAAGATAGGGCAGCTCATCCATAACAGCATCAACCCCACCATTTTCACTTCCTTTACTAAGTGCTTCATCATACTGTTCTGGTGTGGCGTAATACCTAATTTTGTTGCTTCCAAACACGTTCTTTAACTTGCCAGCAACAAAGGAACTATTCTGGCATCCAATATACTTTCCATTCTTGATCAGATCTTTAACATCAGTCACAGTAGGCTGCAACTGTTGCACTGTCAACAAGGATGCAAAACTAGCTGTGTAGCTAGCTATCAGAATCAGCACCATCAACATCCATACTATCATCACAAATCTTGAAAGTTTGCTGCTTACCCTCTTCTCTGCAACACAGTACATAGTTGTAAAAATCGAGAGATAAGAAGTCTGCAGAGAGTTACACAATATGGACTTATGGAGCATAGTGTTTAGTGCTTACTGTCTGGAAAAATAAGACTTGAGAGGGGGATCCAAAAGATCATCCCAAGTTGCTTTGGGGTTGAACCTTTGAAGTCTGGGTTTACAGGGTGTTCAAAGACCCAAACCACAATGCCGATCAAGACAAAGAACACTGCAATCATCATCCAGAGTTTTTTTTCCAGAGGTTTCAAGAAAACCCATGAACAACCATCTTGCTTGACTGGGACAACTAGGGTGACCCCAGACTCTGTAAATGGTAATGTGAAATCCACACGCTCGGACCGGTTTGATAGAATGGTAACATCACCAACTACTGCATCAATTTTCTGTCAAAAAAAAAAGGGAGAGAAATGAGAGAATAGCATTATAAGCATAGCAGGACCAAACAGAAAAGTTAGGCTGATACAAAGTAAACATGCAGGCAGGCATGAAGTATTACCCCTTTAAAGACCTCATCAACCAAGTCATTATAGTTTGAAATGTTTCCCCCTGAAGAGACTTTGCAAGGTATATATTCAAATGGTATAGAATAGGGCATAGACTTAGACCGCATTACTTTCTCAAAGACCTCTATACAAAAACCAGTTACCTCCTTCACAGTGTTTGTCTGGTTATCAATTGTGACTTTTACGAATTGCTCAAACCCTACTTTGAAAGGAATTCCGACCCTTATTTTCTTTTCACCCGTGGGAATCTCCCAGCCTATAGGAATAGCAGAAGAGTAACCTGGCCACATGATTTCCCCAAGGTCACCTTTGTTAGCAGAGTACACAGTTGTATCATCTGGGTTTGGATTCTTTGAAATCCCATACTTTTCTGTCCAGAATCCAATCCCTTTCTCTCTTCCTATCACATTCACAATCTGAAATGCAGATGGTTGCAGTTCTCCATCAACTAGGTGAAAATCACCACTTAGTCCTCTGTGTTTGATGTTTTGTATTGATTCAAGTAGTAAAGGCCCAAATTCTGATGTCCCAGTTGCATCCAAATCTGTTGAATCCTCCCTATTAATTCTTGTGTTGAATTTCAGAGCAGAAGTGCCTACTTTCTCAAGTGCTGTGGCTAATGCTGTGACACTATCATATGCCCATAGCCCCAAAACATTGAGCTCCACTCCATCCATGTCTGGATGTTGTTGACGAAACGTCTTTGATTTCCATCTCCTGGTGAAGCTATCTAGCTCAACTGAACTTGGGACGTAAGGCTTCACGCCTATAACCCCCTGCAAAGAACCAAGAACCGAGGGATCCATTGAAACCAAAAGACTAGTGAATGCATCTGTGATTATCCACACATATCCACTGCTCATCATTCCAGCTTCTTTTACCTTGTTAAAAAATTTAGAAGCAAAAGTATGACGCAAATGGACAATGAACACTCGTGTCTGCTTTGTCTTTAACTTCAATAGCTCCACCATGATCTGATCATCCTCAGCTGACGGTGAAAGAACACTTTGATCAGGTACTGAAACACCGATTTCCATCATGGCATCAGTCAAATGGGGAAGAATTCCACTGCCAAAATTGCTATTTTCATAGATAAATACCACTTCCCTCCATCCAAAGGCCTTAACAATTGCTGCAATTGCCTTAGCCTGCCAGCAAGAGCAGTACGCTACTCTAACAAAGTATGGATTTTGGGTTGGTGAAAGAGCAGGACTTGTGGCTGAAGAAATTATAGGAACTTTCACTTTCATCCCTATGTCTGTAATGAAATCTGCTTCCGTCGATTCCTGAGGGCCTAAGATTGCTTGTACTTCAACATTTTTCAGCAGGTCTATGGCTGCAAAGTTGCAACATAAAACATGAAAACATATGCAAACAAGGAACCCTGAAAATATTACTGTAAACATCAGAAAGATTACCTGCAGATGCTGCTTCAACATCATCTGACTTGGAGTCTCTGAAATGAGGGACAATCTGGGTGGTGTGATTGTGATTGGCATAGAAATCAGACAGAGATAGTGACACACATGCATTCCTCATCTTTCCAGAGATGGTGTCCCAATCAAGAATCACACCAACATCAACCTTTACAGCACTAGCATTCTGGCCACCTACTGGTGATGTTAAAAAGGTAATGAAAGCTACTTCAAGCATCAAAAGAACCCAGAAAATTCTTGGAATCTCCATTTAGAAATGCTATCAACTTTCTAAAATTTGTCCCAGAAAGTTGAGACCATAAGAGCAAGATAATCAATAATGAGAAGTAGTTTACTTTCTATATGACCTGCATATAATCAGTTTCTTGGAAACTACATAATCATAAAATAATTTCTTGTAGAGTTTACTTGAAAAAATTCTAAGAGACTTTTACCCAATACTGTTGTGAAACACACCACAAATTGCTTTGAGTTCTAAGAACCCTTTTTTGTTTTTTTCCCTTTATTTTAATAGCTGAATGTTATTATGAACTGTGTATTGGAAAGTTCCAATCAAGTTTGGGAGTATAAAAAATCAGTTAGGTGATATCTTCAGCTCCTGGTGCAAGAATACTTGTTTCTTGGTCCCTGTATTCTCCGTAGCATGCATGCAGCTAATTGGTTGATGAAATGAAGTGTAAATAAATAAATGAAGTAAAGACACAGATCAGACAAGAGTTTACCTGTCTTATAATTAATGATTTAATGCCGTTTTTGGATCATGACAGCCTAGGAGAATCCAACAGATTTGGAGGCAAGCCGCCAAAGGAGATTCCCTCTGAAAGATAACAGCAACAAAGGAACAATGTATGCTGGTGTCCAAAATACTCTCCAGTCTTGATAACATCTTTAACATCATATCACTGATATGATGGTAGGCTACAACGGCCTTCGTACAGTTAACAAAGGTGTTTAGGTAGCCATGTAGCTTGATGACAGAACCAGTACGACAAACACCCATAAATAATTCCAATGTTGTCTTTATTTTTAGGGCTTGAGCAATGATCATTGACAAATATTATATTCCTAGTCTATCTGCTCAGCTAACTATACATAGTAACAACTTTCATCTAAACTACAGTTCTGTGCATCATCTTTCTGCAGCCTCCTCTTCAGTTATGGAAGTGCTGCTATGAACTGGACTTCCAGGTACTGTTGTAGTGAATCCCTCATCCTGAGTGAGAACAGGAGAATCTGCAGTGCTGGCTTTTGGACTTGGTGGATGGCGCTCAGGCGTTCATCCATGGAGGAAACCACATTGCCTTCATTCGGCTTCTGAGACTCCCTAGATTTGTCCTTTTCCTCATAAAAAGCATTTGCTAATGCAGAAAGCTTTTCCCAGATTGAAACATCAGAAGTTAAGATACCCTTGTCCTGATATAGGAAGGAGCAGAATAATATGAGAAGAGGTGATAATGCTGCAGATACATATCATTTATTTCTAAATATTGACACACCCAATCAATACATTAAAACCCAAATTACACGAAAACATGTTACTGGGCTTAATATTATTTGATACTATAAAACTATGCAAAATTATTTACATATAAGCCCAATAACATAGATTTATGATGAACATTTTCACATTACAGTACACTTTCCTGCATCATCTTTCTGCTGCAACATCTTGTCAGGCTTCATGAACTGGAGGCCTGGGTTCCGAAGTATTGGATCCTGCATCCTGAGTTAAACCGCCTTGCTCTGGAGAATCTGCAAAGCTAGCACTTTCTGGATTTGGTGGACAGTGGAGTTCAGGCACTGATTCGGGGGAGGAAACCACACCTTGGTTGCCTTCTTCATTGGGCTTTTGGGACTCCCTAGATGAGTCCTCCTCCTTCTTTTCAACAAAAGCTTTTGCTAATGCACAAAGCTTTTCCCAGATTGACATGTCAGGGGCTAAGATGGCCTTGTTCTCATTTATGAAGGAGACGAAGTAGATGATAAGGGCTAATAATATTGCTCCACCAGCAATAAGGAAGAGTTCTTTAAATCTGTCCAGTGGCAGGCTCTCAGGATCATTCAAGCTTCCATCTTGCAGTGAACGATATGTTTCAACCCCAAACCATTTTTCCAGTATTCTTATCATAGCCTCACTCTCTGTCACGCGTAATATTGCTCTCGAGACATCAGGCACCAGAGGAGATCCCCTGGGAAATGCCTGCACCAAAAATAAGAAATCCCGGGTTTATAGAGAGACTGCACAATTATTATTTTATATATAGTATGCTCAACGCCGCAGAGAACTTACAAAACCAAAACCAGCCGTGTGGTAGGTCGGACCAACTGTAGTGTACTTCCTATGATACTTCAGAAGGAAGATCCTAAGATAGGGCAGCTCATCCATAATGGCATCAACTCCACCATTTTCACTTCCTTTTGTAAGTGCCTCATCATACTCTTCCAATGAGCTATAATGCCTAACTTTTGTAGTTCCAAAAACAGTCTTTAACATGTCAGCAACAAAAGAACCATCCTGGCATCCAACATACTTTCCGTTCTTGATCAGATCTTTAACATCAGTCACAGTAGGCTGCAACTGTTGTACTGTTAACATGGATGCTAGGTTAGCCGTGTAGCTGGATATCAGAACCAGCACCATCAACGTCCATACTATCATCATAAATCTGGATAGGTTGCTTTTTACACTACCCTCTGCAACATAGTACATAGTGTTAGGATCAAAAGCTAGGTTTCTGGGACACTTTGATACCACTTGTTAGGATCAAACACTTACCACTACGCCAAAAGCTATAGCTCGTAACGAAGGCGCAACTTTATTTCCATATACCGCCACATTTTCGAGAGATAGGGTGCTGGACTTGGTCCTTCAGACCTCCACCCAACAATCCCCTAGTCACCGGGTTCTAGACTTGGCCCTTCATTGGCCTCCGCCCAACACATAGTTTTTAAAATTGCAAGAAAAAGAAATCTGCAGACAGTAGAGTACATGTTTTTTAGTGCTTACTGTCTAGAGAAACAGGACTTGAGAAGGAGAACCAAAAGACCATCCCAAGTTTCTTTAGGATGATGGAGTCTTGGAAGTCTTTGTTTACTTGGTGTTCAAAAACCCAAACCACAGTGCCAATCAAGACAAAGAATGCTACAATCATCAACCAGAGTTTTTTATCCAGAGGTTTCAAGAAAATCCATGAAAAACCATCTTGCTTGACTGGGACAACTAGGGTGACCCCAGACTCTGTATATGGTAATGTGAAATCCACGTGCTCGGCCCGGTTTGATAAAATGGTAATATCACCAACTGCTGCATCAAGTTTCTGTAAAAAAAAAAATCAAGAAATGAGAGAATGGCATCATTAGCGTAGCAGGACCAAGCAGATAAAGCTGATACAGATTAAGGAAAAAGGATTGTCAGCATTAAAATCAAGGAATGCAGTATTACCCCATCAAAAACCTCATCAACAAGGTCATTAAAGCTTGGGAGGTTTTCTCCTGGAGGGATGTTGTAATGTATATATTCAAATGGTATAAAATAAGGCATAGACTTCATTACTTGCTCAAAGACATCAATACAAAAACCAGTTGCCTCCTTCACAGTGTTTGTCTTATTATCAATTGTGACATTTATGAATTGCTCAATCCCTCCTCTGACAGGAACTCCCACCCTTAACTTCTCTTCACCTGTAGGAATCTCCCAGCCTCTAGGAACAGCAGTAGAGTCACCTGGCCAAATGACTGCCCCAAGATCATCTTTGTTAGCAGAGTACATAGTCGTATACTTTGGGTTTGGGATCTTGGAAATACCATACTTTTCGGTCCAGAATCCGATCCCTTTCTCTCTACCTATCACATTAACAATCTGAAATGCAGATGGTTGCAGTTCTCCGTCAACTATGTGAAAATCACCACTTAGTCCTCTGATTTTGATGTTTTGTATTGATTTAAGTAGCAAAGGTCCAAATTCTGATGTCCCAATTGCATCCAAATCTGTTGAATTCTCCTGACTAATTGTTCTGTTGGATTTCAGATTAGAAGTGCCCACTTTCTCAAGTGCTGTTGCTAATGCTGTAACACTATCATATGCCCATAGCCCCAAGACATTGAGCTCCACTCCATCCATGTCTGGATGTTGTTGACGAAAAGTCTTTGATTTCCATCTCCTTGTAAAGCTGTCTAGCTCAACTGAACTTGGGACGTAAGGCTTCATGCCTATAACCCCCTGCAAAGAATCAAGAACCGAGGGATCCACTGAAACCAAAAGACTAGTGAATGCATCTGTGATTATCCATGCATATCCACTGCTCATCATTCCAGCTTCTTTTACCTTCAAAAAAAATTTAGAAGCAAAAGTACAAGGCAAATGGACAATGAACACTCGTGTCTGCCTTGTCTTTAACTTCAATAGCTCCACCATGATCTGATCATCATCAGCTGAAGGTGAAAGAACACTTCGATCTGGCACTGAAACGCTGATTTCCATCATGGCATCAGTCAAATGGGGAAGAATTCCACTGCCAAAATTGGTATTTTCATAGATAAACACAACTTGCCTCCAACCAAAGGCCTTAACAATGGCAGCAACTGCCTTAGCCTGTGCAGAAGAGCAGTATGCTGCTCTGATAAAGTATGGATTTTGGGATGGAGAAATAGCAGGACTTGTGGCTGAAGAAATTATAGGAACTTTCACTTTCATCCCTATGTCTGTTATGAAATCTGCTTGTTTTGACTTCTGAGGGCCTAAGATTGCTTGTACTTGTACATTTTTCAGCAGGTCTATGGCTGCAAAGTTGCAACATAAAGCATGACAACATATGCAAACAAGGAACCGCGAAAATATTACTGTAAACATCAGAAAGATTACCTGCAGATGCTGCTTCAACATCATCAGACTTGGAATCTCTGAAATGAGGGACAATCTGGGTGGTGCGATTGGGATTGGCATAGAAATCAGACAGAGATAGTGACATACATACATTCCTCATCTTTCCAGATATGGTGTCCCAATCAAGAATCACACCAACATCAACCTTTATAGCACTAGCATTCTGGCCACCTACTGTTGATGTTAAAAAGGTAATCAAAGCTACTTCAAGCATCAAAAGAACCCAGAAAAGTCTTGGAATCTCCATTTAGAAATTCCAAGAACTTCATAACTTAAATCTTCCTAATACGTTTATTTATATTGTGCTCAAGACATGCATACGATCAGTTCCTAGGATTCTACGTAATCTTAAAATAATCCTTGTAGAGTTTACTTGGAAAAATTCGAAGAGACTTTTTGTTTTTTAACCTTTGTTTTAATAGCTAAACATTATTCTGAACTCTGTTATATTATGTATTGTAATTGTAATTTCCAGACAAATTTCCACTTCGTTGCATGCATGCAGCTAATTGGTTGATAGAAATTTAGTGTAAATAAATAAATGAAGTAGTAATGATACAGAGAAGAATTTACCTGTCTTATAAATAATGATTTAATTAATGCTGTTTTTGGATCATGACAGCCTAAGAGAATTCAACAGATTTGGAGGCAAGCCGCCAAAGGAGATTCCCTCTGATCTGAAATATAACAGCAAGAATTTTGGAACAATGTCTCATTGATTGTGAGCTTTAGAAACTTCTGTTAACTTGAAGCAGCCTTTTGTTCAAATCTCACCCCCAAAAAAATGGTCTCCCCGACTATAATCATATTCCCAATGTAATCATCCGCTTTAAAAATTGGATCTTTTTTAGTAATTTGGTTTCCCGGAAGAAGAATCATTGAACTGATTTCCCGGGCAGAAGATCCAAAAGCCGCTGTTGCAACAATATAATGCCTGCTTGTCTTGGATTGTAAGAGAATTAGGCTTCTGAGTTTGGGTAGAAACGAAGCCATAGGGATTCTGGACGACTGTGACGGGTGCTAGCTGTTCTGGGGAGGCGATCGGACTTGAAACGGGTCGGGCTGGCGCGGGTCTTATCATCCGAGGGAAGCGGCGGCATTGGGTTGAGAAGGCCCGCAGCGATAGCGGAGATGAATTTGCTGAAAGAGGAGGAGAGGTCGACGGAGTTGGGAGCAACGGCGCCGCCGTAGACGACTGTTGTCATCTTTAAGTTTGTTAATGGTTCGTTTTCAATGCGGCATGCATGCGTAATTGCGTATATTAAATGGGTTTTTGACAAAAATGATCTAAAATGGAAAAGAAGATACCAAAATATGACATTTTTTGGTGAGTAAATACCCAAAATGGTCCCTCGATTATAGCTAAATTCACAAATTGGTCATCAATTTTCAATTTCAATCAATTAAGTCCTTAACTTTGTAATTTTGACACGATTTGGTCCTTCATCTATTTGACCGTTTGTTGACCGTGATCGACGACCTCCAGAAGAACTTTCAGCTATCGTCGGAGCACGTGGAGGCCTCCAGGATGACGTTACACTAGTTCGGAAACACGTCGTCTTCTTCGCTCTGGTACGAACTCAACTACATTGAATCTAAAGGGAGGATGAAGAAAGGCGACCGGATTTGGTAGATTGCTTTCAGCAGTGAATTCAAATGTAACAGTGCGGTCTGGAAATGCAACCAAAACCTTAAAAAACTGACGATGGACCATGAAATTACATATATATCCTCAAAAATCACAGTCAACAAAAGGTCAAATAGACAGAGAACCAAATTGTGTTAAAATTACAAAGTTAAGGACTTAATTGGTTGAAATTGAAAGTCGATGACCAATTTGTGAATTTAACTATAGTCGAGGGACCATTTTGGGTATTTACTCTTTTTTGTATAATATAGGAAAAACTTCATTTTTTACAGATAAGTTTCTCAAAAATTCAAAAAAAAAAAAAAAAAAAAAAAATTAATACGAAAATATGTTTCTTGTATAAATACAAGAAATGCATGTCCCACATGTGTTTTTCAAACATTGCCGTTTCTCATATTACATGAAAAACTCTAAATCATTATTGTATAGATCATATTTTGTCTACTGTAAAATAATGTACATTCAGTACAAAAATAATGTACATTGTATTCAGGAAATGTACATTATTTTTGTTTTGAGTGTACATTATATTGTACTCCCTCCGTCCCATTTTATGTGTCTGGTTCGGTTAACGAGGCTTGACTAAAATTATTTTTAATCCAAATTTTTATAATATTAAGTTTAGTATTAGTATACAAAATGTATATACTCCCTCTGTCCCATTTTGCATGTCTTACTTTCCTTTTTAGTTTGTCCCAAAATGTTGTCCTCTTTCCAAAATTGAACATCACCATCATTATACTTTTTCCCAAATTACCCTTATGACTTTTGTTTTTATTTGCAAAAGTGAAAAAGTGAATGGCATAATTGGAAAATACATAGCATTTACTTTAATTCCTTAAAAAGCGTGCAAAAAGCAAATGAGACAACTAATTCGGGATGGAGGGAGTATTTAGAAACTAGACTTAAAGTACTATTAAACACAAAAAATCAAATTCAAAAATAAGTAAAAAATACTAAAGAAAATAAACAAAGAAGAAAGATTTGGTTTGACCAATGAATAATAAGTAGGACATATAAAATGGGACAGAGAGAGTATAATTTACATTCAGTACAAAAATAATGTACATTTAATATATTAAAAATGTACTTTTTGTATAATTTGCTGAGAACCTCGTGTATAACATACGTTTCTCGTATTTTAGCGGAAAAAAAAAAATCATTTTGAATTTTTAAGAAACTCAAGTCCCAACTCATGTGTAACATGTTTTCTCGTATTTTAGGGAAAAAAGAATCATTTTGAATTTTTAAGAAACTAGTCTCTCATGTTAGTCACATGCTCATAGTCTAGTTAGGGAAGCTTGTTCTATGCATGTGCGTCAGGAGTGGATTTCCTTCCCTCCTTTCATTGTCAATGATTTGTATTTTGATTTGAATTAATGAAGTTTTCTTTCCTCTCAGAAAAAGAAAAAAAAAAGAAAAATAAAACTAAGTCTCAAATGAGTTTTTTCCTATATTGTACCACTTTAAAAAATGTCATTTTTTTTTGTCAGACCACGATGTGCTCTAAGTGTATGAGATATCTTTAAGCTCGTACCAGGTACCATACTCAGGCTAATTTTCGTTTGCACCGAGGCGAGTTAATTAAGGGACAAAGTGCTGGCGAAATTGATTTTTCCATATGAGATGCCGTTTGAACTCCCGACCTCTCTTAAAAACAAGAGTGCAGGGTCACACCAATCAAACTGGTTTGAAAAGTATCATATTTTAGTCTCTTTTTCTCCATTTTGGATCATTTCAGTCATTTTCTCCATATTAAATAGTCATTCCCTTAAATCAAATACAAGGAATACCAATGGTGTACGTGTTTTACTACAGTATTGGCTAAAAGTCTCTTTGAATAGGTCAAAGTAAACTCTTAAAGTATTATATCTATGTCCCAACTACTTCCTTTCATCATTGATTCTCTCTTTCTCATGGGTCTCAGCTTTCTTGGACATATATATTGTGAAGAATATGTTATGATATAAAGTTGAATTGATAGCTCTAATTACTTTTTTAATGGAGATTCCAAGATTTTTCTTTGTTCTTTTACTGCTTGAAGTAGCTTTCATTACCTTTTTAGCATCCCCAGTGGGATCCCAGAATGGTAGTGCTGTAAAGGTTGATGTTGGCCTGATTCATGATTGGGACACCATTTCTGGAAAGATGAGGAATGCATGCATGTCTCTAGCCCTCTCTGATTTCTATGCCAATAGCAATCACACCACCCAGATTGTTGTTCACTTCAGAGACTCCAAATCTGATGATGTTGATGCAGCATCTGCAGGTAATCTGTCTGGTCTCATGTTTTAGACATTAGATTATTAATGTTTACAATATATATATATATATATATATATATATATATATATATATATATATATTTTGAGTGACAAGGAAAACCGTCGTCACTATCTGAGGGCATGTATTGGGTAAAACTCGTCTTGTGACTTCAGTTGACTACAATGAGGTAACCAGTCTAGGTTGTCCATAGCTGACTGACTCAATCCAAGAAGGCCAATAGGCTGTTCCTGCTAGGAGTCAAACTTGTAATCTTATGGTTATCAAGTCACCAGTCTGACCAACTTAGCTGGATTGACCCGATGTTTAGAGTATTGTATTCACGATTCCTTGTTTGCATATGTTTTCATGCTTTATGTTGCAACTTTGCAGCCATAGACCTGCTGAAAAATGTACAAGTTCAAGCAATCTTAGGCCCTCAGGCATCAACACAAGCAGATTTCATAACAGACATAGGGAAGAAAGTGAAAGTTCCTATAATTTCTTCAGCCACAAGTCCTGCTCTTTCACCATCCCAAAATCCATACTTTATCAGAGCAGCATACTGCTCTTGTGCACAGGCTAAGGCAATTGCAGCCATTGTTAAGGCCTTTGGTTGGAGGCAAGTTGTGTTTATCTATGAAAACAGCAATTTTGGCAGTGGAATTCTTCCCCATTTGACTGATGCCATGATGGAAATCAGCGTTTCAGTGCCAGATCGAAGTGTCCTTTCGCCATCAGCTGATGATGATCAGATCATGGGGGAGCTATCGAAGTTAAAAACGAAACAGACACGAGTCTTCATAGTCCATTTGCATCCAACTTCTGCTTCTAAATTTTTTAAGAAGGTAAAAGAAGCTGGAATGATGAGCAGTGGATATGTGTGGATAATCACGGATGCTTTCACTAGTCTTTTGGTTTCCATGGATCCCTCGGTTCTTGATTCTCTGCAGGGGGTTATAGGTGTAAAGCCTTATGTCCCAAGTTCAGTTCAGCTGAATAACTTCACCCGGAGATGGAAATCAAAGGCGTTTCGTAAACAAAATCCAGACATGGATGGAGTGGAGCTCAATGTTTTGGGGCTATGGGCATATGATAGTGTCACAGCATTAGCCACAGCACTCGAGAAAGTTGGCAGTTCTGGTCTGAAGTTCAACAGAACAGTTAATAGGAAGAATTCAACAGATTTGGATGCAATTGGGACATCAGAATTCGGGCCTTTGCTACTTGAATCGATACGAAACATCAGATTCAGAGGACTTAGTGGTGATTTCCACATAGTTGATGGAGAACTGCAGCCATCTGCATTTCAGATAGTGAATGTGATAGGCAGAGAGGAAACGATTGGATTCTGGACAGAAAAGTATGGGATTTCCAAGATTCCAAACCCAAAGGATACAACTGTGTACTCTGCTAACAAAGATGTTCTTGGGGCTATTACTTGGCCAGGTGGCTCTACTATTGTTCCTAGAGGCTGGGAGATTCCTGCAGGTAAAGAGTTAAGGATTGGAGTTCCTGCCAAAAAGGGGCTCGAGCAATTCGTAAATGTCACAACTGATCCTAAGACAAACATTACAAACGCAACTGGTTTCTGTATAGATGTTTTTGAACAAGTGATGAAGTCTATGCCTTATCATGTACCATATAAATATATACGTTACGAAATCCCTCAAGGAGAAAATTTTCCAGGCTACGATGACTTCGTTGATCAAGTCTTCTTTGGGGTAATACTGAAGTTTCATACTTTTTTCCTTAATTTTGTTCCCCTTTTTTCTGGTTTTTCCAGCAACACTAACAGTGCCATTCTTGCATTTCTCGGGTTTTTGACAGAATTTTGATGCAGTAGTTGGTGATATTACCATTTTATCAAACCGGTCCAATCATGTGGATTTCACATTGCCATTTACAGAGTCTGGTGTCACCATAGTTGTCCCGGTTAAGCAAGATGACAGGAAGAATGCATGGATTTTCCTGAAGCCTCTGAAGAAAGAACTCTGGGGAACGATTGCAGCGTTCTTTGTCTTCATTGGCATCGTGATTTGGGTACTTGAACACCAAGTAAACAAAGAGTTCCAAGGTCCACGCCACAAGCAAGTCGGGATGGTGTTCTGGTTCTCCTTCTCCACTCTTGTATTTGCACACAGTAAGTACTAAAACATTGCTTAAACTCAGATTTCTTTTGCTGTGATTATAAAATATCCGTGTACTATGTTTCAGGGGAGAAGGTAATAAGCAATTTTTCGAGATTCGTGATCATAGTTTGGGTGTTTGTGGTGCTGGTTCTGACATCTAGCTACACGGCTAGCTTAACATCCATGTTAACAGTACAACAGTTGCAGCCTACTGTCACTGATGTTTACGATCTGATCAAGAATCGAGACTATGTTGGGTACCAGGATGGCTCCTTTGTTGCTGATATGCTAAAAAACATGAACTTTGAGAGTAGAAGAATTAGGAATTATAGCACGTTAGAAGAGTACGATGAAGCGCTTACAAAAGGAAGTGGAAATGGCGGGGTTGCTGCTATTGTGGATGAGCTTCCCTATCTTAGGCTCTTCCTTGAAAAATATTGTGGGAAGTACACTATGGTTGGTCCAATCTACAAGACTGCCGGTTTTGGATTTGTAAGTTCTCTAATCAAGAACTTGGAAAACCAGATTTTATCCCATCAGACCACTAATCTGGTGTTTTTGCAGGCGTTTCCGAGGGGATCTCCTCTGGTGCCTGATGTCTCGAGAGCGATATTGAATGTGACAGAGAGCGACGCCATGCTGAACATAACGATAAAATGGCTATGGAACGAAACGGATTGTTCACAACAAGATGGAACCTTGGCTGCATCAGATAGCCTGGCACCAGGAAGCTTTAAAGGCCTTTTCATCATTGTTGGTGCTTCTGCATTATCAGCTCTTCTCATATTCTTCTGCTCCTTCCTAAATGACAACAAGGCTATCTTAGCGTCCCACGTTTCAATCTGGCAAAAGCTTTCTGCATTAGCAAAGGCTTTTTGTGAGGGAAAGGACACATCTAGGGAGTCTCAGAAGCCGAATGTGGTTTCCTCCGAGGATGCAATAATGCCCGAGCACCATCCACCAAGTCCAGAAACCAGCATTGCAGATTCTCCCGGGCAAGGCGTTTTCACTCAGGATGAGGGATTCAGTACAAAAGAACCGGGAATTCTAGTTCGCAACAACATTCCCATACCTGAAAAGGAGGTTTCAGAAAGATGATACAGAAAACTGTAGTTTAGATCAAAGTTCTTACCATGTATAGTTAGCTAAACAGATAGCTAATTTGGCCCGAATGCCTTAATTAGTTTGGGTTGTGTAAATACCCTGAAAAATGGCTTCTTTTATTGCTTTTTTTCTTTACATTCCAAAGCTAAGTAAGTCAACATCAATCATATATGTATACAAATGAATCCATACAATTAAATCAAAACTACAGTTCTGAGCATCATCTTTCTGCATTAGTTATGGCAAGGCTATCGCGAACTGTACTTCCCAGTTCTGTTTCCAGAACGAAAACGCCTTGCCATGGAGAATCTGGAATGCTGATTTCAGGACTTTGTGGGTAAAGTTCAGATATTGCCTCCGGGAAGGAAGCCAAATCTTCATTGCCTTCATTCGGCTTTTGGGACACCCTAGACGAGTCCTTTTCTTCATGGAAAGCTTTTGCCAATGCAGAAAGCTTTTGCAGGACCGAAATGTCAGATGTTAAGATGGATTTGTTCTGATTCATGAAGGAGCAGAAGAATAAGAGGAGAGCTAATAGTGCAGAAACACCAGCAATAACGAAAAGTCCTTTAAAACTGTCCAGTGAAAGGCTACCAGAACCAACCAAGTTTGCATCTTGCTTTGAACAATCTGTTTCGTTCCCAAACCACTTATCTGTAATTCTTGTCATAGTGTCACTCTCTGTCAAACTCAGTATTCCTCTCGAGACATCGGGCACCAAAGGCGATCCCTTTGGAAATGTCTGCAAAAACAGGAAAACCGCGATTAGATTAGTAATCTGATGGGATAAAATTAAAATCTGGTTTTTCCAAGTTCAAGATTAAAGAACTTACAAACCCAAAGCCAGCAGTCTTGTAGGTTGGGCCAACTATAGTGTACTTCCCACAATACTTTCCCAGGAATAGCCTAAGATAGGGTAGTTCATCCACAATGGCAGCAACCCCACCATTTCCACTTCCTTTTGTAAGTGCTTCATCAAACTCTTCTAATGTGGTATAATTCCTAAGTTTTATGTTGCCAAACTTGTTCCTTAACATTCCAGCAACAAAGGAACCATCCCGGCATCCAACATACTCTCCGTTCTTGATCAGATCTTTAACATCAGTGACAGTAGGCTGCAACTGTTGTACTGTTAACATAGACGTTAAGCTAGCCGTGTAGCTAGAGGTCAGAACCAACACCACAAACACCCACACTATGATCACGAATCTTGATAAATTGCTTATTACCTTCTCCCCTGCAACATAGTACACGGTTCTTTTATAATCACAGCAAAAGAAATCTGAGTTTAAGCAATGTTTTAGTACTTACTGTGTGCAAATACAAGAGTGGAGAAGGAGAACCAGAAGATCATCCCGACTTGCTTGTGGCGTGGACCTTGGAACTCGTCGTTTACTTGGTGTTCAAGTACCCAAATCACGGTGCCAATGAAGACAAAGAAGGATGCAGTCATCATCCAGAGTTGTTTACTCATAGGTTTCAAGAAAATCCAAGCACTCTTCTTGTCGTCTTGCTGGACTGGGACGACTGTGATGACCCCAGGCTCTGTAAATGATATTGTGAAATCCACATTGTTGGACCGTCTTGATAAAATGGTAATATCACCAACTACTGCATCAAGTTTCTGTCGAAAATCCGAGAAATGCAAGAATGGAGTTACAAGTGTTGCTGGACAAAACAGAAAGGCTGAAACAAATTAAGGAATGGATTGTTAGTATGGAACATCTGAGTATTACCCCACTAACGACCTGATTGACGAAGTTATCATAATCCGGATGGTTTTGGCTTTGATTGATTTCTACATATTCAACTGGTACATAATAAGGCATAGACTTCATCACTTGTTCAAAAACATCTACACAGAAACCAGTTGCCACTGTAGTGTTAGTCTGGGGATCAATAGTGACTTTAACTAATTGCTCAAGCCCTCCTTTGACAGGAACTCCAACCCTTAACTTCGTTTCGCCTGTGGGAATCTCCCAGCCTATAGGAACAACAGTAGAGTCACCTGGCCAAATGATCGCCCCGAGATCATCTTTGTTAGCAGAGTACACAGTTGTATGATTCGGGTTTGGATTCTTGGAAATCCCATACTTTTCTGTCCAGAATCCAATCCCTTTCTCTCTGCCTATCACATTCACAATCTGAAATGCAGATGGTTGCAGTTCTCCATCAACTATGTGGAAATCGCCACTTAGTCCTTTTAGTTTGATGTTTCGTATTGATTCAAGTAGCAAAGGCCCGAATTCTGATGTCCCAATTGCATCCAAATCTGTTGAATTCTCCCTACTAATTGTTCTGTTGAATTTCAGACCAGAAGTGCCCACTTTCTCAAGTGCTGTTGCTAATGCTATGACACTATCATATGCCCATAGCCCGAAAACATTGAACTCTACTCCATCCATGTCTGGATTTTGTCGACGAAACGCCTTTGATTTCCATCTCCCAATGAAGCTCTTCAGCTCAACTGAACTTGGGACATAAGGCTTCACACCTATAACCCCCTGCAAAGAATCAAGAACTGAAGGATCCTTGGAAACCAAAGTACTAGTGAAAGCATCTGTGATTATCCACACATATCCACTGCTCATCATTCCAGCTTCCTCTACCCTCGAGAAAAACTTAGGAGCAAAAGTTGGATGCAAATGCACTATGAACACTCGTGTCTGCTTCGTTTTCAACTTCAACAGCTCCACCATGATCTGATCATCATCAGATGATGGTGAAAGAACAGTTCGATCTGGCACTGAAACACCGATTTCCATCATGGCATCAGTCAAATGGGGAAGAATCCCACTGCCAAAAATGCTATCTTCATAGATAAACACAACTTTCCTCCAACCAAACGCCTCAACAATGGCTGCAATTGCCTTAGCCTGCCAGAAAGAGCAATATGCTACTCTGATAAAGTATGGATTTTGGGATGGTGAAATAGCAGGACTTGTGGCTGAAGAAATGACAGGAACTTTCACTTTCTTCCCTATATCCGTTACGAAATCTGCTCGGGTCGACGCTTGAGGGCCTAAGATTGCTTGCACTTCAACATTTTTCAACAGTTCTATGGCTGCAAATAGCAGAACAAAACAGGAGAGTCAGAAAACATATGCAGATCAGACAAGAAATCATGAAGCTTTTACTGTGTCATTAATGTTTTGATTTATGAAACATTAATTACAATTGAAGCATAACACGCCCTCTCATGTGTGAGCTGGGTTCCAAGCAACACGTGGACCGTAGTCGCTTGCTCTGATACCAAATTGAAGTATGTGTTCCATCTCAACTAAAAGCCTAAGCTAATAGTTGGATTGCATATTAATGGTTATATGCTCAACAATTACCTGCAGATGCTGCATCAACATCATCGGAGATGGAGGCTCTGAAGTGAGGAACAATCCGGGTACTATGGTTTCGATTGGCGTAGAAATCTGACAGCGCTAATGACATGCATGCTTGTCTCATCTTCCCAGATATGGGGTCGGAGTCAAGAATCACGCCAACATCAACCTTTACAGCACTGCCGCCATTCTCGCCCCCTACTGGGGCCGCCATGGAAATGGCAATGAAGCTTGTTCCAAGCATTAACAGAAGAAGGGTTAATTTTGGAGGCTCCATTTATGAAAGCTATGAACTTTGTAGCATATATGTTGTTTGTATGCATTACAGACTATATAGAATTTCATCATAAATGTTTTGGTTCCAGAAATTTGAGACCACAAGATGAAGTATATAAGTCTTTGAGTTTACTGGGACGTATGACACGCACCACAAATTGCCTTGCTTGGGAAGATTGACTTGACAGAGTCAGTTGCAGAAGGAATGAATACTTTTCAAGGAATGAATGCTGCCATAATCAAGAATTCAAGGTGGAAAAACGGTATAATAATTTTATAATACACTGTTCCCGGGAATTATACTTTAATATAATAATTATACTAATATTTATACAATTAATTCCTTAATTAGCATAATAATAAAAGAAGGAAACAACCTAATAATGGTCAAAAAAAAGTATTTAAATATATATATGCATAGTAAAAACATACTCTATCTGCAGTTCAGCTAACTATATATACATAGTAAGAACTACTTAAATTTCATCTGAACTACATTTCTGAGCATCATCTTTCTGCAGCCTCCTCTTCAGTCATGGAAATGCTGTCATCATGAACTGGACTTCCTGGTTCTGTTGTGGTGAATCCCTCATCCTGAGTGAAAACACCATGGCCAGGGGAATCTGCTCTAGTTCCTAATTCTTCTGCTCTCAAAGTTCATGTTCTTTAACATATCAGCAACAAAGGAACCATCCTGGTATCCAACATAGTCTCGATTCTTGATCAGATCGTTAACATCAGCGACACTAGGCTGCAACTGTTGTACTGTTAACATAGACGTTAAGCTAGCCGTGTAGCTAGATGTCAGAACCAGCACCACAAACACCCAAACTATGATCACGAATCTCGATAAATTGCTAGTTATCCTCTCCCCTGTGACATACTACATAGTTCATTTATAATCACAATAACAAGCAAAAGTACTAATAGTTTTAGTACTTACTGTGTGCAAACACAAGAGTAGAGAAGGAGAACCAGAACACCATCCCGACTTGCTTGTGGCGTGGACCTTGGAACTCTTTGTTTTCTTGGTGTTCAAGTACCCAAATCACGGTGCCAATGAAGACAAAGAACGCTGCAGACGTCCCCCAGAGCTCTTTCCTCAGAGGTTTCGAGAAAATCCATGCATTCTTCCTGTCATCTTGCTTAACTGGGACAACTGTGGTGACACCAGACTCTGTAAATGGTAATGTGAAATCCACATGTTTGGACCGGTTTGATAAAATGGTAACATCAGCAACTACTGCATCAAAATTCTGTCAAAAAATCAAGAAATGCAAGAATTGACATGTTAAGTGCTGCTGGACCAGACAGAAACAGTGAAACAAAATGAAATATTCAGTATTACCCCATTGAAGACCTGATCAACGAATTCATCATAGTCCGGAAGGTTTTCGCCTTGAGGGAAAGGTATATATTCAAATGGTACATAATAAGGCATTGAATTCATCACTTGTTCAAAGACATCAACACAGAAACCAGTTGCCTTTATAGTGTTTGTCTGGGGATCAATTGTGACTTTTACAAATTGCTCGAGCCCCCCTTTGACAGGAACTCCAACCCTTAACTTCTTTTCACCAGTGGGAATCTCCCATCCTCTAGGAACAGCAGTAGAGTCACCTGGCCAAATGATCGCCCCGAGATCATCTTTGTTAGCAGAGTACACAGTTGTATGATGTGGGGTTGGATTCTTGAAAATCCCATACTTTTCTGTCCAGAATCCAATCCCTTTCTCTCTGCAAAGTTGCAACATAAAGCATGACAACATATGCAAACAAGGAATCCTGAACATAGTAAACATTAATAATCTAACCTCGAAAACATCAGACAGGTTACCTGCAGATGCTGCATCAACATCATCAGATTTGGAGTCTCTGAAGTGAACAACAATCTGGGTTGTGTGACTGCGATTGGCATAGAAATCGGACAGAGCTAGTGACATGCATGCATTCCTCATCTTTCCAGATATGGTGTCCCAATCAAGAATCACACCAACATCAACCTTTACAGCACTACCATTCTGGGCTCCTACTGGTGATGTTAAAAGGGTAATGAAAGCTACTTCAAGCAGTAAAAGAACAAAGAAAAATCTTGGAATCTTCATTTAGAAAAGCTTTGAACTTCATAATATATATTAAGTTGAATCAGAGAAAGAGAGAATCAACAATGAGATGAAGTTGGGAGCTGAGACATATAATGAATTTCTGGGATTCTACATGTTTTAAAAATAATTCTTGCAGAGTTTACTTGGACCAATTCAAACAGACTTTTACCTAATACTATTGTGATTTATGAGACACATTAACAACAATTGCATTGAGTTCTAGAATCCTTTTTTTTGTTTTTTAATTTGGTTTTTCCCTTTAATTTAATTGTTTTATTGACTTGAGAGAAATAGCTGCATCAGAAATGAAATCTTTTCAAGAAAGTAAAGAAATGCCATAATCAAGACCAGTTCATTGTTTTATATTATCCAGAGTTATTATGAACTGTGATATATATTGCAAAACATCAGTCATGTCTAGAACTAATAAAAAATCTGTTAAGCAATCAACTCATCAGCTGGTGCAAGAATACTTGTTTTTTTTTTTTTTTTTTTTTTTTGGGTGACGAGGAAAACTCTCAGCCACTACCCGAGAGTGTGCACTAGGTAAACCCGGCTTTTTTACACTAGCTGGCAAAGGACTACAAGGAGTTAAACCAGCCTAAGTTGCCCATATATAGCTGACCGGCTCAAACCAAGAAAGCTAATAGACTGCTCGGTGCTCCTGTTGGAGTTAAACTTATAACTTTATGATTATCAAATCAACTGTCTGACCAACTTGGCTAGGTTTGTCGTCAAAGAATACTTGTTTCTTTGTCTGTATACTCCAAAGCATGCAGCAAATTGGTGGATGGAATACAATATAAATAAATAAAAGAAGAAAACACAGAGACAAGGATTTAACATGTCCTAAAACTAAGTCATGCACAGAAAATGACGAAGAACATAGGATTCATAGGTATAATGAAGAGTAATTGGCAAATGATATGTATGCTTTAATGGTGGGTGACACAGTGAATCATTCAAGGAAAGGTAAATTATGAATAATTAGAATATGATGGGATTATGTAAAAAGGTATAGGTGCTTTTGTGTTATATTTGAAAAATGAGAGGTCTATACATGAGTTCCATAAACTTGAGGGGTCATAGTGAAAATATTCATAGATTCTACAGGTCAAGTCAACTACGAGTAGAATAACTTCCCACCTTCTCCAAAATATTGTCCTTATGCCAATAAACAAAAAAAAAAAAAAAATGTTGTCTTTTCTGCTTTAATTACTACTTATAAGTCTTTCTTTTTAATTTATTTTTTTTTGGTACGAGATATTCGTATCTTACAAGATAAGACTAAACTAATCTGGTTAAGTACTGGTCGGGGCAAGTGTCCCAAGGACATTCTTCTAGTTTGAATGAGGTGTATAAGAAATCAAGAAGACCATGAATACTATTCTTTATCTGAGAACAGAACTCTTCAGAGAATGCATGCAGTTGAACACTTGAACATTTACCAGTTCAACTGAAAAGGAGAAGACATGGAAGTATCTGCAGAGAGGAATAGTCTCATATAAATATGTCTCATTATTAGCTGCTATCATCAAGTCCAAACTTCCAAAAGAAAAGGAAATGAAACTGTTCTTGGCCCTCATATTTTGCTTCCATTTCCTGCATTATCCACTCTCCTGCACTGCTAAAAGGGAGCTCCAAGTTGGGGTGATTCTTGATTCAGATTCATTGGTAGGAAGAATAGGGAGTAGATCCCTGTTAATTGCGCTTTCTGATTTCTACTCACTTCATTCCAACTACTCAACCAGGCTGGCTCTCCATTTTAGAGACTCAAAGGAACAGACTCTCAGAGCTGCGTCTTCTGGTACTAGCTGTTTCCTTGTCTCCTTTTTCTGCAAACTTTCTAAATCTTTCATTCATGGATATATATGCTCTCAGTGTATATGAAGATACTGTTATAAACCCCATGATCCACTTGTATCTGAAATGATTGGTTCTGATAAAATGGCTTTTCTGTAAGTTCCGAATGATGCAGATATGAGATATGAGATACTCTTATCTGTTTCATTTCTCTAAGTATCTATGACCACTATGATCATGGGTTTTTGTTTTGGCATATGAAAACAGGTCTGGAGTTGCTGAAAGATGTGAAGGTTGATGCAATAATTGGGCCTCAAAAATCTGCAGAGGCAAATTTTGTGGTGGATCTTGGAGACATAGCGAAAGTGCCAGTGATCTCTTTCTCGGCAACCAGTCCCTCCCTTCGCCCACGCTCCCCTTACTTCGTTCAAACAGGCCTAAGTGATGATGCTCAGGCGGGTGCCATTGCAGCCGTAGTGGAATCCTTCAAGTGGAGTCAGGTTGTTCTTATATTTGAGGACTCGGAGTTTGGCCATGGCATTGTTCCTTCCTTGTCTAATGCATTCCAAGAAATGAATGTTCGCGTCTCCTACAAGAGCCAGATTCCTGTCTCGGCTTCATCTGATTTTTTGCTCAAAGAACTGTACAAGATGATGACTTTGCAGACAAGGGTGTTTGTGGTGCAAACAAGCATTAACCTTGGGGCCAGGCTGTTACTGAAAGCAAAGGAAATTGGGATGATGAACGAGGGATATGCTTGGATTATTACACAAACACTAATGGATGTAATGAATTTCATGGACTCGAACGTTGTGGAAGCAATGCAAGGGGTCTTGGGGGTAAAGCCTTTGATTCCTAGGACTAAAAGACTTCACTCATTTGAAATGAGGTTGAGAAGCAAATTCCTCAAAGATCCAGGCTTTAGACAGGCTGGTTTGAGTGTTTTCGGGCTGTGGGCATATGACACTTTATGGGCATTAGCTGAGGCTGCAGAGAAAGTAGGAAGAGGAAGAGAGGGTAAAGAAGTTCTAGACAAGAGAAGAATTGCAGACAGTTCATCAGATCCATTTTCTGTTGGAGTCTCAGAATCAGGTCCCGAGCTTCTGCAAGCAATACTGGGCACAAGATTTGAAGGGATTTCTGGGAAGTTTCATCTCGCTGATGGAAAGAGAGAAGCGTCGTCTTTTCAAATACTTAATGTGGTTGGAAATGTGGAAAGAGAGGTGGCAATCTGGACACCTTTACAAGGAATCAATTTGAAAACAAATGGCACTAATCTTTATTCCTCATCAAGAGAAATCTTCAAGAGTACTGTCCTATGGCCAGGTGGGTCAAGTGCTGTTCCCAGGGGATGGGAAGTCCCAGTCGCAGGCAAGAAGCTAAGAATTGGAGTGCCAGTGAAGTCTGGTTTTACAGACTTTGTGAGAGTGGAAAGGGACAATGAACTCAACAAAACCCAAGTTAGCGGATACTACATTGATGTCTTCAATTCTGTCATGTCAGAGCTGCAATATTCTGTTCGCTATGAGTTCGTTCCCTTTGAGAAACCCAATGGCTCGAGTGCAGGAACATACAATGATCTAGTATACCAAGTTTTCCTTCAGGTAAACTTCACCATATCCCTTTACTATCATAACCAAATTTTCGTATTTCATTTTCACCGGTTTCTGATGATTAGTTGTGTGTTGTGTGTTGTGTGATCAGAACTTTGATGCTGCAGTTGGGGATATATCGATCACAGCCAACCGTTCAAAGTATGCAGATTTCACAATGCCCTTTTCAGAAGGAGGGGTGTTGGGAATAGTCCCAATAGCGTACGAGGATGTGGACAATATATGGACCTTTTTGAAGCCCCTAACCAAAGAACTTTGGCTAACCAGCATAGTGTTCTTCATTTTCACTGGGATAGCTGTCTGGATTCTTGAACATAGGGTTAGCTCTGCTTTCCGAGGTCCTCCTTCTCAACACGTTGGCATGATCCTCTACTTTCCATTCTCGACGCTAGTTTTTGCACATAGTAAGTAGTCTTTCTTCTTTCCATTTCTCGAAACCTTGCTTCTTTCATACCAACTAACTCAACCACTCCTGTTGCAGGAGAGAGAATCATGAGTAATTTGGCCCGGCTTGTTGTGGTGGTTTGGATGTTCGTCGTGCTCATTCTGAACTCAACTTATACAGCCAGCTTGTCGTCGAGATTAACAGTGCAACGCCTTAAACCAGCCATCAAAGATGTGAACCAGCTGATCAAGAATGGGGACTTTGTTGGCTGCCCAGAAGGCTCCTTCATTACAGACCTCTTGAAGGAAAAGGGATTCGAAGAATCCAAGATCAAGACTTATAAATTCCCAGAGGATTTCAATAATGCATTGTCTAATGGAAGTAGCAATGGAGGGATATCAGCATATTTCGATGGAGCTCCTTATACCAAGCTCTTCCTATCCAAATACTGTGGCAAATACACCATTGGACCGACTTACAGAACCGATGGATTTGCTTTTGTAAGCATTTTCTCATATACTTTGTCAGTGCCACTATCACTACTTCTTGCCAATTTCATAGTTCCTGATTCTTCCTTTATCTGTGACAAAAAAAAAAAAAAAAAAAAAAAAAAAAAACAGGTTTTTCCTAGAGGGTCTCCACTAGTTGCAGATGTATCAAGGGCAGTGATTGAGTTGACAGAAAATGGAAGGATTTTGGAGATTGGGAATCAAGGGCTCAGAAATGAAGCAACTTGTGCAGGGCCAGACAGCACACAACTGGGATCAACAAGTGTGAAATTACAGTGTTTCAAAGGACTTTTTGCCATTACTGGGGGCATAACAGGCTCCTGCCTCCTAGTTTTCCTAGTCAGCTATGTCTACCAGAACAGAACATGTCTGCAGACAATCTTGGATTCTAGAACTACTGTTTCCTCAAAATTTGTAGCAATATGCAGACATTTTGATCAAAGAGACACCTCTGCTGATCCCAAAGAGAAAATCCCAGATGCAGAAGGTGGTGAAGTTGGTTTTTCATCACATATAAGTGAAGTGCCTGACCTCTCAAGAATTTCTTCTCATTCAAGTGCTGTGGTGCCCTTGAATATCGAAGAACAGAACCATGCCAATGTGAGCATGGGCTTGAACCTAGGGCTGGTTGCTCGACACCCATCGGTCTGACTCTTTGATCTTATTTTGTTATATGGTTTTTTCAACACGAAAAGGGAAAGTGAAATCACCATATGTACTTCAAGATCAAGGAAAATGACCATAGGTTACATTCTTGTAAAGTAGTTTTTTTTTTTTTAAAACAGGTTATTTAGCAAGTAGGTATCCAGTTGATGTTGTTGTATATATTCAGAAGTTTGAATCTTGTGATTCTCCACTGGAAAAGTGAGTATTGTTAATAGCACAATAATAGTTTCCTGAACACAGACAACCAAGAAAAACACAGTACAGTTTACAAGATGGCTGCAAGAACATGAGATTATGATGAGCAACCTAAAAACCCAAAGAAGGCCACAAGTACATGGATGTAGTACGAGGATGTCGGAACATGTAAGTTTTACTAGGAGAGCAGTCGAAAGTATTGTCACCCCCAAACCCATACTTGTTACTATAACCTGGATAATCACTAACGTTAAACTTAACACTGCCTACAAGCTCAAGCCCCTGCTGAGTCGCAAGAGAAACTATATTCCATTGCTGGTGGAATCCATTGGTCTTGTGGGTGATGTGGATTTCGCCATTTTCACCGATCATCTGCTTGGCATTCTCCAGGAACATCCATATCATGGATTGATGACAACTGCATGTGCATGCACAAACAGAATGAATGAATGAATGAATGTATACTACTCTCATTAATTGTCAGTTTAAAGGCTAACCCAATCTTAGATTCGCGGGATGAATCATTGTAAAATCCAGCATATGGAAAGTTGAAGATAATCCTATCAAACATGGAGCCCATCAAGCTGGGATGGTATGCCATGGAGGTAGCATCAACACCGTGAATCACCTTACACCCTCTTTTTTTCAGCTCTTTAAGGTGGAGAAAAGCTTTGCAGTAATGGAAAGTCAAGAAGTCTGAAAAAGAAAAAGTTATAGCAATGAATTTGAAGTGTGCATATTGGGGGGCATTGATGATCAACTCAACTAACTAAGATTAGATTTTTCTTACCCTCAGAATCAAGAGAAGTTGCAGTCATGTTAGAAGCAGAGGCAAAGGCGACAGCTAAACTGGCAGAGAAGGAGAAGTCTCCTTCACCCACAAGCAGCATCTTGTGGCGATTGCTGTAGTGTTTTATCCATTTCTCTTCTTCTGCTACCACGAATCCCGTCTTGATCACTTGTTGCTTCAAAAAATTATAGTTACTGCAGTATCTACTTGAAGGATGAAAATTATGGTGATATTCTGCAGTAGTAGTATAAGCAGCAGAAGTAGCTGCTGCAGCTCCCCCATATCCATATGGCGGCAAGATCATGGAAGGAGAAGGGTACCACTCCGGCTGCAAATTGAAATTCAAATCATAGCAAAACCCCTTAGAATGCTGCTGGGCAAGATTAAAGGGCTGCTGGAAATATGGCATTGGCATTGGGAAAGAAAGGATTTTGGCATTGGCATTGGCAAATTTTGGGACACCATCAACACTAACAGCACTGCTGCTTCTTGCTGGTTTTGTAGCTGCTGCAAGAGGAACAATCTTTGGGGGTGGGGGTGGATGATGATGAGGACTACTACGTCAGAACTTGTAAGTTTTACTAGGAAAGTAGTCTGCATTATTATAGCTTCCTGTTTCCCATTTAGGGCTGTAACCCGGATAATCAAAAACATTGAAATCATCAACTCCAACAAGTTCAAGCTTCTGCTGAAACGCAATGGATTCTATTCTCAATTCACCAAGAACCCCATCCGTTCTTTGAGTGATATGGATTTCACCGTTTTCACAAATCATCTCCCTGCCAGCTCTCAGAAATGCCTTTACCAGGACTCGGTGTGGACTACACAATTAAACAAATCAATCAAAATGCTCAAACACAAGTTTTACAATGGAGTTTGAAAACAAATTATATTAAAGCATGATCTGAACTCACCGAGGTCGAGATTTTTTGCTTTTCTTGGACACGACAGCAAATGGAAAATTGAAAATTATACGATCAAATATCAAGCCCTTCAAGCAGGGATGAGAATCCATGACAGCAGCATTAACACCATGAATCACCTTGCATCCCTTTCTCATCAATTCTCCAATGTTGTAAACAGCTCTGTCATAAACTTTCCATAAACCCCCTGAAAATAGAATAACAACCTAACATTCAATGAATACATACAATCCCAACCTAGTTAAATCCTAGGCTCTTAACAACAACATCATTATTCATTCAGAGTCTAATCCTAGGCTGTCAAACATCCATCAATAAGGGGACCAAACAGCAGCCTGTAAGTACTATTTTTTTTACAATAAATATATAAATACAAGTAACTAGTGATATCATCATATATATCAAGAATTGAAGTCTTACTTTCAGAGTCCAAGGAAGTTGCAGTGATGTTAGAAGCCGACCCAAATGCCGCCGCTAAACTGGCGGAGAAGGAAAAGTCTCCTTCGCCCACCAACAGAATCTTGTGGCGGTTACTGTAGTGTTTTGCCCACTTCTCTTCTCCGCTCTGATTCAAACTATGGTTACACCGATCGTTGGTTGAAGGAGGAAAGGTGATGCCTTTATGCTCCGACCAAACCTCGTAGTCTGCTAAATAATGCCCTACAGTAGTAGTCATACCAGTTTCAAGAACCGGGTTGATCACTGAAGCAGTATCATCAGTGGAACTGCAAGTAGAAGTAGATGCCTTATTCACTGTTTGGGTGATCGTGTTTTTGTTCTTCGCCATGAAGGAAGGACATGCGGAGAGGAGTGTAGAAATTTCATTGACTTGGACATGGCTCATCTTCGGAACTTAATCTGTAAGGCAAGAGAAAGTAGAGGGAAAGGAAACTTAATCGACATGAGTCTGTCTAGTACGTATTACATGAGGGTCAAAGACTGATGGTATGTTTACTGTATTTGTCCATATATATTCCTCAAAGTGTGTAAAAAATACCCCCATTTCAGAAAATATTATTTACTACTCCTTATTTTAAACTAAATATATCATTTCATATACTACATTATAATAGAGTCAGTAGCATTTAAAAAAATATACCATTTAAAAAAATACACTCTTATTTTTTTTAGTACACTCTTACTAATTACTTTTCTTATTATAATACAAATATTTATAATATATAATAATATGTATGAGATAATGTCTAAAGCCGAACTAAAGTTCAATATTTCAAAATATACTGTTGGTTTTTTCGATCACCGGAGTAGTCAAACGGCGGGTCAGCATTACCGAAAATGAGAAAATTTCAATTTTGATCCACTGATTATTGGAGTTGTGTTAATTGCAACACTTGACTTTCAAAAATGTTAATTTAGTACCTTGGCTATGCAATTTCTATCAATTTTGGTCACGCCGGTCAAATTGCCGGCCAAATCTCACTAAAAAAAGTTAATATGTCAATTTATGAGGGTATTTTAGTCATTCTACTCATCCTTTTTTCTTCTCCAATGAGCTTCCCCATTTCCGGCGATGACTTCTTTCTTCTCCGTCGAGCTATAAAGAGTAAAAAAGTAAAGGCAACCGCCATAGGACAGTGTATCACCGTGTCTTCCTCCTCCGGCTACGAAAATCGAATTGACGAAGCTTCTAGAACATTCAGGTCTTCGGCGTCGTCGAATGACGAGGTGCTAGCGAGGTTGTCGGTGTTCAAGCAGCTGATACTGTGCAGCGTGGAGGGAAAGGTGAAGGAAAGCTTTCCGATCGTGAAGACATCGAAGGACCCGTATGAGGATTTCAAAGGGTCAATGGTGGAGATGATTTTGGAGAAACAGATGTTCGAGAAACATGATTTGGAGCAGTTGCTACAGTGTTTCTTGTCTCTAAATACGAGGCAGTATCATGGGATGATCGTCGAGGTTTTCTGGATCTCTTCCTTTTCCGGCCGTTTTGAGAGAAGCACATCGGAGAAGAAAAGAAGTCGACGCCGGAAATAGGGAAGCTCATTGGAGGAGAAAAAAGATGAGTAAAATGACTAAAATACCCTTCATAAATTGACCTATTAAATTTTTCCGGTGAGATTTGGCCGGCGTGACCAATATTGATAGAAATTGCATAGTCAATGTACTAAATTAACATTTTTGAAAGTCTAAGTGTTGCAATTAACATTTAACACAACTCTAATAGTTAGTGGATCAAAATTGAATTTTTCTCTGAAAAAATTGAGAGACAAGTTTGCCGGAAAAGTACTCATATTACTATGTATATGTGTGTAAAAGCTTAACCCTTTTTCCAGGGTGCTCTAAGCCTATTTATACAAGAGATTGAAGACTTAATTTAGGTAACCCTAATCTGCCATATATACATTTGATTTTCTTTCCTTATAGCTTTCGGATTTTCTTTCGCCCTTCGCAAGCTAGATCCACCCCCAAATATCTTCTAGATACAACTTGCATCTCATCATTTGCCCGAGTCTTCCATAGAGTCGGCTAATGTCCGGTTGACTAACTCGTCCAGTCGCTCCTTCGCCCAGCTATGCTATCGTGTGTGACTCCTTTAATTATTTAGGCCCTGTTTGGTAAATGGCTGTTGGTGTTAGCTAATTGTGTTAATTAGAGGGTATAAAAGTTGATAATATTAGCTGATTGTAGAAAAGTGTTTGGTAAATTAGCTGTTAGCTGATAGCTGTTTAATATACTTTCTTTTATGAAAAAGTTGATTGGAGTAGCTTTTTGAATTTTAGCCTTTTGGAGTTGCAAAAAACTAATTAATCAAACATTTATATTGATATTTTAACTAAATCAAACAATTAATAATAGTTAAATAAGCCAAAATTGATCTATAGACTAATTTTTTTATCAAACAGGGCCTTAGTCTCCTTCTTATTCTGTGAGCGAGTCTCCGCCTACCTGGCATTTTGCCCGGACATTTACCCATGGGGCTCCATTCTTCGGCCGCTCTACTGACCGCATGTATCTCCCATCTAGTCTCGATTAAAAATTGTTACAAAATGTTCAGTGGAGAGCTGCAATAAGAGGACAAGTAGAGCTGGCCCATTTTTTTTTTTATCAAATCTTCACTTCAAAGTCCACAAGTAATTGATTGAAAGGTCAACAATATCTCTGCAAAATGTAGTCTTTTTCCCCAGTATACGTGTAAACAAGAATTGCAATTTTGCAACATGCGAATGATCGATCCTGACAAATTGAAAACTTCTGTATGCTTTTCTCGTGTATTCGCACAGTGGGTGCACCCGGGCCGTGCACAAAAGATCCATTCTTTTTAGATTAATCTTTAACTTTCATGCCGAAAGCTCCAAAAAGGGTTCTGAGCGAAGATACAAATTGGGTGTGGCTCCCAATGTTTACACCCACAATAATAATGCCATAAACAGGAAAGCTGAGAGCAGATTGCTTATTGTTTCTATGATGAATTGTTTATGGCTTTGGTTTTCTTACCTGTTAAATGGTAATCCATAACTCTTACCTGTTCTTACCTGTTCAATGGTAATCCATAACGCTTACCTGTTCTTGGTAATCCCGTTCATGGCATTGTGTTATGCTTCATTATCCATAGACCTCCCCTTTATATATTATGAGTTCTAGTAGGACAAATGGTGCAATTCAACTAGTTTTAGGCATTTTTTTTTCCTGAGGAAATGAAGTTTTCCATTTTATCATTCCTGCTTTTTCTTCTTCTTCTTCTTCATCATCTTTTTGGTCTGCTTCTCATTCCCTGGTTCAGCAATGCAAAAGAAGACTTTGCCAGCTCTGGCAACAGCTCAGTGATCTTTCAAGTTGGAGTGGTTCTGGATTTGGATTCAGATTTAGCCCGGAGAGGAATGACCTGCTTGAATATGGCTATTTCTGACTTTTATTCAGTTCATAGCAAATATAAGACCAGGGTGATTCTTCATGTCAGAGACTCCAAGCAAACTGTCATTGATGCTGCTGCTGCCAGTATGTTGCACTGTCAACTTTTTTTTTTCTTCAAAGTTCTCCCTTGTATCTTTACCACATTTTTGGGGTGACAAGGAACCGGTAGCGACTATTAAGTTGTGCACTCACTAAATCCTGCCTGCCTTGTGGCCTAGCCGGCCATACTGTAGGGAGTCGAATTTGTAACTTGTGTTACAAGTTAACAGCCTAACCAACTTGGCTGGGGTTGTATTAGTATCTTTACTACTTTCATTTGTAACCATAATGTCCATATACAATCTTTTGAAAGTCTCAGCATACTGATTTTGGAAATATTCACTTCCCCTTTCTGCATGTCTGCATAGGTCTCCATTTGTTGAAAGATGTAAAGGTTGATGCAATAATTGGTCCTCAGAAATCTGCACAAGCCAGCTTTGTGAGCAATCTTGGAGACAGAGCTCATGTCCCTATAATTTCTTTTTCTGCAACTAACCCTTCACTTCATAATCGATCTCCTTATTTTATTCAAACAGCCCAAAGTGATGACATGGAGGTTGCTGCTGTTGCTGACATAGTTAAAGCCTTCAAGTGGAATCAGGTTGTTATTATATGTGAGGATTCTGAATATGGTAATGGCATTGTTCATTACCTGTCAAATGCATTACAAAGAATAAATGCCCGTGTTTCAGGTATAAGTGTCATTCCCCTTTCTGCCACTGATGATTTTATAAGCAAAGAACTATACCAACTGATGGTATCACAGACAAGGGTATTTGTGGTGCACATGTCAGATTCTCTTGGTGCCAAGCTCTTCTCTGAAGCCAAGAAAATTGGAATGATGAGTGATGGCTATGCATGGATCATCACCAGTGGACTAACAGATTTATTCTATTTGATGAATACAGATGTCAGGAAAGCCATGCAGGGTGTATTGGGTGTAAAGCCTCTGATTCCCAAAACTAAAAGACTCGAACCTTTTGTAGCGGGGTTGAAAAGGGAGTTCCTCAAGGATAGTTATGACTTCAAAGAGGCTGAGGTTATGAGCATTTTTGGTATTTGGGCATATGATACGATGTGGGCACTGGCTATGGCTGCCGAGAGATTGGGAACTAAGGAACCTCCAATGGTTTCAAACAACCCAGTTGGTCTCAATTCTTCAGACCCATTTCATATTGACATCTCCTCGACAGGTCCTAAACTTCACAAAGCAATACTGAACACAAAGTTTGAAGGGCTTGCAGGGAATTTCTCACTTAAGGATAGAAGACTGAAGCCTTCATCATATCAAATACTTAATGTGGTCGAAAATGGAGAAAAAGAGGTAGCAATCTGGAATCCAAATCATGGAATTATTAGTGGAATCAATGCTACTTTAAAAGATGTTGTGTGGCCAGGTGAATCAACACTAGTACCCAGGGGATGGGAAGTCCCAATTGTAGGTAAGAAGCTAAGAATTGGAGTGCCAGTGAAGGCTGCTTTTAAAGACTTTGTGAGAGTGGAAAGGGACAAGGAACTCAACCAAATCCAAGTTAGTGGATACTACATTGATGTCTTCAATTCTGTCATGTCAGCATTGCCATATGTTGTGCCCTATGAGTTCGTTCCCTTTGAGAAACCCGATGGCTCAAGTGCAGGAAATTATAATGATCTAGTAGAGCAAGTATCCCTTCAGGTGAACTCAACCAGGTTCCTTCACTATCATAACCAAGTTTTTGAATTTCATTTTCCTAGTTTCTGATCATATTGGATTAATTGCATTGCATGTTGTGTGATCAGAACTTTGATGCTGCAGTTGGGGATATAACGATCACAGCCCTCCGATCAAATTTTGCAGACTTCACATTGCCCTTTACAGAAGGAGGGGTGTTGGGTATAGTCCCAATAGCATACGAGGATGTGGACAGCATATGGACCTTTTTGAAGCCCCTAACAAAAGAACTTTGGCTAACCAGCATAGTGTTCTTCATTTTCACTGGCATGGCTGTCTGGATTCTTGAACATAGGCTTAACTCTGATTTCCGAGGTCCTCCTTCTCAACATGTTGGCATGATCCTATACTTTTCATTCTCGACACTAGTATTTGCACATAGTAAGTAGTTTTTCTTCTTTCCATTTATCAAAACCTTGGTTCTTTCCTACCAACTCAACTATTGCAGAACCAATTCTGTTGCAGGAGAGAGAATTGTGAGTAATTTGGCACGGCTTGTTGTGGTGGTTTGGATGTTCGTCATACTTATTTTGAGCTCAACTTATACAGCCAGCTTGTCATCAAGATTAACAGTACAAAGGCTTGAACCGGCAATCAAAGATGTGAAACAGCTAATCAAGAATGGAGACTTTGTTGGCTGTCCAGATGGCTCCTTCATTATAGACCTATTGAAGGAAAAGGGATTTCAAGAATCCAAGATCAAGACTTATAAATATCCAGAGGATTCCCATGATGCATTGTCTAATGGAAGTAAAAATGGTGGGATATCAGCTTTTTTTGATTCGGCTCCTTATTCCAAACTCTTCCTATCGAAATACTGCACCAAATACACCATTGGACCTACTTACAGCACTGATGGATTTGCTTTTGTAAGTGTTCTCTTATCACTTCATCAATTTCACTATCAGTACTACTTGCCAAGTGCATTGTCATCGATTCTTCTTTTTATTTTTGTGACTTGAAAAAAATAAAAAATTCAGGCTTTCCCTAGAGGGTCTCCACTAGTTGCGGATGTATCTCGGGCAGTGATTGAGCAGACAGAAAATGGAAAGATTCTAGAGATTGGAAAACAAGGCCTCAGAAACGATGCAACATGTACATGGTCTGACAGCACACAGCTGGGACCAACAAGTGTGACATTACAGTGTTTCAAAGGACTTTTTGCCATCACTGGGGGCATAACAGGCTCCTGCCTCCTAGTTTTCCTAGTCAGCTATGTATACCAGAACCGAACATGTTTGCAGACAATCTTGGATTCTAAAACTACTCTTTGGTCAAAGATTGTAGCAATATGCAGACATTTTGGTCAAAGAGACACTTCTGCTGGTCCACCAAGAGATCTCAAAGAGAAAATCCCAGATGCAGTAGGTGGTGAAGTTGGTTCTTCATCACATATTAGTGAAGTGCCTGATCTATCAAGAATTTCATCTCCTTCAAGTGCTGTAGTGCCCTTGAATATGGAAGAACAGAACAGTGCTAATGTGAACATGGGCTTGAACACAGGTCCTGCTGCTTGACACCAATCGGAATGACTCTCTTACTTAATCAGTTAATCTTATTTTATTATATGTTTTTTTCAACACGAAAAGGTAAAGTGAAATCACCATATACTTTAGATCATTGAAAAACTCATGCATCATCGCACTCAAAATGTCAAATGACCATGCAATAGGTTGCATTCTTGTAAAGTAGTGTTTTTTTAATAAGTTATTTAGCAACTAGGAATCTAGGTGATATTGTTGTATATAGTCAAAAGTTCTTACTGTTAGAGTCTTGTGATTCTCCATTGAAAAAGTGGGTATTGTTAATCGAGTACAACAGTAGTTTCCTGACCATATTGTTTACAATTGTTTGTAGAATGTAGGCGAAGATTTTTATTATTATTTTTTTTTTTGACCAAAATTGTGCTGGCAATCGGCATTGTAGACATTCTCATTATGCAAAAAACTACATTTTGCGGAGATATTATCAACCTTGAGTGATAATCGCAAAAATTAATCCATTAGGCGGAGAACTCCCTCAAATTTAAACCACTGCACAATATCTTGAGAGCATACTTGAGATGATATCATTGAATCAATTAGTTGTGCACTTTGAATAGTTGAATGGTGTTACAGTGTAAGACTAACAGAATTAGAAATTACTTATTATAAATGAATTGGCAGCTCTCCAGTCTCTTTCTTCTAGTCTAGTTTGAATTAGGTGTATTAGACTTTAGAAATCAAGATGACAGGCAGCTTTGACTTTTACCAGTTCAACTGAAATAAAATAAGCTTGGAAGTATTAAAATATATGTATATGTATATTTATAGAAAAGAATAGTCTCATATGTATATGTATATTGTTAGCTGCATCAACTATCATCAATTCCAAACTTCCAAAAGGAAAGGAAATGAAACTGTTCTTGGTCCTCATATTTTTTTTCCATTTCCTGCATTATCCGCTCTTCTGCACTGCTCAAAAGGAACTCCAAGTTGGGGTGATTCTTGATTCAGATTCAATGATAGGAAAAATAGGGAGTAACTTCCTGTCAATTGCACTTTCTGATTTCTACTCACTTCATTCCAACTACTCAACCAGGTTGATCCTCCATTTTAGAGACTCAAAAGAACAAACTCTCAACGCTGCGTTTTCTGGTACTAGTTTCTGCAAACTGTCTAAATCATCTCTGCATGTTTATATCCATTCAGTGGATATGTTCTCATTTTACATCATATTTATGACTTAAGACTCTTATAAAACCCATGGTCAACTTGTATCTGAAATGATTGGTTTTCATTAAATGGCTTTTCTGTAAGTTGTGTCTTTTTCTCTAGTTCCAAATAATACAGATACTCCTATCTGTTTTCCTTTTCTGGAGTATATATATACATATTAGGTTAGTTTGACCTTTCCAATGATTTCCATTTTCCATTAATATAGTGTAACTTAATGACACTTATCATCATGGTTTTTTTTTTTTTTTTCTTGGCATATAAAAACAGGTCTGGAGTTACTGAAAGATGTAAAGGTTGATGCAATAATTGGACCTCAAAAATCTGCACAAGCAAACTTTTTGATGGATCTTGGAGACAAAGCAAAAGTCCCTGTAATCTCTTTCTCTGCAACCAGTCCTTCCCTTCGCCCTCGCTCCCCTTACTTCATTCAAACAGGCCTAAGTGATGATGCTCAGGCTGGTGCCATTGCAGCCATAGTGGAATCCTTCAAGTGGAGTCAGGTTGTTCTTATATTTGAAGACTCTGAGTTTGGCCATGGCATTGTTCCTTACTTGTCTAATGCATTCCAAGAAATAAATGTTCGCATCTCCTACAAGAGCCTACTTCCTGTTTCGGCATCATCTGATTTTTTGCTCAAAGAACTGTACAAGATGATGACAATGCAGACAAGGGTGTTTGTGGTGCAAACAAATACTGATCTTGGAGCCAGGCTCTTTCTGAAAGCCAAGGAAATTGGGATGATGAATGAGGGATATGCTTGGATAATTACGCAAACACTGATGGATGTAATGTATATGATGGACTCGAATGTTGTAGAAGCAATGCAAGGGGTCTTGGGGTTAAAGCCTTTGATTCCCAAGACTAAAACACTTGACTCATTTGAAATGAGGTTGAAAAGGGAACTCCTCAATGATAAGACTAAAAGATTTGATCATCCAGTCTTTAGACAAGCAGATTTGAGTGTTTTCGGCCTGTGGGCATATGACAGTTTATGGGCATTAGCTGAGTCTGCAGAGAAAGTAGGAAGAGGCAGAGAGGGTAAAGAAGTTCTAGACAAGAGAATTGCAGACAGTTCATCAGATCCATTTGCTGTTGGAGTCTCAGAATCAGGTCCCGAGCTTCTGCAAGCAATATTGGGCACAAGATTTGAAGGGATTTCTGGGAAGTTTCAGCTTGCTGATGGAAAGAGACAAGTGTCGTCATTTCAAATACTTAATGTGGTAGGAAATGTGGAAAGAGAGGTGGCAATCTGGACACCTTCACGAGGAATCAATTTGAAAATGAATGGCACTAATTTTTATTCTTCATCAAGAGAAATCTTCAAGAGTAAGGTCCTATGGCCAGGAGGGTCAAATGTTGTTCCCAGGGGATGGGAAGTCCCAGTTGCAGGTAAGAAGCTAAGAATTGGAGTGCCAGTGAAGTCTGGTTTTACAGACTTTGTGAGATTGGAAAGGGACAAGGAACTCAACAAAACCCAAGTTAGCGGATACTACATTGATGTCTTCAATTCTGTCATGTCAGCGTTGCAATATGCTGTTCACTATGAGTTCGTTCCCTTTGAGAAACCCGATGGCTCAAGTGCAGGAACATACAATGATCTAGTATACCAAGTATTCCTTCAGGTAAACTTCACGATATCCCTTTACTATCATAACCAAATTTTTGTATTTCATTTTCACCAATTTCTGATGATTAGTTGTATGTTGTGTGATCAGAACTTTGATGCTGCAGTTGGGGATATAACAATCACAGCCAACAGATCGAAGCATGCAGACTTCACACTGCCCTTTGCAGAAGGAGGGGTGTTGGGTATAGTCCCAGTAGCATACGAGGATGTGGACAACATATGGACCTTTTTGAAGCCCCTAACCAAAGAACTTTGGCTAACCAGCATAGTGTTCTTCATTTTCACTGGCATGGCTGTCTGGATTCTTGAACATAGAGTTAGCTCTGCCTTCCGAGGTCCTCCTTCTCAACACGTTGGCATGATCCTCTACTTTCCCTTCTCGACGCTAGTATTTGCACATAGTAAGTAGTCTTTCTTCTTTCCATTTCTCAAAACCTTGCTGCTTTCATACCAACTAACTCAGCCACTCCTGTTGCAGGAGAGAGAATCATGAGTAATTTGGCCCGGCTTGTTGTGGTGGTTTGGATGTTTGTTGTGCTCATTCTGAACTCAACTTATACAGCCAGCTTGTCATCAAGTTTAACAGTACAACGTCTTAAACCAGCCATCAAAGATGTGAACCAACTAATCAAGAATGGAGACTTTGTTGGCTGTCAAGAAGGCTCTTTCCTTACAGACCTCTTGAAGGAAAAAGGATTTCAAGAATCCAAGATCAAGACATATAAAAATCCAGAAGATGTGCATGATGCATTGTCTAGGGGAAGCAAAAGAGGCGGGATATCAGCGTTTTTTGATGTGGCTCCTTATTGCAAGCTCTTCCTATCCAAATACTGCAGCAAATACACCATTGGGCCTACTTACCGCACTGATGGATTCGCTTTTGTAAGTGTTCTCTCATCACTTTTGCTCACCATATAATACTCAAATGTGCACGTCTCAAGTTTTTAGTTGACACGGAACACATCCTTCAATTACTTCAGTGTCACTATTACTTACTGATTCTTTCTTTATGTTTGTGACTTTTGAAAAAAAATAAAAAAATCTCAGGTTTTCCCTAGAGGGTCTCCACTAGTTGCAGATGTATCAAGGGCAGTGATTCAGCTGACAGAAAATGGAAAGATTTTGGAGATTGGGAATCAAGGTCTCATAAATGATGCAGCATGTACAGGCCCGGACAGCAGACTGGGCTCAATAAGTGTGACATTACAGTGTTTCAGTGGACTTTTTGCCATCACTGGGGGCATAACAGGATCCTGCCTCCTAGTTTTCCTAGTCAGCTATGTCTACCAGAACAAAACATGTCTGCAGACAATCTTGGATTCTCAAACTACTGTTTGGTCAAAGATTGTAGCAATATGCAGACATTTTGATCAAAGAGACACCTCTGGTGATCCCAAAGACAAAATCCCAGATGCAGAAGGTGGTGAAGTTGGTTCTTCATCACATGAACTATCAAGAATTTCTTCTAATTCCAGTGCTCTAGTGCCCTTGAATATGGAAGAACAGAACAGTGGCAATGTGAGCATGGGCTTGAACCTAGGGTCAGTTGCTCGACATGCATCAATATGACTCTTTTACTTCATCTTATTTTGTTATATAGTTTCTTTTTAGACACAAAAAGGGAAAGTGAAATCACCGTATATACTTTAGATCAAGAAAAACCTTGCATCGTCACAATTACAATGTCAAATGACGATACAATAGGTTACATTCTTGTAAAGTTTTTTTCTTTTTAACAAGTTATTTAGATATTTAGGTGATGTTGTTGGGCCACTCAATTGCACACTAAATTGTAATTAGGCCATTGTTTTTTTTTTTTTGTTTTTTTTTTTTTGGTGTGACTAGACAAAGGACTAAAAGAGGTAAATCCACCAAAGGCTAACTTGGCTGGAGTTTCCTTGCAAAATGTAGTCCTGGGCAGTTCATCGATTCTGACAAAATGAAAACTTATCTGCGCTTCTCCCATATATTTAATATTCGCATAGAGCTGATGCCTGCAGCGTGCATCTACTTCTGCTAAACACTACTGCGACAAGGCTTCTGAGAGAAGGAAGATACACATTGGGTTTAGCTCCCAATGTTTACACCCACTGGCCACTACAATAATGCCATAACACAGGAAAGTTGATAGCAGTTTACTCTTTGTCTTTATGTTCAGCTGTTCATGCGTTTGGTTTTCTCAGGTTTACTTCTTGGTTTAGATTTGTCTTATGTATTGTATCATGGCTGTCGCGTGATGTAATGTTTGGCATATTACTATTCTTTTGAAGAAGACAAAGGGGAAATGATACACCCATGTTGTTGTTGTTATTCTTGTTCTTGTTCTTGTTGTATAGCGGGATAACCACTATTTTAGGTTTTTAATAGGTAATTATACAAGTAGTGAAATAGTGGATAGTTTCTACGATTCTGTATATATAGAGCTACCTATGTATTTAAAGGATGACACCGAAGATTATATATTGAATTTGTATGGTGGCAATCTCTTCTTTATCTCCCTTTTCTGGAGTTAGATTATCTCTTGAAGCATAGTCATTTGGAGTTGGACTGCCACTCGAGGCACATTCATGTCTCTTCTCCCCCTAATTTATGAAGTTTAGCTCTTGACTTGAAGAAGACCAATCCATACGACCTTAGGGTTGTATCAATTGGTGCTTTCATTGAGAGCATCAACCTGGAAAAATTATTTTCATGCTTGAGGCAAAAATAAAAAATAAAAATGGGCAACATGCAATGGTACATTAAAGATTCACATGCATATATGGAGAGCTTTCAACAACAACACAGAGAGTTACACCAGTGAATTTGCAAAGCCTACAAAATAAATGGAGCATCATGCCGGTAGAAAGTGCAGATGCAATCCACGCTATATCGTCGCCTTGGAGATATTGTGTTAATTATCACCTTGAGGACAAGGTTATTTTAATGGGCGCGGAAATGATACACCCATGGTGTTGCTGCAGTTATTATTATTATTATTATTGTTGTTGTTGTTGTTGTTGTTGTTGTATAGTAGGATAACCACTATTTTAGGCCTTTAATATGTAATTATACAAGTAGTGGGGTAGTGGATAGTTTCTATGGTCCTATATATACAACTAGCTACCTATGTATTTGAAGGATGACACTGAAGAATATATATTGAATTTGTCTGGTGACAATCTCTTCTTTATCTCCCTTTTCTGAAGTTAAACTATCACTCGAAGCATAGTTAATAAGTCAGCAGATTGGCCAACTGGCTGGGTTGCCCCCAATTTTCTTTTTTCTTTTTTCTTTTTTTTTTTCTTTTTTTAAATGAAAATTGTAGTTAGATAACAACATGTATGTATTGAAGCCATCCTGTAGCTTTCATTTCGTTTGTATATGCTGCAGGCCTCAGTCACTGTCATCATCTCCAATTCAACGCGCCTTTTGTAGACTTAGTGATTTGCACAGGTATGTTGACAATGTTATGTTTTGATTATGACTTTTAGTAAGATGATTTAACTTATTGTGGTTTGCTACTTGATATGGAAAATGACAGATATGTGAAGAGAATATTTAATAGACTTTTACCTGTTCTAGGCAATCCCAATAACCAGGAAGTTTCATGGCATTGTCTTTTTTTCCTTTATCCATTGACCTCCCCTATATATATATTACTCCGTATGAATTTTCTACCAGCCTAATAATTGCAATGCAGTAGCACAATGGTGAAATTCAACTAGTTTTAGAAATTTGTTTACCAGAGGAAATGAAGTTTTCCATTTTATCGTTTCTGCTTCTTCTTGTTTTAGGTCAGCTTCCCATTCCTTGGTGCAGCAATGCACAAGAAAACTTTGGCAACAGCTCAGTGACCTTTCAAGTAGGCGTGGTTCTGGATTTGGATACAGATTTAGGGCGTAGAGGAATGGCCTGCTTGTACATGGCTCTTTCCGACTTTTATTCTGTTCATAGCAAATATAAGACAAGGCTTGATCTTCATGTCAGAGACTCCAAGGAAAATGTCATTGATGCTGCTGCTGCCAGTATTTTGCACTGTCTTCTTTGTTTTTGCTGCATATATTTTTATGTTAATTCTTGATTAGACAAGTATCAGGATACACCCAATGATTAGATGAGAAAGAACACAATGACTCAGCAATTTATGGTTTAATAACATTTTTGTGCCTCCATTCACTTCCCATTTCTGTTGTCTGCATAGGTCTCCATTTGTTGAAAGAGATGAAGGCCGATGCAATAATTGGTCCTCAGAAATCTGCACAAGCCAGCTTTGTGAGCGATCTTGGAGACAGAGCTCGAGTCCCTATCATTTCTTTTTCTGCAACGAACCCTTCACTTCATCATCGGACTCCTTATTTTATTCAAACAGCCCAAAGTGATGACATGGAGGTTGCTGCTGTTGCTGCCATAGTTAAAGCTTTCAAGTGGAGTCAGGTTGTGATTATATGCGAGGATTCTGAGTATGGTAATGGAATTGTTCATTACCTGTCAAATGAACTCCAAAGCATAAATGCTCGTGTTTCAGGTAGAAGTGTCATTCCCCTTTCTGCCACTGATGATTTTATACTCAAAGAGCTATATAAACTGGTGGCATCACAGACAAGGGTATTTGTGGTGCACATGTCACATTCTCTTGGTGCCAAGCTCTTCTCTGAAGCCAAGAAAATTGGAATGATGAGTGATGGCTATGCATGGATCATCACCAGTGGACTAACAGATTTGTTCTATTTGATGAATTCAGATGTCAGGAAAGCCATGCAGGGTGTATTGGGTGTAAAGCCACTGATTCCCAAAACTAAAAGACTCGAATCTTTTGTAGCGGGGTTGAAAAGGGAGTTCCTCAAGGATAGTTATGAATTCAAAGAGGCTGAGGTTATGAGCATTTTTGGTATCTGGGCATATGATACTATGTGGGCACTGGCTATGGCTGCCGAGAGAGTGGGAAGTAAGGAACCTCCAATGGTTTCAAACAGTTCAGCTGATCTCAATTCTTCAGACCCATTTCATATCGACATCTCATTGACAGGTCCTAAACTTCTCAAAGCAATACAGAACACACACTTTGAAGGGCTTGCGGGGAATTTTTCACTTAAAGATGGAAGGCTGAAGCCTTCATCATATCAGATACTTAATATGGTCGAAGATGGAGAAACAGAGGTCGCGATCTGGAACCCAGATCTTGGAATTACTAGTGGAACCTACGCGACTTTAAAAGATGTCGTGTGGCCAGGTGAATCAACAGTAGTACCCAGGGGATGGGAAATTCCAGCAAAGGGTAAAAGACTAAAAATTGCTCTTGCTGCAAGGCCTGGTTTTGCAGAGTATATTAATGTTGTAAGAGATGCTCAAACCAATTCCTTCAGATTTGGTGGATATTACATTGATGTTTTCAGTAAAGTCATGGCTTCTTTACCTTATTCTGTGCCATATGATCTTGTTCCCTATGAGAAACCGGATGGTTCATGTCCTGGGACTTACAATGATCTTATATATGATGTGTATTCTCAGGTAAATTCTACTATATTGTTAAGGATTTTTATTCTTATTCCTAGCTAAATCCTGATTTTCTCCAACAAAATCATTGCTTCAGAAATACGATGGTGCCATAGGGGATATAACAATCACAGCAAATCGATCACAGTACGTGGACTTCACTTTGCCATTTGATGATGGTGGAGTGGTCAGTATAGTGCCAATCACATATGAAGATGAGAGTGGCTCCTGGACTTTCCTGAAGCCTTTGAAGAAAGAACTATGGCTGACAAGTATACTGCTTTTCGTTTTCACTGGTGTGGCTATCTGGATTCTTGAACACAGGATAAGCTCTGCTTTCCGGGGACCCCCTTCTCAACATGTTGGGATGATGTTTTATTTTCCCTTCTCAACAATAACATTTGCACACAGTAATCCTTTTTTTTTTTTTCCCATTTCTATCGGTTTTATCTTCTGTTTTAGAAATACCCGTTGCTTATGAACGGTTGGTTACATGTATCTCGTGTAGGGGAGAGAATTGTGAGCAACTTGGGCAGGCTGGTTGTGGTGTTGTGGATGTTTGTTGTGCTTATCTTGAACTCAACTTACACCGCGAGCTTATCATCCATGTTAACAGCTCAAAAGCTGCGACCTGCAACCAAAGATGTGAAGGAGTTGATTAAGAAGGGAGATTATGTTGGCTGTTTCAATGGCTCATTCATATTCAATCTGTTGATAGAAATGGGATTTGAGAAATCCAAGATTAGGACTTACAGATACCCAGAAGACTACAAGGATGCCTTATCAGGTGGAACCAAACTTCCCAGAATCTCAGCATTTCTTGATGTGGTTCCTTATTCCAATCTCTTCCTATCCAAGAACTGTGGCAAGTACATGAAAGTTGGTCAGACATATCACACTACTGGATTTGCCTATGTAAGCATCATTCTTCCCAAGATTTTACTGTTACTTTGTGTTTTCTGCAAGGTTGAAAAAATCGCTAGGCGCCTGGGGACCGCCTAGGGCGTCTAGAGCGATTAATCGGCGCCTAGAGCGCCTAGGTGGCTGACCGCCTAGCGCCTAGGCCTGATTTTTGCAACACTGATTTTCTGACTTTTCTCCTCCTCATTCATACCTTCTGTCAAAATCCCCAGGTTTTCCCAAAGGGTTCTCCTTTAGTAGCCGACGTCTCTCGTGCCATCATCAAGTTAACAGAAGAAGGCAACATTTTAGATACCACAAGACAGTGGGTGAGAAGCGATGAAGTGTGTACAGGACCCGAGAAAACTTCAGCCTCGACGGTTGTGGCACTGCAAAGTTTCGAAGTGTTGTTTGGCATCTTTGGGGGAGTTACAGGGCTGTGCCTCCTGGTTTTCATAGCCACATATGTGTACAAGAACAAAGATTTCATTCAAGAAACTTTGAGTTCCAGAACTACAATTTGGCTCAAAATACAGGCAATAGGCAGACACTTTGACCAGAGAGATTTATCTTCTCATAAACTTGAAAGGGCAAAAAACCCCCAAGAACCAGAAGGTGATGACAGTGAATTTACTTCTTCACACTCCATTGAAATGAGCAATCTGCCCAGAAATCCTCCCTGCAGTAGACCTTCTTCACCCGGTGCACTGGAAGGGAACACCGATGAGCCTGGAAACGCTAACTCAAGCTCACAGCATCAGGTTGCTAATGATCAGCCACAACATTGATAATGTTTTTCCTATGCAAATCAGCTGGTACATATAATTGTAAACAGTGTTTGTACATGCAATCATGAATATCTGGGTTGTTTAACACCCCGATATCATTAGACCGTTGTTAGATAAATTGGTAATGTGGGTTGAGGTAATTGAAGCATGTGTTCCATCTCAACTAAAAGCCTAAGCTGATAGTTGAATTGCACATTAATGGTTATATGCTCAACATGCCCCCTCACGTATAACCTTTGGTCTGGCTCTGATACCAAATTGAAGCATATGCTCCATCTCAACAAAAAGCCTAAGCTGATTTGCAACCCACCACATTACATTTGAGCTAATTGCTACAAGCCTACAAAGACTGCAAGATATCTACTTAGACTTGTTTCTAACACTCGACGAATAGGAGCGTATGCTCCAGCGTGTTAGTTGCTTCACTACATCTCTCATTGTGGGTCTTTTGTCCACCTCCTTCTCTGCACACCTCAAAGCCAGTGAAAGCGCTTCAGTTACTTGTTCCATCACGCTGGAATCTATCAATTCATCCAAAAGGCTCGGATCCACTATCTTCTGAATTTCTCCAGTTTGTGTCCAAACCGACCTAACCCAGCCAACAATATCGGTTTCACCATTGAACGAAGGATCCAAGGCCTTCTTACGAGTTATCAATTCCAACAGAACGACCCCATAACTGTATACATCTGACTCTCTGCTCTTCACAGTAGTGAATGCATTTTCTGTAAAAAAAAATAATACCATTAGGAATTTTCTAATGCAATGCTATGATTTTTTTACAGGAGTCTTATGATTGCATGAATAATAAAGATTACCTGGAGCCATATAGCCGATTGTCCCTTGAACTGTGTTGGACGGGATTGAAGTAGCAGACTGATCCAGAAGCTTGGCAATGCCAAAGTCTGAAATGTGAGGCTCGAGATCAGAGTCTAACAGGATATTCATCGGTTTAATATCTCGATGCACAATGGCAGGATCACAGTCAAAATGGAGATACGCAAGTCCATGGGCAGTCCCTACAGCAATATTATGACGTGTGCTCCAATCTAACGGCTTAGGAGGATTTGTCTCATGGAGGATATCATGAAGGCTGCCATTTTCCATATAAGTGTATAGAATTAGTCCATACTCCTTTCTCAGCCAAAACTCTTCCAGTTTAATAAGATTCCGGTGCCTGACTTTCCCAATTGTTTCAATTTCCCGAACCATGCTTACACTTCCATTCTTGATCCCAGTAAACACAAGCTTTTTCACAGCATACACTTTATCTGGACTTAATGTGGCCTTGTATATTGTTCCATGTGCTCCCTTCCCAATAACATACTTATCATTTAGATTCTCTGTAGCTTCCAATACTTTATTGAGCAAGGAACCATCACCCTCTTGAGCAGAAATTGCTATTTCTTGTACTGATTTTTTGCAATGTAGAAACAGGAAAGCAGAGAAAAGGAATAGACAGATGATAAATAACAATGCCCCAAGAACTATCATTGCTATTCCCAAAGTACTAAGGCCACCCTTCCCAGTGTTGGATTGCATATTACATGGTCGCAAAATGCTGCTCTCCGGGCAAGCTAAGCCATCAGCAGGGCAGTTAATACAAAGGTCAGAGTTCCCGGAAAATGAAGTGGGAGATGAGTTCAAGAACTTGGTCAATGAAGGTGGTACGGGGCCAGAAAACAGATTGTGAGAAATGTTGATGAATGTCAATGATTGGATTGTAGACAAAACTCTCAACGTACCAGATAGATTGTTGTGAGATACATCCAATTCCTCTAGCATCTTTAATTTCCCTAGATCTATAGGGAGTTGACCATTCAGTTTGTTACTGCTCAAATTTAATGACCTCAGTGCCTGCAAAGCTCCCACTGGTGGAATATCTCCAGCTAGTAAATTTCCACCGAGCTGCAGATTTAAGAGCTTATTGGATTGGAACAATGAAGTTGGAATACCTCCTGAGAAACTGTTCTCACCGAGACTCAATTTGGTCAGTTCTGTCAAGCTTCCTAAAGTGGATGGAATAGAGCCATTCAACAAATTGTGACTCGCATCAAGTTCTGACAGTTTATGACAGTTCGACAGTTCAGATGGAAGTATACCTTTAAGGATGTTGTGAGAAAGGTTCAAATGTTCAAGTTTCACAAGGCTACCAAGCTCGGGTGGGATACTCCCTGAGAGCTGATTCGATGACAAGTAAATGGCAGTAACATTTTTTAGGTTTCCTAAGCTTGGAGGTATCGGTCCAGTGAAGTTATTGCCACTAAGATCAAAGAACAGAAGATTTTGCTTCTCAACAAAATCTGGGAGGCCACCTCTGAGGTTATTCTCTTCGAGAATTAGCCTTTCCAAAGTGGAACAGCCCCCCAAATCAGAAGGAACACTACCTTCCAGATAGTTATAACCCAAGAGCAGTCTCTTCAGTTTCTTTTGGGAGCATAGGTTCGGTGGAATATGACCTGTGAACATGTTTCTGGTCAAATCTAGAACCTCTAAACTGCTGTTAGCCCCCAAATCTTGAGGAATAACTCCAGTAAAATGGTTTTCATATAAGGCAAGGCTCACTAGTTGCTTTAGCTCGGTCATATCAACAGGTAGCTCCCCGGAGAGATTGTTTTGGTACAACTGAAGACTTTGGAGGCTTTGAATTTTCCAAATGCTGAGTGGAACTTCACCAGATAAATTGTTGGTATATAGATGGAGATATTGCAATTGACTGAGCATCCCTAGTTCACCCGGAATTTCACCCTCAAGTTGATTTTGTTGAAGTTGCAAATCAATCATGGACTTGCACTTGCCTAGCTCGGGTGGTATTCTTCCCGAAAAATGGTTTCCAGCAAGGTAAAGAGTGTCTAACTTAGTGAGTTGGCCAAAACAGGAAGGTATAGGACCACTCAAGGCACAAGAAAAGGCACCGAATTCCCTTAAGCTAGTGCAATTTCCCAAACCAGGTGGGAGTCCTCCCGTGAATTGGTTGTTGGACAAGCTAATCGTGTCAATCTGTTTGCAACTAACAAAGTCCAAAGGAATAGCTCCCACTAAACTGTTATTCCTTACATCTAAGTAAACAAGGTTCTCGAGATTATTTAAAGTGACAGGCAAGGTTCCAACAAGATTGTTATCATTCAAATAAAGTTCTTGCAGGGTGGTAATGTTTCCTAAGGATGAAGGCACTGGCCCTGAAAATTGATTATCATCAAGCCACAGAGTTGTAAGCTCACTCATGTTTCCAATATTTGAAGGGATTGAACCATTAAGACCATTGCCAGTGAAATAAACAGTTTCTAAATGTGGAATTGAAAGTAAAGACTCAGGAAATGGGCCAATCAGAGAATTAAAGAACAGGCTTAAGTTCCTTAAATTCTGCAAAGCTCCAAGGGTGTCAGGGATATTACCAGTAAAGCTGTTGGAGGACAGATCTATGTGTTCAAGAAGACTGCAATTGCCTAGCTGGGAAGGAATTGAGCCAAAGAAACCATTGCCACTGAGAACAACCTTCTTCAAATGCTTCAAATGCGAGATTTCGGGCCCGAATTCGCCTGAGATTCCATAGGAGGAGAGGTTCAGAGTATCAACAAATTGTCTCCTGTCACATTCTACTCCCAGCCATGAACAAGGAGTGGAATCTGAAGCATTCCAGCTCTGGGTTATGTCAGAAGGGATTGAAGTCCAATGTCTAGTGAGTGAGAGCAGAGCTGCTCCATCAGAATTCAAAGCAAAAGCAGCATAGATTGATGAAGTGGAGCACAAAAACAACAAGAATGTGTTCACAGCAACCTTCATGTTAGTACTGACTACCCACCCAGAGGGTGCAAGACTACCAAAAAGAGTAAATTTTTGTGAAAATACTCAACTTTGAGGTTGCAGATTACCAGAAGGAAACAAAATAAGTAAAAGCAGCAAAGATTGATGAAGTAGACTACCAAAAAGAGTTTAAAAAAAAAAAAAAAAAATTGTGAAAAGACTCAACTTTGAGGCTGCATATTACCAGAAGGAAGCAAAATAAGCATCTGCAAAAGATTCAACTATTGAAAATCAAGAATAATACCAGAGGGGTATCAAAAGCTTCTCTTCATCAAGACTACATTAGAGAATGTAAGGAACCAACACCAAGACTCAATTTTGAGTGATTGAACAGACAGAAGAGTGAAAAGCAGAAGGGGGAAGGAATAATAGGGAAGAAAGTAGACAGTGGGCAAGGATACCCTGATCAAGAAGAACACGAGTGGGATCGGAGGAATATAAAGCTCTGAGCTTCATTTTGTCGGATGGTTCTTGGAATAATGGGAGTGGGAAGAAGTGTGAACAGGGCTTGATGCGGTGAAGGAAGAAGATCATGATGTTCTTTCGTTTGATTAATGCAGTATTATAATCTGAGTATCAATACGGTTTATTATTTTAAGGATTACAGAAAGAAAACATTAACGCGGTCTCTGTCGCGACAGATATCTTGTCACTTCTGAGCACCCACCGGACACGTCAGATGCTTTAAGACTGTGCGTTGACCCTCCTCCTTTCCACACTACAACGGCCCGACGCCGACGGGCGTAACCGGTATTCCGGTAACGGTGAGTCAGCCTTGAATTGACTCCCTGCAAAAATGACAGAAGATCACAGGCCTCAAGCAGTGATTACCACTCAAATAATGATTGCGGGTTATCAAACACAAGATCACGAGCCTCAATTAATAGTTACGAGGTGACTGAGTAGAATTTACCCAATGCATACTTTAAAATAATGATTGTCGATTATTAACCGTGAAATAAGGGGATCATGAACCTCAAATAGTGGTTATGAGGTGGCTGAGTATAGTTTACTCAGTGCAAATTATTAACAAAATATGATAAATTTGTGCTACAATACCTGCGAAGATAGACCATTGTCGGGGTGTCCAGTCATTTTACTGATATGTCCAACGAACAAGATCACTCTCGCAACGTAAGTTTTAAGTCATTTTACTGATAATCATTCTTCCCAAACTTTATTTCTGTGACTAATTGAACTGCTTATGCAGACACTTTACTGATAATTATAATTAACTAGATAGTCATATGTCTTATGCTAAAAGCAACTTTATTTGTTGTGTTTTTTGTGGTGTTTTTTGCAGGTCATGTAAGAGAGAGGATGAAGTGAGAAGAGAAAAGGAAAAAATATATATATATATGACAAAAAATGGTTATTTACGTGCTTAACTGGCGTGTGCACTGCACGTGTCTACTGAGCGCGAAAGCTACTACACACGCATCAAAAAGTGGATCTCACCAAAAAAATTATTTTGCAAGAAAAAAGAAAAAACATAGCAATAACATTTCTCTCCCATTAGATAACAACTTACTATTGATTTTTTGTGATGAAAAAATCAAGAAAACACTAATTAATAGGGATGCTCTGCCAATCGATGTTGTAAGGCCTATGTCTAAATTTTTGTAGCCTTTTCTTTTTTGTATTGTTTCACTTGCCTTGTGTATGTCAAAAAACAAAAACAAACAAACAAAAATATGGTAGAGTCCATTATACTTTTAACTAAATAAACTAACTCTATCATTATTTTTTTCTAATCCAACGTTGTTGACTATGTATTAAACAGTATATTAAAACTAACCTAATGTGAAATGAAAAAGTCAATCATGTGTTTAGATTGGCCCTTTTCAGTCTTCTGTTTTGATTAAACAGTATATTAAAACTAACCTAATTCAATCATGATTACGTATTTACGTTGTCCCTAAAGTCCTAAACTTTGCTAGTTTAATAATAGCGACGACATGTCCTACTAGGTAATTAATTAAGGTCCGTAATTAGCGTAAATTAATTAATAATGGCTTCCTAACAACCTTCGCATTATTATATGTTAATCACACTCCATCAATGTCAGATCACTGAAAACCATACATAATGCCCTGCTAAGTGCTAACTTAGCAGTTCTAGAGAGATATTTGATAAATTAGTTAATATTTAATTAAGTTACTTTGAGCAGCTTATTGAATTTTAGCGTTTTGAAACAATAAACTGTTACAAAAAATTAATTAATCAAACACTCATATTAATTGTTTAACCAAGTCAAATAAATTAAAATTTGCTGATAAGCTAACTATGATACCACCCAGAATAGCCAAAAAGCAATAAGCTGGTTGAGGGGGTCACATGCACAATTATATATGTGTCTCCTTGAGCAGCTGCAGCCTGCAACTTTGCTAGTAAAGAGTCAAGCTTTCACATTGAGAAACCATGGCAGATCTGATCAGACAATGGAGATATTAAAAGCTTGGTGTCATGGATGCCAGAACAACACACAATCAAGTATAGTGCCCACTCTTTGCACCTTCCACAATTAAATATGTGCAGTATAGTAGCTGAAGTTGGTCCAATGATTTTTTTTATTTTATTTTAAGATATATGTTTATGATATTTTATGATGATTATGAGTTCAATTTAATCAAAAGTATTAGTGAGAGAATTAAATATAATCTATTTGCACGGAATATATTCGGTTTTGTTTATTTAGCAACGTTATTATCAAGAAAAATTACTACTTTTAAATACTAAAAATCATTACATTTGAATTAAACTTATAATGTAATATATGTTCATAACTACTTTCTCAACTTACTGAATCACAAAAAATTAATAGATCCTTTATTTGAAAGAGACACTTCGTGCCAGTAGATTACAAGGTTATTGACTATTTTTTAAAGCCAGAAAATAAATTGTGCTTATGTTTAATTCGAAGGATTTAAAAGACTTAGGGTGTGAAATGGGGTCATATTTCTCACATAGTCAACATCAACCTTATGTTCATCATAACTAATTCCAAAATATTACATTAATTAATGATGTATGTTTCACACGACTTTATTTTTGTCCAACAAAGTCATTGTCCAAAGCGCATTAGCAAACAGCATTTGTTGCTAATGCACAATTAGGTAGCATAGAGGAATAATAGAGTTCAATTTGTATATTGTTCTCCACTTCAAGACAAACATTTAACACACTTTTTTTTTGACAAGAGCAGCTACTATCTGAGAGTGTGCACGAAATTGTACTATATAAATTATTTACATGTATAATAACTCACTATGTAACGGGCTTAGATCAATTGAGAAAGTATTAATAAGAATCAAACATTTAACTTTATAATACAAGAATTATGTTCTACTCACTGACCAACCTTTTTAAAAAATATAGGTGGATTCTAACAATGTAGATCACTTACATACATACTTGTTTTTAGTATACTAAAAGTTCATTTTTAATACGTATACTACTTAAAAATGAAGACGACCGACTAATTTTCTTTTTCAGTGGAGAAGGCCATCGGCGATTGATTTTTTTTTTTTTTTTTAAATGGCGATCATGGCGATCAACGGAGATAATTTTACTGGCGGTTACTAATAAACAGAACTTATTTGACTCATTTTGATAAGTTCAAGTGTTTAATTACATTTTTTTAAGTTTATGGGTCTAATTACATTTTTTTATAAGTTATAAATTTCAATGGCCTATTTGACCATTTTTCTAAGAAATTTTAAAAAGTGATATGGACTAGACATTACATTATAAAGCCCAAATATAATAAAGGTAGATAATGGACCGGATAGGCCCAGTTACGTATTTATTAAGCCCAGCCCAACTTGTATCCTCGGGGGTTAGCAGCTGTAAGTGTAGAATAGCAGTGCGTATCAGTGACCGTAGGGCTTTTAACAAACACTTCGCCAGTTAGGGTTTTGCTGCTCTCTTGCGACTCAGGGAAGAAGGAATAGAAGCGAGATTTTCAGTAGCAGAGAACAAGCAGCAGCCATGGCGAGCACGAAAGTTCAGAGGATTATGACCCAGCCCATTGTACTTCTCCTTTTCTCTCGCTTTTATTTTGTTTTTTTCCGATTCCTCCCCTCCCCCATTTTGAGCTAAAATTGTCGCTGATTAAGGTGTCTTTATGTTTTCTGTTGGTTTCTTGTAGAATCTGATATTCAGGTTTCTTCAGAGTGTAAGTTCCTCTTGATCCTCTGTCCGAGATAACTACATGATTTTATAACCTGTTATGTGACTATATCTGTTGCTTACCATGCTGGAAATGAATGCAGAAAGCTCGAATTCAGATTTGGCTTTTTGAGCAGAAGGATCTGAGGATTGAAGGCCGCATTATTGTAAGCTTTTATATGTAACTGGATGAATTAGTTCAATTTTTGACTACTTGTTTACTCAGCAGACAGCAGTAGTAGTAGTGGATATATATTTGGAGTGTTTATGTTGAAAACTCAATCTTGTGGATTTAATGCATTGAGTTAGTTGTGTTTTGAAGAGTGGTGAGTTTATAGGCATACATATGCATTGAAGCCACTAAGTATTGATTTTTGTATGTCTAACCATTGAGGTACCTGATTAGTTTCTAGGGAGATTGATATCTTTACAAGGAAAAAAATGTTGCTTAGATAAAAACAGTGTTTCTTTTGTGTGATTTGTTAATGAAATGAATATTAAACATTAAAATGGTTCCTGAATAGCTCAGGAGTTGTAAATGGAATTCATTTGTTTTGGGTAAGCTGTTTTTTTTTTTAATTACTATTTTATCTCAATAGGTCCCAGCATTGCACACGTCTTATTTCGTAGGGAAAATTTTGTGTAGGAATTGGGTAACTTGTGCATTTTTTAAAAAAACTTATCTAGACATCTCCTGCTCATTTTGAATTATTGGATTCTCCATGAAAGTATAATCTCTATATATGTAGTTGTAGATAATGATATTAGCTGGATGGTTGTGTTCACATCACTGCATGTGCATAACTCCATGTAGCAGCAGGGGTTTTGTCTAATGAACAGTGAAATTTTGGCAATGTTTGGTAGAACTTAGCCCAATTTCTAATGTTTCATTTTCTTGACCTTTCTTCGTATTGCTTTTTACCCCCTGCCGTATTTAATTCTCTCTTAGGTTGTAAGCATATGTGTGTTGGCTGACAAAATATACTCAATATGTTTCTTTTGGTTAGGGGTTTGATGAGTACATGAATTTGGTTTTGGATGATGCTGAGGAAGTCAATGTAAAGAAGAATAGCAGAAAGCAATTGGGTGGGTACCAAAACCCCTTTCCTATCAAACCTTATTCCTCAACAATGGAAGAAGAGGAATCCTGCAACTCTGTTGTACTTCGCTGATGTTTTTAAGCTTTTGTGCAGGTCGCATTCTTCTAAAAGGGGACAATATCACCCTGATGATGAACACGTATGTAATTGCTGTATCTTCTTTTGACTCACTAGAAACAAGTTATCTTACACAAACTGCACCAGCTAGCTCCTACTGTACATACTGACTCTGATTTCTCATTTTTACAGGGGGAAGTAACATCGTGGATGGCGATTTGGATCTCAGCAGCATATTTCAAATGCATATTATCGGTCGCTTGGAAATCCTTTGAACTTCCAACTATTATAACCAATGTATTCTAGGGATTGAGTAGTATATGAGATGCCAGAGTTCTATCTTTGATGTGTAGCATTTTCATTGATCTTGTTCCAGTTGTTGTATACTTAGCCACAAAATGATGCATGGTTTGAACTGAAGTTTACCATTTACCTCTATTATATCAACCAAGTTGGAGCCCATGAATTGTTTACAAAATCAACCCTGTTGCCTGTTTTACTAGAGTCTTTTCCTTTGCAAGTTCAAGATGCATGAAAAATCTGAAATCGACATTCAATGGCTATGTATATTTCTAATTAGAATATAAATTTTTTTTAAAGCATTCGTTATATAGATAGAATACATGGATGGATAATACAAAAGGTAAGCAAGAGGAGAACTAAAACAAGAATATGGAAGATAAGCACACAAGTGCAGTTCTTCCATGACTACCAGTTTCTAGCATAACTTTTACAACCAACCACACCACTAAACCAATACTCCCCAGAGTAAGGGTGTCTCAAGTGAAGATGAAATTGCAGATCTAAAAGCAAGCTATGATATGGCAAACATTTTCCTTTGAAATACTAAAGAAGATGGTTGACAATAACCAATTCTTCGTTACTGTAGTGCCACCGTTTATTACCATCGACTAATCTACTACTCGAATGCAAAAGTATTTGTTGATCGACCAAGGCGTTTCCTTGTATGATCTCTAAAGTTTGAGGAAAACGAACTCTTCAATTGCAGCCACTTCCCCAATCTTCTTGAGGGTGTCCTTGGTTGGCTCTTCATCAACTCCAATTGCCATGATAGCCGTTGTCCTCCTACCAGTCCTTCCCACACTCATGAAGCTCACATTCACATTGCTCTCTGCAAGAATGTTTCCAACCTTCCCAATCATTCCGGGTTGATCAACTTGGCGACAAAGTATTAGGTTTCCATCCAAGCTCACATCAACGCTGTATGATCCCACACAGGTGAGATGAGGAATACTGCTGTCCTTCACTCTCCCCTCGGCACAGATATTCCCATTCTCCATCAAAGCACTCGCGAATTTGGACTTAACACTGCTTATTTGCACCTGGATTGTCTCGACAGGGTCCTCTGTAGATGAGTTGACATATACTCGCTCTTCACTGATTCGGAGACCCTTCTGCTTGGCCGTGAAATCTGCATTCACAAGGTTGATATACGTGTCTGATATAGGCTCGATAATCCCTTTAGTCACCATGGCTCGGAGAAGTCTGGTGTCCAAGCTGTCAGGGCTCCTAGCTGTTTTATACACTATCTTAATGGACTGAATTCCACTTCCCCCAGCCACTAACTGCACAGCCATCCTACCCAGTTTCTCGGCTAGCACAACATAAGGAGCTAACTCTGACAAAACCTGATCACAGAAGTAGGGCGTTTACAGTAGTCTACAAACGAGAAGACATCGAGCTTATCACATAATCATACAGTGTGGGCAATGTGGATTACCTCGGGAGGGACCATTGGAGCATTAACGGAGGTTGCAGAGAGCTCCCCTTTCAAAGCACCAACCACAGCTTCAGCTACTTCAACTGCAACACCTTCCTGAAAACGCAATCACAGTGTTACAGCCAAGAACCAATACCTTGTTAAGCCTATATGTGGCTGATATTATCTTTGGTTATTCATCCGTTCTAATATTATTCCTGTAGACTAGCTTAGTTGTAACTTCTCCCTTGTATTACTATTTATAGTCTTTAATCTTTCTTCTAATACAATGTACAGTTTCTCCTTAGCCTTACATACCTGTGCTTCCTTCGTGCTAGCTCCAAGATGAGGCGTTACAGTAACCTTCTCGTGAAGCACTAACTTGCTATCTTTAGCTGGTGGCTCCTCGGTGAAAACATCCAGAGCGGCCTATTGTAGACAACGATAAAGGGAAAGAATCAGTATCCGTGTCAAGATTCAAGGATGATCCACTAACTTAAGAGAAGATAGCCCCAATACCTGTGCAACAGTTCCATTGTCAAGGGCTCTTACTAGCGCCTCTTCATCAATAACACCACCTCGAGCAACATTTATGAGGCGCACTCCTTTCTTCATCTTTGCAAACGTTTCGTCATTGAATACCTTTTCTGTAGCAGGAGTAAGAGGCATATGAAGTGAAATGAAGTGAGCAGAGGAAATGGCCTGATCAAATGAGACCAAATCAACTCCCACGGCGCGAGCCTTGTCTGCTGGAGCATAAGGATCATGTGCAACAACATGCATACCAAGGCCCTTTGCACGCCTTGCAACCTCTGAACCAACCTTTCCAAATCCCATAACTGCTAATGTCTTCCCAACCAGAGAGACACCAACATACTTGTTCCTCTGCCAATTGCCTGTAAATTTGATATATTATGGAATAAGCTCAGATAACAACCATGAATATGAAACAGTTAGTATATTGCCTAGTTTCAATTTTGACAGAATAATTCTCAGGAAAATGAAAATCAAAACAGCTTGAATGCTGGGCAAGAATCTACAATAGTTAATGACTTCACTCAACATGAAAAAGAAACCATCTTTGTTTATATTACCTGCCCACTTCACAGGAATTTATGCTAATTCATTCATTCCCTCTTCTTTAATGAACCTTTCTTTTTCCCAGGGGGAAAGATACAAAAATAGAAGTGGGGGGTAAAAAGGAAGATCTTTCTAAGTCAAAGCAGATCAGACCATATCTTCAAGAAATAGTACTACCATCATAGAGGTGAAACTTTAGAAGAAGAAATAGTACTACCATATCATATCCTTCTTGCTTTCGAGATTCCACCACAATAATGAGATAGTAAAAGAACATGATTCTATCAAATTATAGAGTTTCACTATGTATCCTATCCTTTTGGCCTTCTCGTAGTCTGATTTATTTTCTCGTGGTCCTTTGACAACTCAAATTACAAGACTGGGTTTATCTATACACACTCTTTCGGATAATGGTTGCGAATTTGCAACAAAAAAACAAACAAACAAACAAAAAAAAAAAAAAAAAAAAAAAAAAAAGAACAAAAAAACCCAGATATGTCTGTATCATAGTTGTTATCCTATGTCGCTGTCCCAGGAAAGTATAGATCCAATAATCCCAGTTGCCAACTACCAAACAAAAGAAATTACAGTCCAAAAACATGAAAGGATTTAAGCCACCTCCCAACAAAAATTAACATGACCCTTGTCCCTACCTATGATGTTTTTTTTGGGTGAAAATGATCAAAAGGAATATAGGATGAAAATTGTATAATGCAGAGAGGACTTAGGACACCATGCTGTACAGAGTGCAGACAAAAAACTTTGGGTTCAGCTTCACTTAATTTGGTGCTAAATCTCGAAACTAGATTGACTAGATATTCAGCTAAATCGGGAAATGAAATGTAGGTTATAAAAAATTTAAATTTACCTGATTTAATGGAAGCATCAGCTTGGGCAACGTTGCGAGCCATGGAGGCGAGCAAAGCGATGCCATGCTCGGCGGCGGCGATGGTGTTGGCGGTGGGAGCGTTCACCACAAGGCAGCCGAACTCAGTGGCGGCCTGCAGATCCACATTATCAATCCCGACGCCGGCCCTTCCGACCACCTTGAGGCGGCCCTTGGCCGCCTCGAACACCTGGCGGGTCACCTTCGTCCCGCTCCGCACGATCAGCGCGTCAAACTCGGAGATCTTGTTGCAGAGCTCCTCCGGCGAGAGGTCGTAGGAGCAATCCACGTCGCCAAATCCACGCAGCAACTCCAGCCCCGCGTCTCCCAGCTTCTCGGAGACTAGCACCCGCGGCTTAAGATCCGTCTCCCCGGAAACGGGCACGTCGGCAGACTGAACCGTGTCGAACACATTCCGGACTTGAAAGGAGCCTGCAGACCTCCGGGATCCATGGGAGACGAGCCTGAGCGGGATAGAATTGGGCGAGGAATGAAAGAATGAAAGGTGGGATATTTTGGGGTTCCGGGAACGGGGACATGCGGGCATTGAGGCACGGAAACTGATAGAATTCTTGGGAATGGTCGCCATTATTGGAAGCTTGAAACTTTGTTGCGGCTGTCGGATCTCCTCGAGACTCACAAAAAAAAAAAAGAGAGAGTCTGACGGAGCGAGAGACGTCGTCGGAATGGAGATACAATTTTGAACACACGATTTGGTGGGTGGAGAGTGAGACTTCATACCAATTTATTGCAACTAAGCCATGTTTTTAACATTGTTGTTGTTCCCATATGATGATTCCAAATTAAAATATTAAAGTATTAAAGATTCCTTAATAATGAATTATATTATTTCTTGACTAAATATCTCAACATGACCCGAATAGATCATAATAAATGAGTGAGTGAAATATGATTCTCTCATAAAAAAGTAGGTTATGAGTTTAATTTAGGGTCCGTTTGAAAATCAGGAAAATGAGTCATTTTTCAGAAAATATTTTCATTTCCCGTGTTTGGTTGCATTTTGAAAAACTTGGTGTGTTTAGTTTATTTTCTGGAAAAATGAGTAGAATTGTATTTTTAAACATTCTGGCGGAAAATGACTTCCCTCAAATTTTGGCGGAAGTCATTTTCCGCCAAAATGGCTTCATTTTCCTCCGTCAACGGAAAATGTTTTTCCGTTGACTGGATTTTCATGTTGCATCCAAACACTGAAAACTCGAAAAACATTTTCCAGAAGTCATTTTCCGGGTTTCCAAACGGACACTTAAGTCCGTCACACGTGATCTTTTTAGTTTTTAGTGCAATTTATCTCGATCTCTTATGTGGTTTATGGACTATTACATAAGAGCAGTGTTGTGAAAATCAGCCTAAACGCTCCTAGGCCGAGACGATTTCAGCCCTATGCGGCTTTTAGTCCGTCAGCCGGCTAGGCGCCAAGTTGGGCCCCTAAATCGGCTGAGTCGACACTCAACTCGGGCGAGTGTGTTTCTTTTGTCTGCTCGGCTAGTCCTCTTCTATATTCTTGCAGCAATGTACTCAACTAGCGTATGCAGTTAAATTTGATGAATTATAACAGTTTAACAACTTTCAATCCCAATTGGGGATAGTGGAGACGATTTACTTGGATTACTTGGTCGCCTAGGTGCTCTAGGCGACCCTCGAGCACCCGATTAGCGCCTAGCACCTTCTGCAACATTGCATAAGAGATCAAATGTGTTACTCTTGTGTAGTGGTTGCAAGGTTTATGCAACAAATAATATCACTATTATATTAAATTAACACAAAATACAGTATCAGAAATGTTCATGTGTTACTTGAGCCGTGGAAAGTAATCGGTTCTAACTATTAGTTTAAACTTTAGTTGAGACGGAGCTCATTACAATTCACGGTGTGTTTGCGGTGTCATATTAATTATTGTTAAGATTTTATTTATTTTGTTAGTTCTAACAATATCAAGATATTGTCATTTCCCATACATATAATATTGTTTGGATGTTTAAAATTAAATGTATTAATATTTCAATGATGTACCAGGACTATGTGGTCTAATGGTATCCAGGTTGGACTTTCAATTGAAATATTATGAGTTCAAGCCTCAGTGGAGGCATTATTAGTTCTTTGTGTTTCAGTAGGTTGAGAAAGTATATGAACAAAAAAAATAAAAAATATTCCAATGATGTATAATAAATGTAGTTTTCAAATACTTTGTATTGCAAAACCACTAATATGGCTCTATAAAGTAAATTGTTAGTGTCTTAAATGTATTCTGTGCTAAGTTTAGTAAAAACCTAATACTCCATAATAAATAATGGAAAGTGCATTTAGAAGAGTATATTAAATTAGATAGAAAATGATCGAATTTGGAAGAGTTACGTTTTAAGATTATTATCATTTATCCCCAGATTGATGAAATAATGATTTGAAAGTTCCCATATATAAAAGGAAAAAATTAAAGTAATTTAATAGAAAGCAACAAGAATATATTTCCCAAAAAGTGTATTTCTTAAATTTTGTATTTACTTTATAATGTTTTGTTATTAATTATTAATTATTAATAATAATAACATATCATAACAATAGTCGATGGTATTAGAGTATTCCCTTCAAAAATAATTTAATCTTAGAAACAAAGATTAAATTACCCACTAAACTCAGAATTTACTCATTTGAACAAGTCAAATTCGAACATTTGAATCAAAATTAACTTGCTTTCCAGGTTAAGTGGCGATTAACCTTTAATTTTTTTTTTTTTTATCAAATTTAAATGTTATTTAAAAATTCAATCCCCTCCCATTCGTATTTCGTTGAAGACAAAGAGATCGTTCATGTATCCGACACCAAGATACAATTTTTTAAAAATAAATTATGTAGAAAATATATAAAAATAATTTTAAAAAATTAACACTACGACTTCCCATTTAGCAACTCTTTTGACTTCATGCCACTGGACCACTAACATATTTAATTGAGTTTTTTGCACTTTTAGTCCCATGATTATAGTGGCACTGGCAGAATTGATCCACGACTTTTGAACCTTGCAATTTTAGTCCACGACTATTGATTTTTTTTGCAAAAATGGTCCTTCCGACTATTTTTCCGTCAAAATTTCATCGGAAAAAAAAAATTCTCTATTTTTAGCCGGGTTAAAATTGACATTTTACTTATCTCAAAAAATTAAAAGAAAAAAATTAATATTTGACTACATACAATATTACTGGGCTACATACTACTGCCCCAGGTGGCGGAGTACATGTACCACTCCAATGCTGCTGCCGGATAACCCAACTAGCCCGGGGAACGCCACGGCCGCTCCGCCGCTTACTGACAGCCCTGCCTGCTCCAGGAACTCCGCCACCTGGGGCAGTAGTATGTAGCCCAGTAATAATGTATGTAGTCAAATATCAATTTTTTTCTTTTAATTTTTTGAGATAAGTAAAATGTCAATTTTAACCCGGTTAAAAATAGAAAAAAAAAATTTCGGTGAAATTTTGACGGAAAAGTGGCCGGAAGAACTATTTTTGCAAAAAAATCAATAGTCGTGGACTAAAATTGCAAGGTTCAAAAGTCGTGGATCAATTCTGCCAGTGCCAGTATAGTCGTGAGACTAAAAGTGCAAAAAACTCTATCTAATTTAACCATTATTCTTATATATTGTTTTATAAATTTGAGTGAATAGTAGATTTAGGTTAGTGGGTCCGGATGTGCGAAACGGCGCACGTGGAGGGTTCCTAAATGCATGGGTATCGACGGTGTCGATTATTTCTTTAGATTTAAGAATGCCTTATGAGATCGGGACGAAATATAAAAATTATGTTGGCCGGCCCCACACCATGTTTCCCTTGGTAGAAATTATACTGCATTACGGCAAATTATGTTGTGCATCCGTATGCATGGTGCATACGGATGCAAAAACGACGTCGTTTTATTAAAAACGCGCGTCTCCTTTTTAAAAAAGAAATTCAGATTCGATTTCCAGTAACAATATATAAACTAAAATTTCAGAATCGATAAACTATAATTTCATAATCGATGAACTAAAATTTCAGAATCTAATCTATGAATTAAAAATTTCAGAATGAATGAACTAAAATTCCAAAATCTATGAACTAAAATTTCAGAATCGATGAACTACAATTCCAGAATCGATGAACTATAATTTCAAAATTAATGAACTAAAATTCCATAATTTATGAACTAAAATTCCATAATCTATGATGTTGTTGCTGGAATCGAACTTAATTTTTTTTTTTAAAGGAAGACGCGCGTTTTTAACAAAAACGACGTCGTTTTTGTATCCGTATGCACCAGATGCACAGCATAACTACTCCTGTATTACTGTTGCCGCATTGCCGGGCATTCCCCGAACACTCACTCGACCCGACCCGTTATAGGAAATATAAATACCACTATACTTCTTTTAGTCTCTTTCCTAACCAATACACCAACTGTTGATAAGCCTATTAGCAGTATGAGAAGCTTGATTAGACAACTAATATAGATTTTATAATTTTCAACAACCAGATCATCGGTTTTATGATTACTTTAAAAATTCAAGAACTCTTATTGTTATTATTGATCAATAGTTAAAAGTGGTTAGTAACACAAATCACCAACAAGACTCGTCAAAAACTTTAATCAATAAGGACATGGGGTATATTCACATTTTTTATTTTTTATTTTTTATTTTTACCATTGAGTGATAGAGAAGTAAAGAAAAATATAATTATTGTTAATTTTACGACCTAGACAATTGATGATAGTTAGCCAACATAATCAAGTCGAAACAAAACATTAAGCTTAAAATAACTCAAAAAAAGGGGGTTATTATTACTTTGCGTAAAAAAATATCCGGTGTCCCCTAGCAAGCCTCTTTTAGAGTTTTTATTCTAATTACAAGTTGATTTTAAAAAAATGTAAAGAAAACAATCTCTTAAATTTGGATCAAGAATCTTTCATATGCACATCTATCTAATAAATGAGATAGCGTGTCTCTCAAATTTTAGACTATTAATCCTAAATTAACCATGAGAGTTGAGTCTAATCGCCTAAGTCAAAGCCAAATACTAGACCGCTTATATCCCACCCATAAGTAATAATTAAAAAAAAAAAAAAAGAAAAAAAAGAAGTTATGGCAACTATGATTATGGGTAGATGCAGCCCACAGCCCAGAGGCTAACCAGATTGACAGAAAGACCTGTTTACAGTGGCTTTAATTTACAAACAGCAATACATCAAGCCCCCATTAACACTACAATGCTGTCAAGTCCACAAAACATATACATATATACACTCATTGGCACATTCATCCTAAACCCAGTTTTTCTTGTAACCACACAGGAAAGATGGTCCTAAGATCATCCAAAGTTGAGACTACTTTGAGTGATAAGGAAACCGCAATCCCTACTCGAAAGTATGCACTAACTAAGTTGAGAATACTTTGATCACAGAACCATTGTTAATGCAATAGCACAGATCATATATATACAAGCAATTGAGTGGAAAACACAAGAAAGGATCAAAGCCATGAATCATAGATTTAAAACCTCAGTTATGTACACTGTTTTCATGAAACTGCAGACTGGTCTAAGGTAGTAAAGCAACAGAATTGAAGACTAGGCACTTACAGAACCAAAAAAACACTAAATCTTAGCTTTAATTTCTCTTCTACTAAAGTGCCATTTACACAACCAAAACACAGAAGAAAACAAACACTACCTATCAAAACCACTTGCTTCAATTCTCTCACAAAATTGATCATTCAATTCTCTTCTAATCAAATCTCTCCCTCAGCATCTGCAGACCAATGTACCTGCAAACAATTAAGAACCCCAGAGGTTAGAAATCAATTCAATGAAGCTAGATATCATATACTGGAACTGAAAGAACAAGAAATGGAAGCTCACCTGCCCATCATAAGAAGAGTGGCTTGGGGATTAGTCCCTGGAGAGACAGTGAATATGGAGCCATCCACAATTCTGAGGGCTTTGACTCCCATCACTCTCAGCTTTGTATCAACCACCTTCCCCACAACACACCCACCATGGTAATGCCAAATGGTGGTGACAGTTTGGCGGCAGAACTCCTCCATAAGGGCGTCGTTGGATAGATCAGAGGGCAAAGCAGAGCCAACATAGATGAAATCCCTGCCACCAAACCACTGAGAGAATTTGAAGCCTTCCATGGAAGTGGTTCTGAGAACATCCCCAATCTTCCTGCTGCCATTCACACACCTCTGGAGATCTTCAATGTCACTGAAGTAATTGAAACGGACCACTGGGTTCACCCTAACATCAGTTGATGCCAGCCTGAGTTCCCCTGCAGAAGAGGGCCCCACAACTTTCTCCAAGATTGTGGCCACTGTGTGGAAAGATGGGGCTCTCACAAAGATTGGGAGGTTTGTGGTGGCAAGAGGGACCACATTTGAGACTGCTTCTAGGTATGCCCCAGAGCTTGTGATCCCCACAACTTGAACCAGAGAATGCTCCAGTGGCAATGGAGGAACAATGGAGATCCCATTTCTTGGATTGTCAAACAAGAACTGCCCTACATAAGGTGAGTTTAAGGATACAGGAATGCCCAGAGAAGAAAGGTATTGTCTTGGGCCAATGCCACTCAGAAGGAGGAGCTGGGGGCTACCCAGAGCTCCGGCGGAGAGTAATACTTCACCTTTTCCCCTCACCATAGCATGGTGAAACATCCCGTTCTGGTCCCGGAAAACCACCCCAGTGGCCGCGTGTTTCGCCGGAATATCGGAGCCGGAATTCAGGAGAACCCTCTCCACGCTAGCGTGCACCGCCACACGGATGTTAGAAGGGTTTGCATAGATGAGAAGATCCGCTGAAATGTGGCGGCGGCCGGAGCTATCAAAGGTGGATCCTCCAATCTTGGTGCCAAGAACGTGATCTAAGCTGAACCCATTGTAGGGATTAATCCCAGCTTCCAGCAACCCATCCCTCACCGCCACCTGCCAGTTCTTGAGCTCCGGCCGGAACACGATAAGCCTCTCTACCCACTCGTACGACTGGTTCACCATTCTCAAATCCCAGGCAATCCCGGACCTCCGGTAGAAATCCCTGTCCGCCCGGCTGTAGAAACCGGCGTTTATGGTGCTACTGCCGCCAAGAACGCGGCCTCTGGCGTTCGGCACCCCATCTTGCGACGTGAAAGCTTGGACAGGGGAATCATAGGCATTGATGTTCGTTAGCGCCGTGAGATACCCTTCTTGGGTCATCAAACTGGGATTCCCATACGGAACACCACCTCTCTCAAGAACCAGAACTTTAAACCTCTCCGACAATGTCGCCGCCAGTGGACACCCGGCCGTGCCGCCTCCGACGACGATGTAATCATAGAACTCCTCCGGCGGCAACTGCGTCGCGTTCACCACAAAACCCAGATAAGTAGGACCTGCGAAAACAACAAGAAATCAAAAACAAATCCCAAAACACTCAATCCAATTCAAAAACCAAGAACCAATCAAGAGAATTATTAGAACAGGGATTCGTGAAATTACTCTGTTGAGAGAAACATTTGGGAACGGAAATGAGGACGGCGACGATCAAGAAAAGAAGGAATTGGAGTAAGGGAAGAGTAATCAATTTCGCCATTGGGGCAGGGGTTTGGAGTAAGGCTACCCAGACCCCAGAGAAGAATAAAAAAACAAAATCTGCCTTTTTCAACTCTTCTGGATTCTCTCTTGAGAAAAAGATGAAGGGGAATGTTCTTGGCTCTCCAGAAGCGTGAAAGCAAGAAAGAGAGAGAGCGAGAGAGTAGCAAGGGAAGTAGAAGTAGGGGAAATAGCGGTATCTTTTTGGTGGGAAATTCAGTTATGTATCCAAAACGGAGACCTTGAGACATAGATGAATCTTGCATGGTTCATAAAGGAAACTCATAAATTTGGGACCACTTCAGTTACAAAAATCATTTTCCATTTCTACCCCTTCATTTAAAAAAAAAAAATCATCAAAATGTTTAAATTTGATTATTTTCTTTTCAATTAACCCGTAACGACAATGTAGAATTTGACATCTATACACAGCTAGGTGGAGGTTTAAACTTTAATTCGTTCTCCTAAATACTGTTTACTGAAAGCTCGTATGGACTGAACCATTTCATATCTCAACTAAATAGTGTTAGCTCGAGTTATTTTCTCAAATTACAAAATTATTCCATCATTTTATAATTTTTAATATATGGTAATTTATCAACAAAAAAAAATAAAAAAAATATCATAAAAGTAGTTGAATTTGACTGGGATGTGAACTATTGAATAGACTTGATAGGTAGCAGCAATGAATGATTCTCCTCTCTTTCTATGGCAGTGACTTTTCTAAAGTCAAAGGCTCTTAAAATCTTCAATGGCCAAAAATGGCACACTTTCAAAGGTTGATTGCAGCTTCACATATTTTTTTTTTTAAATATACTCTGCATTAAAAAATTGATAAATGTGAATAGTGCTGCAATTATTTATTATTATAATGAGGAAACTACTCTAGATTTTACATGACTATAGAAATATGTGTTGTATTTTTTTTATGTGTGATTCTAACCAATAAAAGAACACACTAAGGTAAAATCAATCTAAATTGTCCATAGCTTACTGACCCTAGACCGGTCCTCCTACTGAAAATCGAACTTGGACCCTTGTGACAAATGTTCTTCTTAAATTATCCCTTCGTCATGATAAGACTTCAACAAGACTTTTGTTTAAGGTGATCGGTCAAATCAACTATCGCAATACAACTAATATTGTACATAAGAATATCGCTAGAACAAGATTTTAAGGTGATCAGTCGAATCAACTAATTAACTTTAATAGTTGATAAGAAATTAGGTCTAAGGGAATCCAATAGGAAAATGTAAAGCCCAAGACTAAAAACTGATTGTTGGTTTTTGGTGTGGGCTGTAACCATTAGAGAAAGGCTATCTATTATCTACTTGAACCCAAAAGCCCAAAATGCAGAAGAAGAAGACAATCGGCTAAATGCCTTGGTTCCCAAGAAAATCTGGAGTCAAAACAAAATGGACAAATAACCAGAGCTCCCATCCCCAATTTCTCTACTCTGTGTTTTTGTTATTCCTGTGTCGGATAGAAACGAAACCTCAAACCTGATTGTTGTTAAAAGAATTGGCGATCGAGGAAAAGCCTCGTGTTCCCAGGTATTTCCCACTCTCTGTTGCTGCCCATACCTGCATTTATCTTTGGGTTGCATATGCATTTTCTGGGGGAGCATATTGTTTCAAGAATTTCTGAATTGGTGCTGATTCTTGTATGAAAGTTAAGAAAGAAGAGAGCTTTAGAGGTTAAGGTTTTAAATTGGATAAAACCCAGCGAGGAAATCGACAAAATTTGAGGTTTAGAAGTAGTGGATAACAGAGGCATTAGCTCAAAGTTTTTAACTTTATTGATATTTTGAGGAAGAAGATTCTGGGATAGTTTTTTACCTTATAAAAGGAGAACTTTGAGCCAATCAGGCAATCATAAGCGGTTTAACTTTAAAGAGGTGATTTTGTGGCATAAAGTTTATATACTTTCTTCCAATATCAATGATCCTTTTTCAAGAATGACTGGAAACTTTGGTGTGTATGGAAAATGGCAATCTTCAGCAAGCACAAGGAAAATTAATTTGTTTTCTGGCACTTTTGCCCATAATGACAGTCACAATTGTTACCAAAGCTTGCAAATTGCAGTGCCAAGTATATTTCACATGTTAATATGAGCCTTTAATCACAATGATCAAAGGTCACTAAAAAGGCTGGCTAAACATAGTTTTTGCAGCTGTTATATTGTAATAATAATGCAGCTTGAACATTCTAGATAACCTCTGTTTAAGTGCTCCTTCACCAGTTTCGATGACAAGGAGTTGCTCGTATAGGTTACTTGAAATCGTAATGCATTCTTCTTTCTTATTGGGAAGTTTTTCTATAACGTCTATGCTTTCTTATTGAGCTTTGTTGCAAATTCATTCAAATAGGGGTGTTAAATTGACTACTTGTTAGTGAAATGGATAGGAAATAATACTTCTATGTATGATGTCATGCAGATTGATAAGCGTTGTTTTGAATCATTTTGGTGAAAAGTGCAATTGATGTTAGTTTTTTGTTTGGCACAGATTTTGTCAATTCTTCATGGATCTAAATGATCTTAACAAGGTATGGGAAGTCAAACCTCTCAAGAAGATTCGAGAAGACGAGGCAAGGGAAATCCTTGAAAAAGTCGCAAAGCAAGTCCAGCCAATCATGCGCAAACGAAAGTGGAAAGTGACGGTCCTTTCTGAATTTTGGTATTGATCGTACTTTCTTTGTTCTAAATAACATTTACTTTATATTTTATTCTCTTCATCGGCTAATCTGAAAGTTTCAATTCGCAGCCCTCCAAACCCATCCCTTTTAGGGCTCAACATTGGCGGAGGGGCAGAGGTTAAGCTTAGACTGCGTAGACCTAATAATGAGTTGGATTTCTTCCCTTTCAATCAAATTCTTCATACAATGCTTCACGAGCTCTGTCACAACGAATATGGCGCTCATAATACTGATTTCTACAACCTTTTGGATGAAATAAGAAAGGTTGTTAGTAGTTTCTTTGATCTTCGAACTTCAGAAGCTGCTTGAAGTCTTGATGATATTCTTGTTTTCAATTCTTCTTTTCCCTTTGTCCTTCTGATATTCTTATTGTGCCATAATTGGTTTAGCTAAAATGTCACGCAAATTGCATTATATTCGTCTTTTACTATTCTTTTTGCGTTGCAGGAGTGCGAAGAACTTATGGCTAAAGGAATTACAGGCACAGGGCAAGGGTTTGATCTCCCTGGAAGGCGATTGGGAGGATTTTCTCGTCAACCTCCATTGCCATTACTGAGGCAGAAGGCACTGGCAGCTGCAGAAAACAGATCACGACTTGGAGAAATGTTGCCATCTGGACCAAAACGTCTTGGCGGTGATAATAGCATCAAGGCTGCTCTGAGCCCTATTCAGGCTGCTGCAATGGGTGCCGAAAGGAGGCTACTTGATGATGTGTGGTGTGGTTCCGAATCTCCCGAGGAGGGTAAAGTATCCTCCAATTCTGAAACTCCTTCGGGTTCTGGAATACAGAAAGACGGCCCCCAAACTTCAGTTCTTAGACCCTTAGCCAACCAAGAGACAACAGATGCCAAACCAACATGGCAATGTAGCGCCTGTACTTTATTAAATCCCGTAAGTCCTGTTGGAAGCATACACACATTTAGCTACATCCCGGGGTTTGCATCACATGTTGTCTATAGTAACGTGCCTCACCATGGACCGGGCCTAATATGTTCATCTTCATCATTTCAGGGTTTAGCGGTTACATGTGAAGCTTGTGGAAAGCGAGAAGGAGCAGAGAAATCGAAATCAAAGGTCTGGTCTTGCAAGTTTTGTACTTTGGACAACAGTGTCGACAAGTCTGAAAGATGCTTGGCCTGTGGGGAATGGAGATACTCTTATGGTCCCCCTGTCTCTTATCTTGGAACCTGAAGATGGAGATCAACAATTTCCTTCCCCGTCGTAAATTTCACTAGTCTCTATCGTATATTTGCTCGAAACGCGGTCCAAGATTTGTTGATGAGGCTGCTGTCATAGTCTCATAGATCATGCTAAGTTCATGCCACAGCATTGTGAGTTCAAGTACTGTAAATCACCCCCTCCCCCACCACCCCAAACACATTTCTTGTGCTGTAACATTTACATATACACACGTGAAAATGTGTTTTGTCCTTGTGAATCTTTGAATCTTTTTGCTGCTAGTGAATGCCATGTGAACCCAAGTTATGATCTTTGTCATTGCTAGTCCAACCTTGTGTGTGGAAACAAGGACAAAAATGGCTGCACATCCTAGGGGAACCCTTAGAAGAGTGAGTAGCTTCCTCAATCCCGAGGTTTCATACCTTCAATTCTATACATGTCATCGATAAAAATAAAAATAAAAAATTTTTTTTTAAAAAAAACTAAGAATCGGATTATGTACTCTGTGGCTGTCGATAAAGTACCGCTCTTAACTCTTTTAGAACGGTCAAACAGTTGAGTTATGCCTCAAAATGATTCGAGTTTTGTATTCCGGTTTAGGTTTTGGATTGAATAAATGATGCTTAATCGTTGTATTTGTAAGAGTTTTATCAATTTGCATGCGGAAAAATATCATTAATTATTAAATTATATTTATTTATTTTTGTGAAATACTAAAAATGGAGATGACTAGATCAAGATGAGGAGTGGGACAGTAATTCTATGTCCGATCCGAACGTTTCTTCAACTCTGACGACAAAGAGAAGACAGTTTTCTACTTTTCCATACGCACTCGTCACTTTTTTTTTTTTTACAAAATAAAAATATTAAAATACGGGGTTATTTTTATTCAAAACTAGTCAATTAAAATATGTCACGCAAGGCAAGAAAGTCAACATTTCAAGCTTCACAAGAATTTAACAATCTAGGAGTAATCTAGTCGAGTTGATTGAGCAGTTGGACTAATTTATCATTTCGGTTGGAGCCAATCAGTTATAATAATTTACAATTCAAAATGATAACTCTAGTCAAGCTAGCAAGGTAATTCGGCTAATAGAGCTTCTTTGTTTTAGCCGGTCAATTATGAACTAGACAATAATTTAACAATCCAGGGGCAACCTCAGTCAAATTGTTCAAACAGTTGAGTTTATTGGACTTCTCGGTTTGAGTCAGTCAATTATGAACAACATAGACTTATTTAATTTTTTTTTTTGGGAGATAGACTTATTTTAACTCTTTGTGGTCTATTGTTGATCAAAGGGTTTAACATCCCATGGTGATGGGGTGTAGACCCAATGGGCTTAGAGCATCCGCATCAGTTGGGAAGAATGTGTGGAGAATGTAAGGGTGATTAGGAAAGAGAATGTGGGAGGGGGGAGAAAAAAAAAAACTGAATTTTTTAAATAAAAATAAATAAATAAAAGTGTACGTCAGTGCACGCGCCCGGCTGTGGTCATGTTGTGTACTAACGCGCACAACGTGACTTATTCTACTTTTTTTTTTTTTTGTTTTTTGTTAAATCTGACATGCTTCTTTCATTTGCAGGCTCATTCTTTTCCAAATAACCCATTTTCACATCAATTATTATTTTTGGCTTAAGTGATTTATTGTAGAAATAACTCCACTTTAACTCCTAGTGTGGATGCTCTTAGGGCCTGAGAAGGAAAAGAGAGGATTGGGCCCACAGAGATTAGCCCCAACAAAGGAAGAAAGGAAATAAATGTCATAGGCCAAGAGGAGGCCCAGAGAAGGATACAGCTGAGTCTAAGGAGCTGGCGCGAGTCAGTGGTCGGCACGGACAAGAAGTCAGCCCAGTAGGTAGCCGTTGTCATTAAAGGACCGCCTATAATGCCCAGTCAACCAGGCCGTTGGGAAGGCCTAGTAACGGCAGCCCAACGACCCTTAGCTTAAGCTTTAATAGGCCCTTTTATACCACTTTAATGCTTGTATTCAAGTTAGCCAGGGAGACCACTTATTTCCCCTTTGAGAATGTAAAAGGAGAGGGTCCTCTCGGCAGAGGAATCGCCAGAAAAGTACAAATAAAATATCAAAATTCTTAGTAGTTATCTCTCTTTTTGTAGTTTTATCCTTACGGTGAATCCACCAACTACGGTTGTGTTGGACCTCCTTAGGGCCAAAACTCCTAAAACCAACACTAACATCGTCCGTGGAGACGTGACAAAAGGTCGTGTTTACCTCTTCATCTGTGTGAGTTCGGAAAGTGTCCGGTGGAGGAGATTCACAAAGGACGAAAAGATCGAAAGATATGATAGAGGAGCGGAGCCATGCCTTTGGAAGTCATAGTGCACGAAACGCAAGGATGGATTTACGAGAGCAACTGAGTTAGCGGAGTTCGCGAGGGAAGGAGAATGACTCGGCGCCTCGACCGCCGCCACTGCCCATGATGCCGCTCACGCCCGCACAGATCGTTGCCATCGCTCGAGCTATGGCGACGCAGACACAAGGGCAGAGGGCCCCGTCGAGCTCCCAGTCGCCCCGCGCGCCACAACAGGATCAAGCCCAATCTTCAGGACGCAGTGGCAGAGGCCGGGAAAACCAAATGCAAGGCAGTCGGCCAGTTCAGTTCGTGCATTCGAGGTAAGGCCCGGACGCCGTTCGACGCCCTGCGCAAGAACGACTGGGCGAAAAAACGCCCAGTCGACAGGATAGGGGGGTTGCTAGAGAAAGGGTAACCCGTTCGAGGAAGACCAAGACTCAAAGTCGACGAACCAAGAAGTAGGCAAAAGAGGAAGGGCCGCAGGCCGAGTCTCAAGAGGGTGAAAGTACCAAGTCCACAGGGAATCAGACAGAAAACCCCAACGAGATAACCTATTTGGCACAAGAAATATGCAATTTGAAGGATAAAATGGAGTGAAGAGTCAAATCACCCGGTCGAGTTTGAAGATCAAATGGAGGGAAGAGTCAAATGATTTCCAGAAATCATTTTCCGGGTTTTCAAACAGACCCTTAAGTTATCCTTTCGTCATGATAGGACCTCAACAAGACTTTGGCTTAAGATTGATTTAGCCATCCTAGACTTCCACAATACTGCACATAGGAATGTAACTAGAACAAGATTTTAAGGTTATCGGTCGAATCAACGGATTAACTTAATAGTTGAGGAGAAACTGGGTCTAAGGGAATCCAATAGGAAAATGTAAAGCCCAAGACTGAAACTGATTATTGGTTTTTGACTTTTTGGTGTGGGCTGTAACCAAAACACAGAAGAAAACAAACACTTGCTTCAATTCTCTCACAAATTAAAAATGATCATTCTCTTCTAATCAAATCTCTCCCTCAGCATCTGCATACCAATGTACCTGCAAAGAAGAACCCCAGAGGTTAGAAATCATATCATCATCCAGAAGCATTGATATGATGAGAGAAATTGAAGTTGACCTTCCCATCATAAGAAGAGTGGCTTGGGGATTAGTCCCTGGAGAGACAGTGAATATGGAGCCATCCACAACTCTGAGGCCTTCGACTCCCATCACTCTCAGCTTTGTATCAACCACCTTCCCCACAACACACCCACCATGGTAATGCCACATGGTGGCCACAGTTTGGCGGCAGAACTCCTCCATAAGCGCGTCGTTGGATAGATCAGAGGGCAATGCAGAGCCAACATACATGAAATCCCTGCCACCAAATTTGAAGCCTTCCATGGAAGTGGTTCTCAGAACATCCCCAATCTTCCTGCTCCCATTCACACACCTCTGGAGATCTTCCATGTCACTGAAGTAATTGAAACGGACCACTGGGTTCACCCTAACATCAGTTGATGCCAGCCTGAGTTCCCCTGCAGAAGAGGGCCCCACAACTTTCTCCAAGATTGTGGCCACTGTGTGGAAAGATGGGGTTCTCACAAAGATTGGGAGGATTGTGGGGGCAAGAGGGAACACATTTGAGATTGCTTCTAGGTATGTCCCAGAGCTTGTGATTCCCACAACTTGAACCACAGAATTCTCCAGTGGCAATGGAAGATCAATGGAGATCCCATTTCTTGGATTGTCAAACAAGAACTGCCCTACATAAGGTGAGTTTAAGGATACAGGAATGCCCAGAGAAGAAAGGTATTGTCTTGGGCCAATGCCACTCAGAAGGAGGAGCTGGGGGCTACCCAGTGCTCCGGCGGAGAGCAAGACTTCACCTTTTCCCCTCACCATAGCATGGTGAAGCAGCCCGTTCTGGTCCCGGAAAACCACCCCAGTGGCCGCGTGTTTCGCCGGAGAACCGGGACCGGAACCCCCGGAATTCAAGGGAATCCTCTCCACGCTAGCATGCACCGCCACACGGATGTTGGAAGGGTTTGCATAGTTGAGAAGGTCCGCCGAGATGTGGCGGCGGCCGGAGCTATCAAAAGTGGATCCTCCAATCTTGGTGCCAACAACGTGATCTAAGCTGAACCCATTGTAGGGATTAATCCCAGCTTCCAGGAACCCATCCCTCACCGCCACCTGCCAGTTCTTGAGCTCCGGCCGGAAAACAATAAGCTTCTCTACCCACTCGTACGACTGGTTCACCATTCTTAAATCCCAGCTAATCCCGGACCTCCGGTAAAACTCCCTGTTCGCCCGGCTGTAGAAACCGGCGTTTATGGTGCTACCGCCGCCAAGAACGCGGCCTCTGGCGTTCGGCACCCCCTCTTGCGACGTGAAAGCTTGGACGGGGGAGTCATAGGCGTCGGTCTTCGTTAGCGCCGTGAAATACCCTTCTTGGGTCATCAAACTGGGATTCCCGTACGGAACACCACCTCTCTCAAGAACCAGAACTTTAAACCTCTCCGACAATGTCGCCGCCAGTGGACACCCGGCCGTGCCGCCTCCGACGACGATGTAATCATAGTATTCCTCCGGCGGCAACTGCGTCGCATTCACCACAAAATCCAGATAACTAGGACCTGAAAAAACAACAAGAAATCAAAAACAAATCCCAAAACACTCAATCCAACTCAAAAACCAAGAACCCATCAAGAGAATTATTAGAACAGGTATTCGTGAAATTACTCTGTTGAGAGAAACATTTGGGAATGGAAATGAGGACGGCGACCATCAAGAAAAGAAAGAGTTGGAGTATGGGAAGAGTAATCAATTTCGCCATTGCGGAAGTGAAATTTTTTCTTTAATTGCCGTAGTATCTAATTAGTAAAGTAAACATTACACGGACTCCAAATTTATAAATTAATTAATTGTTTTCAAGTTCAGTAAACTAACTAGTATTTTTGTCCGTGCATACATGAAATAGGTTTGTTGTAACATATTAAGAATATTTGAATCGATATATAATTATTTAAATTAGAACATCAAATATTATATAGTAATATTGAAGATGTGGTTTAATCATTTATGTGTTTTGATGTTATAATTGCTCAAATTATTGCTAATGTGTAGATGTACACCTGCGGTGCTGTAACTTTGGAAATTTTATTTATCATTGATTAGTATTTTTTTTAATTAGGCAAATGTGCTCGTTCTCTAACAATACAACTATAGGAATAATAAGTATTGATTGATTGAAGTAGTGACGGAATAATATTATTCAATAGAAATATGAATTTTAATATTATTGTATTGTATTACGAATAGTAATTTTAATGTAGAATTATAGTACGAATAGAAAAGTAGAAAAAAAATATTCTATTAGGAATTGTATTATACTATTTTACAATATTACGCAAACCTTAATAATATATAAATGGAGGTTTTTTATTTTTATTAATAGTATAGATTCTGTTTTTTTGTTTTTTTTTTTTTTCATTTTTCTGTTTATACTTCTAACATTATTAGTATTAATCTATGAATTATGGATTTTTTTTTTTCATTTTTTACTGCTTAACTTTTTTATTGATTAGTATTTAGTATTAACCAGTTTTCCTTTTTCATTTTACTTTTTGTATTGTTTGGGCAGAGGTGTTTGAGAGGGAATTCAAGAAAATAGACTTTTGTTTTTAATAATAGTATAAATTATAATAGTACGTTAATATGTGAATATGAAAACAATATTACAAAGATTTTAGTTAATTGTTTCTTTGTACATTAGTTTCTTTATCCTTCCCCTTAATCATCTTATCAGTATTACGTTAGTTTGTGATAGTACAAAGAATTCCGTGCAAAGCAATTAATATCCTTGACAACTAATACAAAATAAATTGTATTAATTTAGATCAAGAACCTTGTGGTCCAATGATATTAAGTTGAACTCCTACATGGGAGGTTATTATAGTCCTTGAATAATATATCTTTTTAACGTAGCGTAGCATATCTTTAATTAAAAATTGTACACGGTAATTTGGTTATCATGTTCAATTAATTCTTCATTAATTCATAGCATATATGATGTGGTAATATTAGCATAATATTAGATCAAATTCGGACATAATATTAACATATTCAAATAATTTTTCATTAAATCGTGGCATAATATTACTATATTTCTTCATTACCACATTTAATTAATTGAAGAATTTGGAAGAATTTAATTAAATCATAGCATAAATGATTTGGTTATATTACCACAATATTAGATCAAATTCGAACATAATATTACGATATTCAAATAATTCTTCATTAAACCGTAACATATATGATTTGGCGATATTACATAATATTAGATAAAATTCAAACATAAAATTACCACATTTAAATAATTCTTCATTAAATTGTTACATAATATTACCACATTTCTTCATTATTATCATAAAAACGTTAATATATATATATATATATATATATATATATATATATATATATATATATATATATCCGGAGAATATTAAATATTATTATTAAAACATAAATAATAATAATAATAATTTTTTTTTTTATGTATGATCCTAGCCAACAAAAGAACATGCAAAGGTAAAATTAATATAGATTGTCCTTAGCTGACTGACCTTAAACAGTTTCCCCATTGAAAGTTGAACTTGGACTCCTGTAATAAATTTTCTTCTTAAGTTATCCCTTCGTCATGATAGGACCTTAACAAGAATTTGGCTTAAGATTGATTTAGCCATCATAGACTTCCGCAATACTGCACATAAGAATATAACTAGAACAAGATTTTAAGGTGATTGATAATCAATTGATTAACTTTAATAGGTCAGAAGAAAGTGGGTCTAAGGAAATCCAATAGGAAAATGTAAAGCCCAAGACTGAAAACTGATTATTGGTTTTTGGTGTGGGCTGTAACCATTAGAGAAAGGCTATCTATTATCCACTTGAGCCCAAAAGCCCAAAATGCAGAAGAGACAATCGGCTGAGACAATTTATATGGGCAATTTATATCCTACACTACGGCGCGCGTTGCACTATGCGCCCAGATGCAAAACGACGTCGTTTTAATTTTTTTTTTTGAAATTTTTCCGCCCCAGTGAATGGCAGTAGTTTTTTCTTTAAAAAAAAACCCGCTGTTCAAGAATGTACATAATGTTATACTAGAATACACATAATGTTATACATGAATGTACATAATTATATAGAGTTAATACCCAAAATCGTCCTCGACTATAGTGGTTTTTCTCAATTTCGTCCTAAACGACTTTGGTGACCTAATATCGTCCCAGACTTTTGTGTTTCGCTCAATTTAGTCCTTCATTTGTTATTCCGTCAAATTGGTGTTAAATAAAGGGACAATTCAGTAATGTCAATATTGATTTTTATTTACTTTCAACTTGTGAAGTGCGGAATTTCTCTTTCTTGTACGAATTACACCCAGAATTACTCCCGGACCTGCGAATCAAATTTTATATTCGCAGTTTTAGGAGTAATTCTGGAAGTAATTCGTAAAAAAAAAAGGGATTTCACAGTTCACATGTCTATGAGTAAAGAAATGTCAATATTAAAATTACTGAATTGTCTATTTATTTAACACCAAATAGACAGAATAACAAATGAGGGACTAAATTGAGCAAAAACACAAAAGTCTGGGACTAAATTGAGCGAAACACAAAAGTGTGGGACGATATTAGGTCACCAAAGTCGTTTAGGACGAAATTGAGAAAAATCACTATAATCGATGACGATTTTGAGTATTAACTCTAATTATATAACAAAATATACATACTCTTTTTAAAAGATAATACACATAATCTAACATAATACATAATAAACATAAACTTTTAACATAATACACATCAACTCTTAACATAATACACACTAATTTTCTGATTCGGATGTACATAATTGTATAAAAAGAATGTACACAATTGTATAAAAAATACACATAACTGTATGAACTAATACACATAACGTTGTGAACAAATACACATAATCTCAGCAACTTCCTACCGCGCCTCCCAACACTACCCCAAAACGACGTCGTTTTGGGAGGCGCGCGGCGCACACTGTGCGCCGTGGTGTAGGATATAACGATTGATTTATATCCTGCACCAGGGCGCGCATTACATTGTGCGTCCTGATGCAAAACGACGTCGTTTTGATTTTATTTTATTTTATTTGAAATTCCGTTTTTCTGTGTCTACGGTTAACTTTATTAAAAGAAATTTCATATTTTAAAAATGTACATAATTATATATTAAAATGCACATAATTGTATACTAAAATGTACATAATTGTATAACAAAATAGACATGCACTTTTTTTGAAAAGATAATAAACATATTTTAACATAATACATAATACACATAAACTTTTAACATAATACACATAAACTCTTAACATAATACACATAAATTCCTTGTTTCGAATATACATAATTGTATTAAAAAAAATGTACATAATTATATAAAAAACATGGTTGCAAAAATCGTGCCTAGGCCCTAGGCGGCCGCGAGGAAGGCTGGAATCTGCCTCCTCTGCGGCCGGCCAGCTAGGCGATTATTTATTTATTTATTTTTTTGCGTTGTAAAGTTTTAAAAGTTCGGGAAGACATAACTTTTGACTCGGTTGTCCGTTTTGCACAATTTTTATTTTTATTTTGCTCTTTTGCTTATTGAGCTTTGTTGCAAATTCATTCAAATAGGGGTGTTAAATTGACTACATGTTAGTGAAATGGATAGGAAATAATATTTTCACAAAATACTTCTATGTATGATGTCGTATATGCAGATTGATAAGCGTTGTTTTGAATAATTTTGGTGAAAAGTGCAATTGATGTTAGTTTTTGTTTGGCACAGATTTTGTCAATTCTTCATGGATCTAAATGATCTTAACAAGGTATGGGAAGTCTTGATGATATCTTGGAACCTCAAGATTTGTTGATGAGGCTGTTGTCATAGTCTCATAGATCATATATGCTAAGTTCATGCCACAGCATTGTGAGTCAAGTACTGTAAAATATCGACCCCCCCCCCCCCCCCCCCCAAACACATTTCTTGTGCTGTAACATTTACATACACACGTGAAAATGTGTTTTGTCCTTGTGAATCTTTGAATCTGATCAGGTAATTTACAATTCAAAAATGATAACTCTAGTCAAGCTGACCAGGTAAGTCGACTTATAGAGCTTCTTTGTTTTAGCCAGTCAACTATGAGCTAGACAATATTTAACAATTTAGGGGCAACCTTAGTCGAATTGCTTAAACAGTTGAGTCTATTGAATTTCTCAGTTTGAGTCAATCAATTATAAGCAACTTAGATTTGTTTTTAACTCTTTGTGGTCCATTGTTAACTATCTCACAAAACTAACTTCACTCAAGACGTATCTTTGGGTAGTCATTATGCGTTTTCTAGAAAATCAAAGTGTTAACAATCCATGGTACATTATGTTGATTTCGTCTTGGTAAGTTAATTTGTAGTATTATAATTATATAATAATATAGCATATGAAACAAAATTGGTCCGGAAAAAGTACGTGTTGTATACTTCGTATTATTAAAAGATGAATAATATATATATAGTACGTAATTAATTGGTGAAAAGTAAATGTGAGGAGTCAAAAAAGTCAATGGAGAGAAGTAGAGGATGAAATCGTCAACAATGGTGTGGCTGCTCTTCTTAATTTTGGAAGATGGAAAGATGCTTCCCACACATACAAAGTCAAATGCAAGACTTTATACATGAGAATTATACTGTTTTTTTTTTTTTTTTTTTTTTTCTTAAACCAGTAAAAAAATAATTGATATTTCTTATTTTTTAACTTCATAGTATCCCTTGTCTTCCCCTTGAATTTATCCTAATTATTGTTACCCTCATTTTTGTTATTTTATAATCCATCATCATTTTTTTACCTGCCTTATTTTTTATTTATTGGTCAAATTTATATCTTCTTTGGTGATTGTCTTTAGTATTTTTAATTGTTTTTAAATTAAATTTAATTTTTTAATAGTATTTTTAATATAGTTTCTAAATTTATAAATTTTACGGAGTATATACTAATACTAAACATAACATTATGAAAAATTAAATTAAAAATAATGTAAGTCTTATTAATCGAACCATACACATAAAATGAAATGACGGGATTATCATTTTTAAATATAACGATAAAATTTACCTATTATAATATTGTTAGGGTTATAAATGACTGAATGATTAACATAGTTCGGTAAATAAAATAATTGTTTTGACTAAATTGTTGCAATTCACATGCTCACAACTCTTAAGTCAGCGACAATTCAAGGCTAATATGAGAAGTCTAAATTTACAGGGAGTAGAATCTTGCAACAAATTTGGACGTGATCCCTGAAAAATATTTAGATGGATAATGATACATTATTGAACACATCATGATTAGTGTGTTTATTATGCGTCTCATATAACATGCCAAATTAATAAATTCAAACAATTTAAGACATTGTTCTAACTTAAGGATGGTCAAGGGGCAGAGAATATGCTAGGGCCATATTTCTTGCCCCCAAATATGATTCCCTATCCACGCTCACATAGAATAATGTGTGTCTCCCGCAAAAATTCACGGGGGATAAGTATTGGGGACAAGGTCAGGTCAGTGGGTGTTCATCGTCTGTACCATTGAACTCGACAAAAATTACAAAATAATTCATGTTTTCCATCTCCATTTCCTCCCACACCCATCGAGATGGGTTTGAATTCCCCATCAACTCTGGGGTCATGGGCTATCTTTATCCTAACCTACTTGTATCTTAGAAGTCACATTACATGCTCTATGGATATATAGAATGAGAAAGAATTAATGTACCTCACTAGAAAAAAAAATCATTGTGTAGTATTGTTTTCACAATTATAACTATGTTACTCACTTGAGATGAATTTTTATTTGCTTCACACAAGTTAGCATCCCTCATTGCTAGTTTTAAACCTCATTTTATTACTTTTTTTGATACATAAATAAAGTCAAACGTTAAAAATGATCGAATATGACTTACTAAAGAACTAAAAACATGAAGACGTACCTGCACAAAGTCCACATGCATCGTCATCCACTCTCATTAAAATTGGGAGAGAGGAGAGGGGATTGTATGGAATTTTGTATTGAATTTCTATTTCCTTAATACTTGTATGAATCAACTCCACCCAATAAATATACATCTTATGTACATTGTTTGATGTATGGTCGTTTTCCCAAGAGGTAAAGATCATGAGGGGCGATTAGGTCATTTCAACATATGGAAGAGGGGGAGTGCCGATAGCAAAACCAGGATTGTGAATAGAATTTACCGCACCGGTTCAGACAACCCACCGGACCCACAAAACGCACATATACACACACGATACATACAGCTTTGCCTTTCTCTCTCTCTCTCTTTCTCTCTCCTGCTTCTTCTACTTTCATCCACCTCTCACTTTCTCTCTCTCTCCCTCTCTGGTTTTCTCGTTCTTTCATTCTCATTCTCCTCTTCCAAGAACCTTCTCTCTCTCTCCCTGTGATGACTGCTTTCTCTGCCATGGATTCTTCTTCCTCTCTATCATTTCTTGTGAATAGATAATCTCCAATTTCTTCTTCTCCTCTTTGATTTTTGATAGGGGATAGAATTTTGAGTATACCCAGAATTCATTGTAGTTAAGGGTATTGAAAAGGTGGATTCTTGAGAGAGAGAGAAAGTAGAAGCTGTGCCCAAAGGTGGGATTTTTATTTATTTTTAATCAATCATGAGGCCGGCTCAACCGCAAGCGCAGGCGGAGCGCAGCCGCCAGCGGCGGAGACCCGACTTGACACTGCCGCTTCCGCAGAGAGACCCGAAATTAGCCGTCCCTCTTCCGCTGCCGCCGAGCTCGGCGCCGTCGTCGACCTCCTCGGCGGCGACTTTTGCCTGTCCGCCGACGCCGCTCAAGTTCTCGGAGATGGAGCGCATCAACCGCATCGGAAGTGGGAGCGGCGGCACGGTGTACAAGGTGCTCCACCGCCCCAGCGGGCGGCTGTATGCTCTGAAGGTGATCCACGGCCACCACGAGGACTCCGTCCGGCTGCAGATGTGCCGGGAGATCGAGATCCTCCGTGACGTCAGCAATCCGAACATCGTGAAATGCCACGACATGTCCGATCACAACGGCGAAATCCAAGTTCTGTTGGAGTTCATGGACAAGGGCTCCCTGGAAGGGACCCACATCGCCCACGAACCCTCCTTAGCGGATCTCACCCGCCAGATTCTCTCCGGCCTCTATTATCTCCACCGCCGCAAGATTGTTCACCGTGATATCAAGCCCTCCAATCTTCTCATCAATTCTCAGCGTATGGTGAAGATAGCCGATTTCGGGGTTTCTAGAATCCTCGCCGCCACCATGGATTGCAACTCCTCCGTGGGCACGATTGCCTACATGAGCCCCGAGAGGATCAACTCCGATCTGAATCACGGCCAGTACAATGGCTACGCCGGCGATATATGGAGCCTAGGGGTCAGCATCCTGGAATTTTATCTCGGAAGGTTTCCGTTCAACGGCGGCAGGCAAGGCGATTGGGCTACTCTCATGTGCGCCATTTGTATGTCCGACCCGCCGGAGGCGCCGCCCACGGCCTCAAGGGACTTCAGGAACTTCATCGCCTGCTGTTTGCAGAGGGATCCTGCGCGGCGGTGGACGGCGGCGCAACTGCTCCGCCACCCTTTCATCCTGCAGCACTGCCCCGGCGGCGGCAACAATCTCGCCATCCCCACCCAGGTTCCTCAGCCATCATACCAATTGCTTCCTCCTCCACGCCCGCATTTTTCTTCTTGATCTTTAGGATTTCGAAATTTTCCACTTTGTCTTTTCAATATTTCTGGGTTTATTTCTGTACTATATAATTTTTATGGAATTGATTATTACGCCATGTGATATTCTGCTCATCCTTGCTTTTCCCATCAAGAAAAAAGCAATCTTTGAATTACTGGGGATTCACAGGTTCATGGTTTAGACTGAAACCCTATCCCACAATCCCCCAATCAACCATTTTACATTGTCATCAAGAAAGAAGGAAAATGGAAAATCTGTCTCAATCTTTTACCATAATCTGCTTAATTTGTTGTTATTTTGCCACCAAATTTCCTCTGAACCTTCTTTACTCCAACTTTTTGCCATAAAAATCCAGTCTTTATCATTTGCTGAACTCATCATCTATGCTTTAATTTGATAAGGTTGCATTCACTGTATCATATCTTAGCAAAAAGGAAAGTTTGCACATTTCCTTCTCTTTTCCTGAATAGCCTCTTCTTGTATGTCTTTGTTGGACTATCTGCTTATTTAGCATTGCTTTTGCTATATGTGGTATGCCCAACCAAATGTGTGTGGGGCTAAAGCTTTCATAGCCTTGTGATTAGCTAGGGCAAAGTTTGAGTGAGATAGATTTGGTTGAATTTTTCAGAAGATCTTGTATGCTAATATGGGGGAAGCTTTTACATCTCCCAAAGGAGAAGAATTGTGTAGTAAAAGTAGAAAAAGGAGGGACATACCAAATACTGAAAAAGGTGAAACTATGAGTAGTAAAACATGTGTGAATAGGGACTTGCATAGTGTTATATGTTTTCAATTTTTCTTTTCTTTTCTTTTTTGATAAATTAGGTTTTCAGCTTATGCCGGACTAATTCTAAGTCCTTAGAACCCCACCCCTACCTTGATGCTCGAGTGCTGATTTTAGTTCAGGTGGTCGACCACTTGAGCTAGCCCCGTGGGGCATGCTTTCATCTTTTCTTACTTTTCCATGTTGTCTTTCACCCCCTCCGTTTTCCCAATGGCTCTTCCTACCTACTAGGATTCATAGGCGTAAGCTTAGGCGTTGAAGAATCATGAGAACTTGCTATTTAGGGTGGAGACCGGAGAATCTGCTGTGGTGTGGATGAATGTATACCTGAGATTCTGTCATGGATGACAAGAATCTGTTTTCTTCATGTGCAATGGGGGGTGGGGAAGCAGGGCAACATCACATTGTGAATAGTCATATGATTCTGCTGCATGGACACAATTGTTCATTTGATGTCAAAGGTTGCAGACATGGGATATATATATGGTGGGTGATTCTTGAAATTTCTGAAGCTGTCTTGCCAGGTAAGTTAAACATGCCATGATTAAAGTGCTTGCACTTTTTCCCTGTTCTTGGCTCAATCAAACATGATTGAACAATCAAACAAAGCCACCCTCTTCGAATCGAACCATGCGTTCCATCTCAACTATCAGTCAAAGAATACCTTGGCAACTCCTGTCAAGTTGGCCAGGTTGACTATCGCCCTGTTTGGTAAAATAGTTAGCATATAGGTCAATTTTGGCTTATTTGACCATTATTAGTTGTTTGACTTGGTTTAGTGTTTGGTTAATTAGCTTTTTGTACTCCAAAATGCTAAAATTCAAAAAACTATTCAAAGTAACTTTTTTAATTAGCTTTTTGAGAAAATAAATTATTCCAAACAACTAATTTACCAAACACCTTTTCTACAATCAGCTAATGTTATCAACTAGTTATACCCTCTAATTAACCTAATTAGCTAGCAACTATTTACCAAACAGGGTTTATGTTACCTCAATGTTACAAATTCGACTCCCAACGGGAGTGGCTTAATGGCTCTCTTGGTTTGAACTGGCCAGCTATGAACAAACTAAGTTGGTTTACTTCCTTGTGGTTTGAATACCATATTCAGCCCTCACATGACTTTTAGTTGAAACGGAATATATCCGTTTTCTCTCTCTCCCTCTGGTTTTGGCTCGTTCAAAGCTGTGGCAGTGGCCATGGCCGAGTCAAAACCAAAACAAAGGGCAAACACAGTCTTCTGAGTTTTGACTGATTCCCAGAATTGAAGATAAGCATGTACACAGCAGTAACCGCGTAGTTTACAAGCTGATTAAACCTTAAAAAAACACACGAGAAAACAACATGGTACGAGTGGAGACTCAACAACTAAGAGACAACAGTTGTCAATTCGTTTGTTATCCTCTAACCCTCTCTCTGCTTACCTGATAGCGAAACAAATACTAATTATCTCCACGGGGATCTTAAAAAATGGCGGAATAAATAAAGCAGCAGAATATACTGATTCGCTAGAAGGAAGAAATTTTTTGGGCTACTTTACTAGTATATGGGTAGAGTTGAATGCTAAGATTATGTTTTCTTGTTCAAATCTGATATGAGATGTATTTTATGTAAAGTAGATACTTACCCAGATCCTAGATATCATTGCTCACTTGTCACTCTTTTGAAGATGAATTTTTGCTTGGCCATCGGTTTCACAGGTTTCGTGTTTGAAACTTGTGTTAAATTGTCTCACGTGAATATGTCATATTTTTTATTCATTTGAAACGGTCTTATAGTCTTATACAAGACTAACCATACCAAAAAAATCAATCTTACCTATAGTTTATAGGTGGTCGTTGAACATTTTTTTTGAAGGACAAGCATGCTGTCGTCAAGGTTCGAACCTTGATTACTTCTTTTAAATATTCTATACGTACTGAATTATTGAGTTAATCTTGTGTGTGGGCAATTATGAGTTTTATTTTTGATGAGATAGGAGGGGGAACCCTATAGAGGAAAATAGGAAAATCAATCACTCCCCAAGATAGAAACTCACTGTTTTAGGCTAGAGAAATCAAAACAATCTTTAGCAAAAACATGACAAACTCAACATCATAGGAGAGTCAAAAGTCACCAAACCAAAGCATGTCAAATCGATCGAACAATTTATAAATTGATCGGAAACTCTATTTTGCTCTCTATAAGCCTGAATTACAAGTTTTATCTATTTTGCTCTTTATAAGCCCGAATTACAAGTTTTATTAGGTGTGTTCAAAACACATTTGATGATGTCCTCTTTGACTAGTAAAGACCGGGGGGTAACAAGCTAAGTGAAAACACAATAAGGATTGGAGTTGAAGAATATTGGGTGAGGTGTGGAAGTTGTGGTGTGGGTTCACATGCTGCTCCTTTGACAGGAGATGTAGGAGGCATCTTTAAGTTCGTACTATACTCAGATTAATTCTCATTTATACCGACTAATTAAGGACAAAATGTTGGTCAGATTAATTTTTTTATACGACAGAGGGTTCGAATATGAAGTTTCATATGTTAGAGCACGTCTAATCGGCCATTTGATTACATGCATGTTAGAAAAGGTACTAAATGGTTATCCACCAACTATAATGCACCTAAATAATTGAAAGTGGTGGGCTTTAAACGGGGTCAGACTTAATTCAAGCTCTATGCTTGGTCAATAGTTGAAATGAGGAGTGTTATGTTGTGCAACCGTGTGCACTATGCAATGTGCACACAGAATTGGATCCATAATTTTTATACTATAGATTCATAATTTTTATATTATAGACACATAATTTTTATATTGTAGATTCATAATTTCTAAATTGTATAGTTATTAAATTATGAACATATAATTCAGTGATTTGTGAATACAGAGTTCAACAATTGGAAATATGAACATAGAGTTTTGTAATTGTGAATACAGAGTTTAATAATTATGAATCTATATTATAGAAATTATGAATGTATAGAAATTATGGATCCAATTCCGTTTTGCACAACATAATTTGCCTTGAAATGATGACAAATTATTATGTGGATCCGGATCCACCTTGACCCGGGTCTAAGGATAAACAATTTATTTATATACTAAATGTTCATAATTTATCTTATAAAAATTTATAATTTGTGATGACCTTGTATTATATTCACAGATTTCTAAAATTTAAAAACACAATTTATATTATAGTCGTTCACAATTTCAATATTAAAAATACATAATTTAAGACCATGGGTCCACATTGCAAGGTAGACCCTAGTACATTGTATAACAATTGTGAATGACTATTTAAGGGCGCTTTTTTATTTCTAGCCATTTCTCAACGTTTTTTTTTAACACTTAATATAATTTCATCAAATATGAAATGTATAACATTACGTGGAAATTTCAATTTTGGTCATATGACTATAGAGGTCTTGTTAATTTTAGTCTATGACTTTCAAAAATGTCATTTTAGTACCTTAACTATGCAATTTTTGTCAATTTTGGTCACTCTGGCCAAATTTCACCGAAAAATTTTAATAATTAAAATAATGAGGATATTTTGATCGTTTCACGTCTCTTTTATTCTTCCCAGGCGAGTCCATCTCTTCCTCTCCCGTTTCCGGCAAATGCAATGAACTAAGATGATGGGGAAAGGTGGCTTGATGATATTAAAGATAGAGTTTACAGGGAGAAAGAACGCCGGAAATGGGAGAGAAAGGGATGGACTCGCCGGATAAGAAGAAAAGATGCGTGAAACGATCAAAATATCCTCACTATTTTAATTATTAAAATTTTCCGGCGAAAGTTGGCTGGCAATTTCACCGCAGTGACCAAAATTGACAAAAATTACATAGTTAAAGGTACTAAATTGACACTTTTAAATAAAAGAACAATTTGGTCATATACTTCTTTCTTTTAATAACTAACATATATCGACTCTTTTTTTATAGATACTAAAAAAAATCATTGTTCATGAACCCAACCTTGATTGTTTTATCTTTTCATGGAAAGTCTCAATTAACTCTGGTCTTTCTTTTTTCCTTTCCCATCAAATAATTGATTCTTCAATCTCTTATTTACCTCACAATACACATTTTGCCAGCCTACCATCACTCTTTGCATTCCATTGTGCTTCTTGTGGCTAGCTGTTCAAACTACTTTCTTCTTTGAGTTTAATAACAATTTTAACATGTAAATTTTGTTTGCTAAATATAACTATATTAATTAATTAATATATAGAAATTTAAGTAATCAAATTGATTAAATGAATATGGGACAGGCGGACAGCCCAAGTACTATTTTTCACTTTGGGCTGTAGAGTGACAAAACATGTGAAATATCAT